TCGAAGTCGGAAGTCGGAAGACCCTTCTTGGCTTTCGTAGTATGATTTTTTTTTTGTTGTTTTTTAAGTTGTTGTTTTTGCTGGTGTTGCTTTGTTGTTGTTGTTGTTGTTTTCCCTCGAAAAAACACCAGTGAGCAGCACCAGGAAAGACCCCTTTGAGTCCTGAACACTAGTTGTTTATTTCCGACGCGTTTTGCCATTGACAGTCAATGACCCTTATGCATGTTTACGTCAGACGAGCAAATTTCACCAAGCATCATTTTGAAATTGTCAAGTTGCGAAGTTTTGCATAAATAAATTCCCAAGGCCGTAGAGTTAAATAGAATAACCAAGCATAACAAGTGCAAACACGGAGTTTTTCTTTCAGACGAGGCGTGGTGGTAAAATTTGCTCGTATGACGTAATCATGCATATAAAGTCCATTCATCAAGAAATGAATTCAACTAACAAAGGAGAGCATACTTCTAAAGCCCATTCACGTGCCTAAATTTAACTTTCTACGGAACTGGGGTAATGATAACTGAGACGTACTGTACACGGACGTGACCAGAAACACCAGGTAAAAGACTTGTCACGATCACCGTGTGTTGTTCTATTTATTTTGAGGGGTCATACGATTACCACTCCCTCTTTCTACTCAATTGTTTTTTTTAAAAAGTTGTTAAGGAATTAAAAAGTATTTTAAAATTGCGCAGAGTGTACGCAAACTTTTTTAAAATTTGTATCGTCGCTGTGAAAACCACAAAAAAATTTTGCCTGGGTTCGCGTACGTGTCTACATTTACAAATTTTTCCACCGCACCCACGCGTCTGCAATATCGAGGTAACGGTAAAGCATCCTGTTAGTTAAAAAAACCTGATCAGCGATCAGAATGGTTCGAGATAACATAATAACTAGGTGTTTAACCCATGAAAGAGCGGTTGGTCTGCATCACCTTCACCACTTTTCGACTTATTTTGCCAAGTGAACAATGGTACACTTGCGTCTGCCTCCTCATTTTTTATTGTAACTAAAGAAATATCGTTTGAGGACCCCAAGAAGTTGAGTAAAGGGAGAGCGAAATGTCAAATTCGAACACAACTACATCGAACTGTTTCACTACAAATCCTTCAGCTTTAAAAATTGGAAAAACAGTTGCTTATTGCCTGATTATTTTTGGCTCTTTGGTTGGAAATTCCTTAATTGTGACCATTGTTTACAAAAATAAAAGAATGAGAAGGCCAATTAACTTTTTTATTGTCAACATGGCCACGTCGGATTTGCTGTATCCAACCTTTCTGCTGCCTATCCATCTAACGCATTTGTACAACGACTAACTCGGCCTGGTTTATCGATGGTCTCCCTGGAAGAGCACTTTGTAAACTTAGAGTTTTACTTGAAAGGGTGTCGATTGATGTCTCCATTCTGAGCCTGATTCTCATAGCGTCAGAGCGATGTAGTCGTGTAGCATTTCCTCTTCACTCCCCATTCTTTACCACCAAACGAAGCTTTTTGAGTATTCTGGCCATTTGGATAGTCGCAATTGCCGCTACCGTTCCTGGTTTACTGGCCTTTAAGCTTCACTCACACCAGGGACAACTACTCTGTGGATGGAGCTGGAATGAAACTTTTGGAGAGTCCTTGTCTGAGAAAAATTACCTCCTAGTCACATATGTTGTATTTATTTATACCCCCACCGCCCTGCTTACGATACTTTACTCTTTCATTATTTTCAAGCACTACAGAGTGGATTTTCTCGGCCAGCAAGTGCCCAGTGTTGAGGTTCTTCGAGCAAGGGTTCAACGAAACGGAAAAGTTCTTTGGCTCGCCACCGTTGTCATCGTGTTAGGGTGCATATTATGCTTGGTACCCATAACTGTTTTAAACTTGCTAAGGCGCTTTGCATCGAAGAGAAGACGACTTGAATGTGGCATTCAACTTTGTAGCCTTATCTTTGATTTTCTAGCTTTCTCGCATTGTGCAGTAAATCCCTGTATTTGCTTCACCTTAAATAGATCATTTCGCCAGGGCCTTAAGAAACTAACTTGTTCTTCTGTTAACTGAAGGGCACCGTTACAACCATTGAAAAACGTTCTTGGAATATACATGTATGATGATGAGTACTTTCGTTACCTCTTATCTAGATCTTAGCTAAATTTTATATAAACCACTAATCCAAAAGGGCTAACAGGCGCATTTTTATGGCTGTGAAAGAGTCAAGAAAAGTGGCTATGTTAATAATTTATCCATATTCGAAACATCTTACAGCAGTTAACAGGGATGCATCGTTCAAAACCAGTATGTAAAAGAGGTTTTATTTGTCTATGAAAGGTACACAAAAGGGGTCTCCTTTCTGTCAAAAATGGTATATAAAGGGGTAAGGGGTTGGACTTCGGGGTGGAGCGTCCCCGTATAAAACCTTTTTAGTACCCCTCCGGGGTTTCAGTGCTTCCTTGCCGACCACAACTGTCAAACGCGTCAAATTGGTAGTTACAGAAGCTGACCGATGGCAATTTAGCAGTCACGTGCTATTTTTTAAGCAGGGTAGCCGCGCGGAAATAGTTCGTATGGAAAATCCATTTCCACTTGGGTGGTGAAGAGTATTTACAATTACCAGTGGCCGATCCAGCGGAGGGGCCCGCTCCTCTCCCCCTCCCCCCCCCCCCCTCCCCGCTCTTATTTTTAGAGTAGGGCCGAAAAATTTGGGGGGGGGGGGAGACTGCCCCCCCGCCTTTTTCTAAGGGTCTGGATGACCGCCCCCCCCCCACCCCTCCCTTATCTTAAGGTCTGGATACGGCCCCAATTACTACTTTACCTACTTGATCGGTCCCCATAGTAGTTCCAGTTATACGAACTAATCAAATTGATTTGCGCGCTGTTAAAAATATCATCCAATCAGCGCGCGATGGTCAGATCCAGAAAGCACAAACATAAACCACAAAGGACTGCAAAGGACCGCAAACGAAAAAGGATCTATAAAGACCTGATCAGCAAAAAGGAAAAGTAGACTTTAAATTCTGCAAGCAGAATACTGCAATGCTGATCGCACTACGTGAAAATTAACTCTGCAAGACATCAACACGACACCGAAAGAACTCGAAACAGAGCGGGATTGTAGCCATAGACAGCTGTTTCGCCCTCTTTGGGGCTCGTCAGTATGGCGTAACAACCAGAAAAAGCTCTGGTGAAAAAAACTATCCGCTCGATTTATAGGGCTCAAATTTCGAAAATAAGGCGCCTCACCGGAGCTTTATATTAGGGCCATTTATACGAGGAAAAATATGACGCGTCTTACATAAGACGCGTCTTAAATAAGACGCGAACTTTCCGTATAAACGGCACATTCCGTCTAAAATAAGACGCGTCTTATTAGATAACCTAGAAATGGTACAGTTCTCTTATGTAAGGCAATTTTTGCTCACCCTATTGTGACTGATTGTGGAGAAATGAAATGAAATAGACTTACCTCTGCTGTATTTTGTGTTCCAGTGTCGTTTCGAAGCGATTTGGGCTGGTTTTGCCATCAAATCTTCGCCTTCATTGTGAGGAACCATAAGGAAACAGCTTTAGTCGGATGACGTCATAAGTGGTACAAAAATCAGCGCGGGTGTTTCAGGGACAGATGGGTGAAACAAGACAAAGGCCCCTCTTACCTAAAGAAAAGTTGTTCTGCGAAAAAGGAGCACCCCCCTAGCCGAGTTAACTTTATCGATTGTCTAAATGAGAAAAACGTTGACCCCTTTGCCGGATTATCTCAATTTGGGGCTTCAGGTATATGAAACGGTAGCCAATTATCTCAATTTGGTCAGTAAAAAGGCCCAAAAGGACTAACAGATGCATTTTAAGGCTGTGAAAAAGTCAAGATGTTCTAAACTGAGGTTTATTCATGTCTGAAAGAGAGAGCATCTACAGCAATTAAAAGTGATGCAAAGTTCCACACTAGGTATACGAAAGGGGTGTCTTTTCTGCCAAAAATGGTATATAAAAGTGTAAGGGGTTAAAACTCGAGACGAAGACTCCCCATAAAAAAAACTTCGTTGAGTACTCCCCCCCGGCTCCACGTAGCTCAGTGGACAGAGAATCCATTTGGTGTCACATTCTATAGATTTGAAAGATTTGGACTCAACCAGGGTTCTTGAGCTTACATGGTATTTAATATATTTGGCCATATGTCTGATTACGCTCACAATTTTGTCAGACATTGTCCAAGGAGTGCCTACTCTTGGTCTGGGGCAGGGAAGGGGCGGGGGTTACCCACATTGCAGGCTTAACCCCTTAAGAGTAACAATAGCAATTTCCTTCTAACAATATCCATACATGATCGATAGAAAAGCTTGTGAGAACTTTTACCATAACAACCCAAGGGAGGGCTTAAAGGTATGGGTATAGGTATGGCTGTCACTTTCAAAAACTTTCAAAACTATCCTTGTTTTAGGGCATTTTTTGACCTGATTCATAGTACAACAAATTACAATTTGGTGTCCACCAAAATGTGTGTCATTTGAACTGTTCAATTACCTCTCTCTATCTTACTTTGTCTTCGTTTTGACGTCTGCAGTAACTAATCTAACAATCACAACTTCAATTATCAATTTTCCACAACTTTCCATGACCAATTAAATTCCATGACTTTCAAGGCCTGGAAAATAAAATTCTTACATTTCATGACTCTCCAGGTTTTCCATGACCTGTACAAACCCTTAAAGGTAGTGTTAGAGTCAAACCCAAAAAACTGTGAACACCAGAAATACAGTGATTTCTAGAATGTTACTGTGTTGCAAGAAACACACCAAACAAGAATGTTAACGAGTTTGTGGTTTTGTGGCTAGTTCACACATCCTGATCTTTGCTGTGATTGGTCGTAACACAATAAACATTCCTATAATATATCACGAGTTCAAGGTTTTGTAGGTTTGACTGTAATTAAGCAAAAAAAAGAGAAAGTAAATAAAACAAGAAAACCAACAAATTATGGGTAAGTCAGACAGAGCATCTTTATTTTAACAAGTGTAGAGTACATTTTATTGAATGCTACCGGCATTGGAAGCAATTCTTGGCCAAAGGTCAGCACACTCTTTTGCTACAGGGCCAGTGATGGCAGAACCTACAGAAAATAATCACTTACCATCAGTACAAGTGTATTTCACTCATGGCTTTTTTTATAATAGACTACGGGAAGTCCCCATTTTTCCTCAGGGATTGTAGAGTAAGCACAACGGCTTGCCTTTCTTGCATGGGATGATTTTCACACGTGCTCGCATTTCATTCGCTCTACTATCCATGAGGAAAAATGGGGACTACTCGTAGTCTATTTTTATAAAGCATAGCAGCGCCGATAGAAAATAATGACTGAGACCTTGTGGACTGATATGCCAACATTAAATTTGAAAAAAACACTCCAGAGGTAAAAAATTGTAATAATCTTCAACTGCCAAAATTTGCTCCACTGCCAAAATTATAAAGTTTCATACACATGCATATAAAGTTATGAATGAAAGATGTGGCTTGGCTGGCTTCATTAAGATCAAAATATGGTGTATGTGATGTGCAAGTACATGTACATAAATCTGTTCTTAGATTAAACCAGAATTTCTTTTGTCTCCTATGAATAGTTGGGGATAGGAAACAGAAAATTCTGAATATCAAACTAGGTTGAACTCTGGTTTCACCTTGAATCAGTTTTACCTACAACACATGCTCCCATTTAACACAAACATGTAGGCACACCTACAGCGGTACATGTACATGTAAGAATTCCTGTCTTAAAAACATTTGCCTGCTCTTTGGCAGTTTTAGGATATGAATCTATGTTTTTTGTTGCAAAAAAAGATTATTCAGAAAGCAATCATCAATCAAGTGGCACTGTTGGTACAGTACATGTATGTGTAGGTTTTCTTGTTGTGTTTTGGATATTCTATCCTCATGTGATGTGTAAACTATTCTGCCATTTTCTCTCAAAACTGCTGGGTTGCTGCACTGTGTCAATTTATGTGCAACAGTCAGTGCGTACAAGTCTTTCAGTTAACTCTTTTACCATTGAAGTTAACAGTAAAATAACAACATCTTCATTATTTGCTTATTGCTGGCTGCGTAGGAAGAATAAGCCAGGGAACTTAGCCCAATGCAAAACTGAGAAATATTTTCAAGGAATAAGAATATTAATTTTTACTACTATCAGCACCGTTTTCGGGTCAAATCACACATGCCCTATGAGGCAAATTGCTTTCTGTTCACTCATGGCCTACACTAGTGATTTTGTTACCCCTGCATCCTGTGTCCCTGATGCCAAAAAATTATCAACGCTGCAGAATAACTGACAGCTTGTGTCCTTTGGGAGGCAACGGCACAGTACTGTATTACTGAGAGAAGTACTTTGCTATTGAAGGTAGACTACAGATTAAATATGATTGCCTGGTTTCATGAGAGTTCTGGAACCTTTATCGTAAGGACTCATTAGATTCTGGACTGGGATGATTTTTCGTGAGATGAGTCCCATGACTCACTATTAGCAAATTGTAACAAAATCACTGCCTACACTCATCCACAGATTGACCTCATCGACAGCAAGGAAATAGCCATATCTTACCTTTCATTTCACCCTTATTGTTCACTATGACACCTGCATTGTCTGCAACAAGGAGAAGAAGATCATAAAGGAGAATGCAAGAAGTTGGACACAACACTTAAACAACAAACTGTAGCGTGTGTATCTTCTTTTTCTATTATTTTTTCATCTAGATTAAATAATTTTAAACATACATTATCTATCTTATTCCTTAAGTTTGCAAGTAACGTTTCTCATCTCGCAGAATTAATGTGTTTTACGTTTTTCTCTTTATTGTAACTGTATTAGAAGGTAATTAGTTTATATCATCTTATATCTATGTTAAACCATACATTTGTCTAGTTCTATTTTTTCTCTTGTTGTAGTCGTATATTACTGATTAGGCATTGTTTTATATGTGTATTTTGTATCGTTGTGAAGGCCGTAAGTTAGATAACTCATTGGATTATTGTGTCACCTTCATTAAATAATGAATATTGCATTATATTGTAGCAAGAGAACATTTAGCTCTCAAACAAATACTGGAGTCAAAAATCTTTCTTTGGTCTTTTTAGGTTTGATTGTGTTAGTCACTCGCTAACCCAGGGCCTGGTAGTTCTTGCCTAGCACACACTTCTTGCAGTCTGCTAAATTGTCAGCATTTCCATTGCCTGCACAAAGCTGAAGTTTTAAGAGGCTGATAACAACAAAAATGCGCTACAACTTCAAAAAAAGAAAAGAATGCTACCTTGAAATTAAAGAGGACTGTGTGCTACCGCTGTACATTCTTTAATCATTGAATACTGAAAATAGACTTAAATCCTTGAACTCACCTTCAAAGTAAATAAACATGCCATTCTTTCTTCTGAATGCCTTCCGTTGTCTAATCACCACTGCAGGCATCACTAAACATAAAAAATGGCACGAAATTTGACAAAAAATCAACAACATTAGACAAAGTACTTTAAGAGCTAAGACAAAGTTATGGTGCAATGTTAATTGTCATTCTAACTTTTCAATTTGTTGACAAAATCCTTGATGATGTTACCACTCGAATGGAATCCCTTTGGTAGAACTTTTGCACACATGTAGGGCTTTCTTCTACTTTTTAGGATTTCACAACAAACATTCAGGATATTTTGTGAAATTTCATTTTGGAAATTGTTAGAAGAAAGTCAGCAGGACTAATGAATTTCAATAGGAAAGCAAAAACAAAATGAGTTCTGCTCGTTGTAGTAAAATGTTGTCATTGGAAAAATGGGGTACTATGGGTGAAAAGACGAGCCTGTAAGTCTAATCTCCAGGGCAGGGTTGTTCAAAGCTAGGTTAGGATAACCCAGGGTTCGTCCAAAATTTGAATTCAGATATGAAAGATTTAAAAGCAAATTCAGTTTAATTCTTTTTCTCTACTATCTGATGATTGGATGCTCTCAAAAGAATAGAGAAAATTAAATTCTTTTGAACAAAAGAAAAAGAAACTGGGAATAAAATTTAACCCCGGGCTAGCTTTAATTGGCCCTCAAACAACTGGGCCCTGGTTGCTGTTATGTATGCACGGCAGGTATGTACCCAGCATTCAACCAGACTTCCACAAAGAATAAATGACATACATAGAACGCAATCTGGTTACATGCATTTAAAACTTTAATCACATAAAAGCTATTCAAAGCACAGAGTTGGAGCAGTGTTCTCCAGTAATTTTTGAGTAGCCAGCTCCCAATTCAAAGTAACCGGTGTCTGGCATCGAGTGCCCATAGGGCGTGAGCAACCTAGAGGGATCCAGGAGCATGCTCCCCTGGCTCCCCCGGGATGCAATCTGACGCATTTTGAGGCTTACGACAACAGGAAAATCGAGGTCAGTTTTTAAGGCAGCCTGTCTCCAGTTTTTTTTTCCCAAGGAAAAGTACGCAATCCATAAGAATCCTAGTTGAAAGCAGCAATGTACATCACCATTTATTTTTAAACACTCGTTTACATGCGAAGTGTTACTTTGATTCCAAGGTATTTTATTCATAAATATCATCTGACAAAGTCTCAACAAAAAATTATTGTTCAGTGAAGTTATCTATAATACCCTTAGCAAAAGGCAAATTGTCATACACCATCTGGAGAGCTTTTATTTACAAGAAGTTATTGTTTTCATTTCCTTTTTGCACCTTCTGAAAAATGCAAGATAACACAGACACAGACAGTTTTTTTATGTTTTGAGTAATAAAAGTAGCCGGCACTTCGGAAATGAGTAGCCGGTGAAATCACCAGCCACCAGTGCTTCTAGAGAATGCTGGTTGGCCCAACAGTGATTTGATCTTTGATAGATCTCACCTGCTCTCCCTTACATTTGTTCACTCCTACAGTGTATTACAAGTTTGAACCATAGTTTGAAAAACAAAAGGGTAAAACAAAGACCAGTTTACATGTTGCTTCACTACAATGTAAGTCACAGGAGGTGTCAATGCCATTACATGCAGAGCAAATTGATACTAAATCCATCAACTTAGACAATCCTAACAATTTTCTCACCTTTTTTCCTGAGCTCTGGTTTTCCCTTTTTGACTGTAGCTAATACCATATCTCCTGACCCTGCAGCTGGTAATCTGTTCAGGCGACCCTTGATTCCCTTGACAGCAATAATGTAAAGGTTTTTGCCGCCTGTATTGTCTGCGCAGTTGATTACTGCACCAACTGGGAGACCCAGGGAGATACGAAACTTCCCTCCGGAAGAACCTCCACGTCCTGGAGAAAGAAAGTATACCAAGACAGTGCTTAACATATATTAATTCACTGAAGCAAGTTTTCCTTTAGACGTTTCCCTTGATACAATGTAGTGTAAATGCAGGATGCAAAAAAAATCATTTTTACAGCTTGCCATTCGGGCAAGCTGAAGCTAACATTTACTAGCCCAAACATCATTTCAACTAGCCCCAAAAACGTTTTGATGAGCAGATTGACTTCACAGTTCTTCTGTAATTTCAATTCGTCAAAAAACTTCATTTGCCCGTCCGGCAAGTTTATAAAAGAATTCACTACCCCGATAGCGAAATCCACTAGCCCCAGGCTATCGGACACTACTTTCTTTGCACACTGAAATGGCAAAATGCTACCAAGGACAACTAACAATCTGTTTCGAAGACAACATGTCCAGAATAATACAGTCAACTCTCGCCATACGGATACCCCAATAATACAGAGAGCAGCTAAACTCCTCAGTAAAAACAAATTATAGATGTTTGACTTACATAAACTCTTGCTATTACGCACTCTCCCTATAAATTATCTGCTATAAAGGGAGTTGACTGTATTATAAGCGTGTGATCCTATAATTATACTCTTAAGACATGTCTGCGCGACTGTTACATCCCTCGAAGTTTAATGTATAAATTTATATCTCAGCAACAAGACAGACCATCACTAACAAAGACAAACCCTAGAAAACTTTCCTTAAGAAGAAAGTCAGTTTATTACGATGATTTTAAATAAGAACCAAGATCGAGAGTAAACAAAAATATAAAGCACCACGATCGAAAATATTTATGTCTTCGAGAAACATTGACTTTCACCACGTGAATTTGAAAGCTCACAGGGCAAGTTATTCAAACTTTACACACCAAAAGAAAGGAAATTTAATGAATGTTGTAGTATAAGCAAAATTTTGACCGCAATGCCTTTAAACAAGACGATGCAAGACGATATAAACATCGACTGCTTACAATCCTCACCTCTCTTCGACATGTTGGATTGAGAAAGAGGAACAATGCGAAACGCGCAGGCGCCAAGTCGGACCCAGTCTTACTCTTCCTTCTCAATGCCCAGCGCGGACTCTGGGAACGAGATTGCTTCCCTCTGAGTATGATAGTGTACATTGCACGCTATTTTTTATTTCAAATTGTAACGTCTTAGCAAACCTCTTCATTATATGTAAAACCCTGAAGAAGGAAAGCCATGCCTTCCGAAACAGTGGTAAAAAATATACAGGGCGCGATCAATCAACCAAAATTTCCGGAAATTTCGGTCCAAAACTCAATGGATCGGTTCGGTCCAACCGGAAAAGTTTCGAAAACGCTGGTCCACTTTTTGAGGTGGACCACTTTTCCCGGTCGGACCGGTTGGAGTTTTGGTTGAATGGATCGCGCCCAATTATTTCCGACTGTAAAATCAGCCTTGCTTCTTTTCTTTTAAATTTTCAGATATTACTGATTAGATCCTTTATTAGGATCCGGTCCTTCTTTTTTGTAAGCTGGTCCTTGCTTCAAAAATTGAAATTCCTTCTGAGTGTCGAGCCCTACCTGACACCCTGCCTGACGCCGGCCCTACCTAGTCCTTGCCTAGACCCAGTTTTCGAAAAACTCACAGTAAATTTTTACTTTCTTATTGTCTTTTTTGAATGTACGATAATGCGTTTAAAATAATAAAAGTAAATATTGACCCAAGGGTAATCAGGCGTTTACGGTTGTTATGATTAAGAGTAATTGTTGTTCTAATTCTAAAATAAGTCTGTAAAAATTATTTTCACTACCTCAACGTTTGAAAATTTAAAACGAATGGTCTTTTCTGAAGGGGTACCGAGTCTCGTACAACTTAAATATTTGTGCGATTAATCTGCGTGTAGCAGGCATTCTAAACGTGGAAAGGGGAATATCGGGTGCAAGAACGATAGATACCTCCGCCTCCCCACCATTCTCTCCCAAATCCACTTTCCCCCAACATTCATTCGGGCGTCTAGCTAATCTAGTGCGCAATGAATGGTGACTTGTTCTCTCTCCTCCTCAGTAGCTCTAGCTGGGTATTCCAATACGTAGCAATATTTGAAATATAAAAATAATAGGCGCGCGGTGGACGCCACCGATCAATTGAATTATTCTTAAAAAAAAACAACGAGAATAGGCTGTACAGTTGAACCTCCGTTAATGAGCGGTCACCTAATAGGCGGCCACTAATCAATTTCCTGGAACAATTTTAGAAGCAAATGGCAAATTAAACCTCTATTCGGCGGCGACCTCTTTTTGCGCGCTATCCCAACGAAAGTTCTCCATTTGTTCTGTACTCTATTAACCGTCAGTCAAGCGCTTGATAGACTTAGTTTGGCTTAATTTCAAGGAAATGATTAAGGAAAACGGCAACCTTAAGCATCGAAAGTAGAACAGTGGAACAATCAATCAATCATTTATTTTAACACGTTACGTCAAAGAGCTAAAAAAACTCGTTCAAAATACGAACGTGTATAAATAAAATCTATAATAATTACAGCTATATAATATTATTCAATTTAAAAAACAACTCAATAAATATATAAATATAAAAGACTTGGTAATAGAAACATAAAATATAAAAAGCTAAACCCGACCAAAAAGCCACATACTAAAAACTTGACTAGGAAAACTATAATACTTGTTCTGAAAACAGTTAAAAGCTATCGCGCACTATAAGACACGTTCCAAAAAGCTGAAATCGTGCAATTTACTTCTGAAGTCATTAGCATCGCTTGAACGCCGCACTTGAGAAGGCAAACTGTCCCATAACTTAGTTAATGAATAAGTGAAAGAATTCTTCTTAAATTTCAGATTAAAGTTAGGTAATTCCAAATTCAAGCCCTCGCCTCTTGGCCTATACGGTGTATGCCTGTATTTAAAAAGGTTTCCAATATAAGTAGGTCCCGTACCATTTAAGCATTAAAAAGAAGTATTAACGCCTGGTGTAAGCGCCTACAATATAAGGATGTCATGCTAGCCGTAGTGAGCAGCTCGTCGTATGACATTGACTTGTTGTGCCCGATTAATGTTCTCAAAATATAACAGTTGCCATCTTCGAGACGGTTGCCTTGACCCGTACTTATGCCTACAAACAAAGGACTGCAGTATTCGAGATGAGGTAATATAAATGCTTTATAAAGTTTTATCATTGCATCATGAGGAAGAAAACCCCTTATTCTTCTCAGTGCAGAGGCCTTCGCGTAGACTTAGGGAACAGAGATGGTGCAACAGTAGAACAATCATGGAGAAACAGTAGAAAAGTGATGGAGGAACAATAGAACATCTCAGGGAGGAACACATGGTAGAACAGTGGAACATCTGATAGTGGAACAGCAGAACATCTAATGGTGGAACAGTGAAACATCCGACGGCAGGAGCAGTGGAACAGTAGAACACTTGATGCCAGAACACTTTAACATCTGATGGTAAAACATTGCAAGCTGATGGTGGAACAGTAGAACAGAGATGGGGGAACAGTGGAACAGTGGAACATCTGGTGGTGGAACAGTAGAACATCTGATCGTGGAACTGTGTAGCATCTGATGGTGGAAAAGTGGAACAGGGATGATGGAACAGAGGAACATCTAATAGTGGAACAGTAGAACCTCTAATGGTGGAAGAGTAAAACATCTAATGGTGGAACAATGGAACAGTAGAACATCTGATGGTGGAACATAGGAACATCCGGTGGTGGAAAGTGGAACTTCTCGTGGTAGAACACTGGAACTGAGATGGTGGAACAGTGGAACATCTAATGGTGGAACAGTGGAATAGAGACGGTGGAACAGTGCAACACCTGACGGTGGAACAGTGGAACATGTGATAGTGGAATAGTGGGACATCTGATAGTGGAACAGTAGAACTGCTGATGGTGGAACAGTAAAACCTGTGATGGTATAACAGCAACACATCTGGTGGTGGAACAGCAGAAGTGATGTAGGAACAATAGAACATCTCAGGGAGGAACAGATGGTGGAACAGTAGAACATCTGATCGCGGAACAGCAGAACATTTGAGGGTGGAACAGTGGAACATCTGATTGTGGAACAGGGGAACAGAGATGGTGAAACAGTGTAACATCTGATGGTAAAACAGTGGAACAAGGATGATGGAACAGTAGAGCCTTTGATGGTGGAACAGTAAAACTTATGGCGCAACAGTGGAACACTAAAACATCTCATGGTGGAACAGTGGAACATGTGGTGGTAGAAAGTGGAACATCTGGTGATGGAACAGAAAAACAGAGATGGTGGAATAGTGGAACATCTCAAGGTGGAACAGTAGAACATCTAATGCAGGAACACTGGAATAGAGACAGTGGAACATTCTAACATTTAATGATGGAACAGTGTAACATCTAATGATGGAACAGTCGAAAATCTGATCGTGGAAAAGTGGAACAGAAATGGAGGAACAGTGGATCATTTGATGGTGGAACAATGGAACATCTAATGATGGCACAGTGGAACCTCTGATGGTGGAACAGTGGATCATCTGATGGTGGAACAATAGAAAATCTGATAGTGGGCCACCAAAACATCTGATAATGGAACAGTGGAACATCTGGTAATAGAACAGTGGAACAGAGATGGTGGAACGGTAGAACATCTGATAGTGGAACAGTGGAACAGAGATGCTGGAACAGTGGAACATCTGATGGTGGAACAGTGGATCATCTGATGGTGGAACAGTAGAACATCTGTTGGTGGAACAGTGGAACAGAGATGGAGGAACAGTGGAACATCTGATGGTGGAACAGTAGAACCTCTAAAGGTGAAACAGTGGAACATCTAATTGTGGAATAATGTAACATTGGATCATTTGATGGTGGAACAGTGGAAAATCTAATGGTGGAACAGTAGAACATCTGATGATGGAACAGTGGAAAAGAGATGATAGAACAGTGGATCATCTGATGGTGGAACAGTGCAACATGTGATGGTGGAACAGTGGAATCTCTGATGGTGAAACCATGGATCATCTGATGGTGGAACAGTGGAACATCTGATGGTGGAACAATACAACATTTGATGGTCGAACAGAGGAACATCTGTTGGTGGTACAGTAGAATATCTGATGGTGGAACAGTGAAACATCTGATGGTGGAACAGTAGAACATCTGATGGTGTAACAGTGGAACATCTGATGGTGGAACAGTGGAACATCTAATGGTTGAACCATGGATCATCTGTTGGTGGAACAGTGGAAGATCTGATGGTGGAACAATACAACATTTGGTGGTCGAACAGTAGAACATCTGATGGTGGAACAGTGGAACATCTGATGGTGGAACAATAGAACATGTGGTGGTGGAACTGTGGAACACCTGATGGTGCAACAGTACAACCTCTGATGGTGGAACAGTAAGACATCTTATGGTTGAACAGTGAAACAGTGGAACATCTGCTAGTGGAACGGCAGAACATCTGATGGTGAAACAGTGGAACAGAGATGGTGGAACAGTGGAACATCTGAAGGTGGAACAGTGGAACAACAATTGGTGGAACGGTAGAGCCTCTAATAATAAAACAGTAGAACATGTAATGGTGGAACAGTCGAATACCTGATAGTGGAACATCCGATGGTGGAACAGTGGATCATCTAATGGCGGAAACGTGGAAAATCTGATGATAGAACAGTGGAACAGAGGTGGTGGAACACTTGAACATCTGATGGTGGAACAGTGGAACATCTGATGTTGGAAAAGTGGAACATGTGATGGTGGAACAGTGGAACCTGTGCGGGTGGAACCATGAATCATCTGATGGTGGAACAGTGGAATATCTGATGGTAGAACAATACAACATTTGATGGTCGAACAGTGGAACATCTGTTGGTGGAACAGTAGAAGATCTGATGGTGGAACAGTGGAACATCTGATGCTGGAAGAGTGGAACATCTGATGATGGAATAGTGGAACATCTGTTGGTGGAACAGTGCAACATCTGATGGTGGAACAGTGGAACATCTGATGGTGGAACAATACAACTTTTTATGGTCGAACGGTGGAACATCTGTTGGTGGAGCAGCAGAACATCTGATGGTGGAACAGTAGAACATCTGATGGTGGAAGAGTGGAATACCTGATGGTGGAACAGTGGGACATCTGATGGTGGAATAGTGGAACATCTGTCGGTGGAACAGTACAACATCTGATGCTGGAACAGTGGAACATCTGATGGTGGAACAATACAACATTTTATGGTCGAACGGTGGAACATCTGTTGGTGGAGCAGTAGAACATCTGATGGTGGAACAGTGGAACATCTGATGGTGGAACAGTGGAACATGTGGTGGTGGAACAGTGGAACACCTGATGGTGCAACAGTAGAACCTCTGATGGTGGAACAGTACGACATCTTATGGTGGAACAGTGGACCATCTGCTGGTGGAACGGCAGAACATCGGATGGTGGAACAGTGGAACAGAGATGGTAGAACAGTGGAACATCTGAAGGTGGAACAGTAGAGCCTCTGATAATGGAACAGTAGAACATCTAATGGTGGAACAGTGTAATACCTGATGGTGGAACAGTGGGACATCTGATGGTGGAACAGTGGATCATCTGATGCTGGAACAGTTGAACATCGGATGGTGGAACAGTGGAACATCTGATGATGGAATAGTGGAACATCTGATGGTGGAACAGTACAACATCTGATGGTGGAACAGTGGAACATCTGATGGTGGAACAATACAACATTTTATGGTCGAACGGTGGAACATCTGTTGGTGGAGCTGTAGAACATCTGATGGTGGAACAGTGGGACATCTGATGGTGGAACAGTGGATCATCTGATCCTGGAACAGTTGAACATCGGATGGTGGAACAGTGGAACATCTGATGATGGAATAGTGGAACATCTGTTGGTGGAACAGTAGAACATCTGATGGTGGAACAGTGGAACATCTGATGGTGGAACAATACAACATTTTATGGTCGAACGGTGGAACATCTGTTGTTGGAGCTACAGAACATCTGATGGTGGAACAGTGGAACATGTGGTGGTGGAACAGTGGAACACCTGATGGTGCAACAGTAGAATCTCTGATGGTGGAACAGGAAGACATCTTTTGGTGGAACAGTGGAACAGTGGAACATCTGCTGGTGGAACGGCAGAACATCTGATGGTGGAACAGTGGAACAGAGATGGTAGAACACTGGAACATCTGAAGGTGAAACAGTGCAACAACTAATGGTGGAACAGTAGAGCCTCTGATAATGGAACAGTAGAACATCTAAATGGTGGAACAGTGGAATACCTGATGGTGGAACAGTGGAACATCTGATGGTGGAACAGTGGATCATCTGATGCTGGAACAGTGGAACATCTGATGGTAGAACAGTGGAACAGAGATGGTGGAACAGTGGAACATCTGTTGGTGGAACAGTAGAACCTTTTAAGGTGGATCAGTGTAACATCTGACTGTGGAAGAATGTAACAGTGGAACATCTGATGGTGGAACAGTGGAACATCTGGTGGTGGAATAGTGGAACATGTGATGGTGGAACAGTGGAACCTCTGATGGTGAAACCATGGATCATCTGATGGTGGAAGAATAAAACATTTGATGGTCCAACAGAGGAACATCTGTTGGTGGAACAGTAGAATATCTGATGGTGGAACAGTGGAACATCTGATGGTGGAAGAGTGGAACATCTGATGGTGGAACGATGAATCATCTCATGGTGGAACAGTGGTACATCTGATGGTGGAACAATACAACATTTGATGGTCGAACAGTGGAACATCTGTTGGTGGAAAAGTAGAACATCTGATGGTGGAACAGTGGAACGTCTGATAATGGAATAGTGGAACGTCTGTTGGTGGAACAGTACAACATCTGATGCTGGAACAGTGGAACATCTGATGGTGGAACAATACAACATTTTATGGTCGAACGGTGGAACATCTGTTGGTGGAACAGTAGAAGATCTGATGGTTGAACAGTGGAACATCTGATGCTGGAAGAGTGGAACATGTGGTGGTGGAACAGTGGATTACCAGATGGTGCAACAGTAGAACCTCTGATGGTGGAACAGTAAGACATCTTATGGTGGAACAGTGGAACAGTGGAACATCTGCTGGTGGAACGGCAGAACATCTGATGGTGGAACAGTGGAACAGAGATGGTAGAACAGTGGAACATCATGAAGGTGGAACAGTGGAACAACTAATGGTGGAACAGTAGAGCCTCTGATAATGGAACAGTAGAACATCTCATGGTGGAACAGTGTAATACCTGATGGTGGAACAGTGAAACATCTGGTGGTGGAACAGTGGAACAGAGATGGTGGAAGAGGAAAACATGTGATGGTGGAACAGTGGAACATCTGATGGTGGAACAGTAGAACATCTGATGGTGGAACAATACAACATTTGATGGTGGAAGCATGGAACATCTGATGGTGGAACAGTGGAACGGAGATGGTGGAACAGTGGATTATCTGATGGTCGAACGGTGGAACATCTGTCGGTGGAACAGTAGATCATCTGATTGTTTACAGTCAAACCAGGTCAAGCGTTCCCGTCGCTAACAAACTAATGAATTCATTAATGGAAAAATGATTTCGTTTGTTGATTCAATAATCCATTCATAAAATGAATAATCCAACAGCCAAATTGTACCTCGATTCAATAATCAAATGTTGATTTGGTTTATGAACAAAATCTACTTGTTCTTTATTCTTGTCTGTTGTGTTCAATCGTATTTGCTTCCCTTTTCCTGCCGTTTACGATTGCGTTTTTCCATTGCCTTTAATCAAAATAACGGCTAGAATAGACACCGCAAACGCAAAGAAACTGACAAAGGCCGAGGATCGAAATCCACCAATCACCGCACATACACTGACCTCAGTTTGACCGTCGTGTTTCCTAAGAGGTCAGGCCTAGGTCTGTTGCACTGATTACTGGCAGCAAACTGGCGTACATGTAACAGTTTGTTTCGTTTTGAACTTCAGAACTCGCCAGCCATCGACTCTCAGAAAAAAAGAGGAAAAAACAAAATTCTGAGGTCAACTTGTGGAAAGTGTAATTTTTCAAAAAAACAGTAATCGAATCAACATTCGATTATGGAATCGAGGCTAAATATGCTGGAAAAGTGAAGGTTTGACGGCGGAAGAGTTGGACAATGATGATGGACATCACCCAGTCATGGTCACTCCCAACGTCTGCTGCAAGAAAGGCTCTTGTATGTTTCATTTGAATAGAAGGTTTTAATTTTTTTCTAACTATTATGAAGTTAATTTGATAGCTCTGGCCGTTTAGAGCACGCGAACTTACCAACCTTGATCGCTTGTGTTTAATTAGTGTGTTGGCGATCACTAACTTGTGCCTTTCAGCAAACTCTAATGCTTTCTGCCCTCTTTCATTGGTTGCTTCGACACTGTACCCGCCTACGACACCTTTCCAATTTGGTATGGTGACACCGTCGATCTGAGCATTGCAGTCCGTTTTCGGAAGAGAAATGGCACGATAAGCATTCGAGTATGATGTCTTTAATAACTCTTTTAAGCCATAAATTAAGGATATATATTTGACACATTTAAGTAATTATCTAGTATATTTTCTAACTGCTGATTTAACACAGCTAGAGTTCTTCTATTTATCACTTTTCTTATATTCTCTAAATGAAAGCTACAGCGCAATACTTTTCTGTGGTGCTGTTAACAATACTAATACTGTACAAGGTGGTTCTCCGTTTTGAGTGAATGGATGAAATCCTAAAGTGTGATCATTCAGATGAAAGCTACTGAGCAGTACTTTCGTGTGGTAGTTTATAATCTGCATTTAACTCTTGGCTTTGAGGTTAAAACTTTCAGTGAGACTATTTAAATAGAACTCAGTAAATAAAGCTTGGTCCTAGTTGTTCTAATTTCTTAAGTAAATAATCATGGGGTTATTTGCACATATGGATAATGATGGGTAGATAACTCAAGAAACTTCTCCCATCACGATTTCTACTTAAAATAGCGCCACAACGTTAAATAATTAAAAACTCCTATCATCTGTTTTGGTGAATAAATATAGCTTTAGCTAGCATTACGTAAACTATAAACTGACAGTTTTTAAATTATCTGCTTGAAGCTATAATTTCTCCGCTCTGAAATAATTACCCCTGAGACTAAACATAAAAATGTATATACACCATCTGCAGTTAACTAGAGACTGCAAAAGGTCACAGTCCGCGGTTGAACAATGCGATTGTATTTTAACGACGCGTTACACTACATTACGTGAACTCCTCTATAAAATTGACGAGGATGTTTTCTGGGGATTTTCTAAAACAAAGTGGACATGGTAACATAATTTTGTTATCGAGCATTCCCCCTTCGGAAGGTAATTTTTATTCAACAGATTTTTGTAAGCAACTCATTTGAAATGAAACGATAAAGCATAGTAAGTCAAAGAATCGGTTAAAAGCGTTATTTTACATTTTCAGTTAGCATCCTTGGCAATGATAATGGACAGATTTTTATCGTCATATCTATAGACGATAACGATTTCATCACCTGGCCTCATACCATTATCTTTGTGAAGCTCCTTGCTGTCCCCGCTAAATCACCCCAAATAAAGCCTGTGTCTTTTAAAAATATTTTTTGAGGTAATGGTCTTCTAATGACACGCCTTCATGAGTGGTCGGAGGTCGATTTTTCCCCTTCGCCAGGTGTCGCAGAGGAATGACCAATGTGAGTACGTACATTTAGCCTTAGCTGAGTTAACGCTAGTAAATACTTAAGGAGTGAAGGGCTAAAGCACTAGCTGCCCATTAGTAGAGTTTCGTCTGCATTGTTTCGAAAGTGACCTCACAATTCACACAGTTTCTGACGAACTTTCCGCCATTGTTTCTGGCGCTGTTTCTGTGCTTGCCTTTGCCGCAGTTTCTGTGGTTGTTTCTGTAACAGTTTCGGTCACGGTACTTGATTCCGTGCTTGTGTCTGACCCTGTTACTGTTGTATTCAATGTCGCAGGTTCTGTCATTGCTTCTGTGGTGGCGGTCTCCATCACAATTTCTGTCGCTGTTGCTAAGGCCTTTTCTGTCACAGTTTGTGTTTTCGTCTTTGTCGCAGGTTCCATACCTGTTTCTATGGTCGTTTCTTTCGCCACAATGTCGGCAGATTCTGTCGCAGTTTCGCTTATACATCCTGATCTGTCCTCATTATCATCCGTGGTACTCAATTCCCCTCTGTCACTTAAAAGCTGCTTTGTAACCTTTTCATTTACAGCCTTATCTGCGGTTTCCTCTTCTGTGATAGACTCCTTTTCTGTAACTGATTCTTCAATGGTATTTACATGCAACTTGTTAACATTTTCAGCTTCGCTGGTCTGCGCTTCGCTGGTCTGGTCGTCTCCATCGCCTGAGTTTTCAGCTGTGAAGCACGTTTCTTGAGGCTCAACTGAATCTACTTCTGTAAGCTGTACGTGTTGTTTGTGATCCGGTAAGCAAGAGGCAACAGCCCCACTTTCTTTTATTCCTTCAGTGCAACGGACAAGGCTTTCGGTCTCATCCTGACAAACGGGATTCAAAGCAGACTCAGCACTGCACCGTTCAGTCATTTCCTCACTGCTTTCAACTCTATCTTGGCACATAGAAGCCTCGAATTTAAGCCCGTTTCCCCAAGAAAGTTCCTCGTGTTTACTTACTTGAATATTAAGTTGTTGTTCATCAAGAGCACTACACCCTTCAAGGACTCCATCCCTTTCTTCCATGGGGTTTAAAACTGTCTGGCCTGTTAATTCTTGCCCATCTTCTCTTAAGGCCGAAACTACGGCAATTTTGAATCCATACATAGGATTGTTTGGTGAAGACTTGGCAAAGTCTTGTAAAGATAACTCGCCTTCAGTTCTAACAACATCATGAGAAAGATCACCAATCGGAGACTCTGCCCCAACTCCCTCTTCTCGCTCCGTTAAAATCATGTCGAGGCTTTCACGGCTTCTTCTCATCTCATGAATTTCTTCACTTATTCCTTCTAAGTTCTTGAGAGCCAGGGAGTACTTTCGCTTTACCTTTTTAAGACTTTCTTGAGTGCACTCAACTTGTCGCTTATGAGCCTGGACAACGAAGAAAAGCATGTCAAAACCTGAGAAAACATATCGCATAAGAAGATTCCCCAAGGGGTCTATGATACTGGAAATGATGGTGACCACCTGTGGCTTGTTCCGTGTTCTTTTCGTTTCTGTTTTAGGCTGTTTTATTGTGATTTTATAAGCCTGCAAGCAAGCCCTCCATTTAGGGATATCTACCAGCCAGCGTCAGTCAAAACGTACTCTGCCAGCAGAGCTTTCTCTCTCGCATGGCTTTTAGCGTTAACGGAGTCACACGGTTGTAAGACCCCTGGTTGTAAGACACCTGGTTGTAGGACCATGGGTGTAAGACCCCTTGTTGTAAGACACACATGGTTGTAAGACCTCTGGTTGTAAGACCCCTCGTTGTAAGACCTCTGGTTGTAAGACCCCTGGTTGTAAGATGGTTTTAAGACCCCTGGTTGTAAGGCCGATGGTTTTAAGACCCCTGGTTGTAAGACCTCTGGTTGTAAGACCGATGGTTAAAGACCGATGGTTGTAAGACCCCTGGCTGTAGGACCCCTGGTTGTAAGACCCCTGGTTGTAAGACACATGGTTGTAAGACCCATGGTTGTAAGAACCATGGTTGTAAGACCCCTGGTTGTAAGACACCTGGCTGTAGGACCCCTGGTTGTAAGACCATGGTTGTAAGACCCCTGGTTGTAAGACCCCTGGTTGTAAGACACCTGGTTGTAGGACACCTGGTTGTAGGACCATGGGTGTAAGACCCCTGGTTGTAAGACACATTGTTGTAAGACCTCTGGTTGTAAGACCGATGGTTGTAACACCGATGGTTGTAACACCGATGGTTGTAAGACCTCTGGTTGTAAGAGCCCTGGTTGTAAGACCGATGGTTGTATGACCTCTGGTTGTAAGACCCCTGGTTGTAGGACCCCTGGATGTAGGACAGCCTTATGTAAGACCCCTGGATGTAAGAACCCCTGATCGCAAGTCCCATGGATGTAAGAAGACAGCTTGTAAGACCCCTTGCATTTAAGACACCTAAATCTTAGACACCTTGAAGGCTGTAAGACCCCCTGCCATACGCCTTTTTGTTGTAAGAGGCCTGGATTCAAGACCCCTGATAACAAGACCCCCGAACGTAACACCAATGGATGTAAGACCTATGGATGTAAGACCCCGAACTTAAGACCCCAGTAGTCACAATATAAGAGCGATGTTTTATATCAGGAGGTTTTGGTATCTTTTTCACAGTACTTAAAACCTGGAATATGCGCCTATCCTAAAGGTAGAAAATGTTAATAAACATCGAGCCTCAAATAAGCGCGCACCACCCCAACCCCTCCCACTCATTTTCAAATAAGCGCCCACCCAGGAAAGGGTTTTCAGAGTTAGCCTGCAGAACAGGCATTATCAATTATTGTGCATTTTTCAGCATGGTGAAGGCAAGAGCTAAATATCGAGCAAGGAGTGCCAGACATAACACATGCGCAATGGGGGAAGGTGCACGTGTCTCATAACTGGTGCTGCTTGCTCTATATTTGTGCCTGCCATCGCTCACCTGAAAATCGTGTATTCTATATTCAAGGGTGATAAAATAAGTACGTAGCGAAATGAATAACACAGTAAATACCTCTAATATTGAGTCATACTTCATCTTTAATTCAAAATATGGTCTGCAATAGAAATGAACAGATGCATCAGTTAAATAGCTCACAGTAAATCTAGTGGGAGACAGTTGAGTGATTTGATTGGAAGTGTTACCTACATGTTAAGGTTTTATACACCAACCAAACTGATGTCAGCCTGTGTAGCAGCTGTTTTCATTTCCTCTTAGCTTTTTAGTAAGAGAAGCGCACAAGATGCATGAGGGCAAGGTATAAAACTAGGACTGAGGGGAAGGAAGCAGGGCAGGGAAGAAGAGGAGACACTGTTCGGGTGACAGCCTGCTGATTCTGACTGGGCTTTTGCAAGATTAATATAATTTTGGAAGAAGACTACTTCACGAAATTAAGATCTACCTAAAAAAAAAAAGTGTCACAGACACAGATTTTACTCCTGGCTGGACAAAAAGGGTTGTGAATCAGGCAAAACAAGAAAAACATTCTGTTACACAATTTGGAGACTTCTAGTTTACGAAGGTCCTAGGTTACCTGGACTTGTTGATGGCAGACTTAAGTTTAGTTCTTAATTCTTTCACTTTATTCCCAGCCTCAGAGAATGCACGTGCAGTGTGTAGGTGATCCTTTTCACTCCGAACTCGCTCCTTATCAGATTCCATCACCTACCAAGCAAAGTTCAAGTTAATTCTCCAACACAAAAACAGTGAGAGATAAAATAAAAAGGGGAGTCCTGTTTCAAAAAATCAGGATCCTGCAAACTCAGAAATATCATTACCAAAACGAAAAATTGTTAAGAAAACCCCCAATTCCTCTGATCTAGCAACAAAAGTACTAGCTCAATGGAAAATTGAAAAAATGCGAGAACTGACATACTTGAATAAAACGACACCTGTTTAAGAGAAAATCTCCCCTGCTTAAATTTTTATTTACATTTACTTATTTGTATTTGGAGTTGTTATAACTGTCATGTAACGTCATGTCACGTTATATGACGTTACATGACATTACATGACGTTACATGACGTTACATTACATTACATTACATGACATAACATGACATTACATGACGTTAAATGACGTTACATGACGTTATATGACATTACATTACATGACGTTACATGACGTTACATTACATTACATGACGTTACATGACGTTATATGACATTACGTTACATTACATGACGTTACATGACGTTATATGACGTTGCATTACATTACATGACGTTACATGGCGTTACATTACATTACATGACGTTACATGACGTTATATGACATTACATTACATTACATGACGTTACATGACGTTAAATTACATTACAAGACGTTACATTAAATTACATTACATTTATAACAGTTATATAACTGTTATATAACTGCTATAACAAACAGTTATGTATCTGTTATATAACATTTATATATAACAGTTATATATAACTGTTATAAAATTGTTATAACAAACAGTTATATAACTGTTATATATATCTGTTATATAACAATTATATATATACCATATATAACAGTTATTACTGTTATATAACTGTTATAACAAACAGTTATAACAAACAGTTATATAACTGTTATATACCAGTTATATAACAGTTATAGCGGAGCTCCACGCGCGCGCGTGTGGGCGGAGCCCAATAGCTAAGTAAATCTACCCATCCCAGAAAATTTGGTTATCACGTGACCGTACACCGAACGAACGACCGTCCGTCCGCACCACAGGCATACCAATGTTTACTCTCAGACTTTCTAGCTAGTTTGGGAGCCCAGGAGAAAACTGATTGCACATCAATGCTGTGATCAATTGACAGCCGTCAAAACAGGGTATCCGCTGACCAGTATCACCTGACCGTATCGCGGGCTCAGGTGTCGACCCATCGAGGTCGAATATTTTTGAAGTTATCCGCTGACAACTTACTACTTTTCAAATGATCGCAGGCTCAAGTGTGTTTTTTAAAAATGTATATAAATATGTCGTGTTTAAGTCACCATGGCCCAGCACTATTAAGATTTTGACTTCAAACTTACCTCGGACACGAAAATTCAGCCAGCTATTTAAAAATACAGGTTGGGAAGACCTTTTCTTACCATGGTGAGGCGTTGGTCATGCTCTACGTCCAATTTATATGCTCTGATTGGTCAAAATTTGACAGGTGAGTTCATGCGGAAAATTTATGCAGCATCTTGAAACTTGTTTACTTTGACAGCTGAAGCTGGCAGAGTTTTGTGTCAACTTGTGATGTTTTTTAATGTCTTTTTCCACTGGATGTACAAAATGAAATACAGCTGCTATCAAGAGTCTTCTGTTATTCATGGCTGGTTTGTTTATCGGCTTTTTGGTTGAGAAATGCGTCACTTGTCAAAGTCGGAAATCCGATTTCGGATGGCATCGTTTTCGTTTTTCACCTTGCTTGATACGGAAGAGGAGTTTAAAAGTCTCAAGCGATTCCGGCCTTACTTGATAGCTTTCAGGAGCTGCATCTCAAATGGTAAGCCTGAGTAATTATTGTATCTGATGTTTGTTTTTTTTATATCTAACCTCATGAAGTCGAGCACAGTTTATGCGGCAAGTAAATTATGCACGTTTGTAAGATTTGAGACAATGATCTGACCTAGTAAGCTTACAGAACTTTAAAAAGCCTTTAGACATATTTTCTCACCGCAAATAGAAAGAAAACGTTCGGAAGAATATTTAGTTATAAATTTGCCTGTAGAAAGAAAACTTTGAGCGATTTTCTTGCCTCGAGTTCATCTTTGAAAAAAGCAAACACCGGGAAGCCGGCTTAAAACATAAACTTAAAGACTCAGGATTTTTAGAGACACTTTAATACTTGTCTTCGTGAATGAAAATTGCTGTCTCTTTAAATGTTTCACCGAATTATATTTCTTTTAATGATTGTTAGAAGTCTCTTTTGCAATTTTAATCGCTGTGCCGTTTGTTTTCAGTCTTTCATGAACATCGCTATCAGGAGTACTCAAAATGTCGCGTGTATCAAACGCTTTTCAAGATTACACATCGTTAAAAAGCCTCTATAAAGCCATTAAATAAAAAAATTAACAAAACAAATTCGTTATTATGTTGAAGCGTACCTCTATTAATGTTCATTCACACACTCGACCGCCTGTCAAAAGTGAGAACCGGCTGGCCGTATAGGTGATTTTGGCAATTTTTTGGACCGTTTCACTAAAAGCTAACGATTGATCGTTCTAAATATTGACTGAGTGCAATTTGTCTTGAAAAACAGTGAAAGACTGCATTCTGTCCGAGGTCTGTACGATAAATACAGCGCCTCATAGTACTGTTTCAGATCACCTCAGGTGTGATGTATAAAGAGTATAAAAGGTTGGTTTACACACCTCCAGATTTGTTGGCAAGATTTTGTAAAGAAAAGTTATCGAACGCAAAAGATTCGGCCTGATTTGTTTTCCAGGCCTAATCTAATGTGATCAACAGCCGTTATGGCTCTCGAATGTGATCCAAGATCATTGCTATCTTTTGGGTGAACATATAAGTCAACTCGATGTGAGATGTTTCACTCTAAAATCACTTAGCTTTTCCCTCAAAAGCCACATGAATGTGCCCTTAAGTTAACTGATTTGTGGATTACAAGTTTATTGTTTGATTTAAATTATATATTTATGAATGGGAGCTTCGCTTTTTAGCCCTGGCTAAATCTATATACTATAACTGTTTGTTAAAACAGTTATATAACAGTTATATAACTGTTATATAACAGTTGTATATACTGTTATAACAAACAGTTATACAACTGTTATATAATATAACAGTTATATAACTGTTTGTTATATATATAACTAATATATAATAGTTATATAACAGTTATATAACTGTTTCTTATAACTTTTATATTAAAATGTTATATAACAATCATATAATTGTTATATAACAGTTATAACATAACTGTTATATGACAGTTATATAACTGTTATATAACTGTTATATGACAGTTGTATAACAGTTATATAACTGTCATATAACAGTTATATATACTGTTATAAGAAACAGTTATATAACTGTTATCTAAGTGTTTGTTATATATATAACTGTTATATAACAGTTACAAATTTACTGTATATAGCAGTTATAACTGTTATATAACTGTTATAACAAACAGTTATATAACTGTTATAAACCAGTTATATAACAGTTAAACCAAACAGTTATATAACTCTTATATAACTGTTTGTTATAACAGTATATATAACTGTTATATGACAGTTATATAACTGTCATATAACAGTTATATAACTGTTCTATAACAGTTGTTATATAACTGTTATATAACAGATAACTGTTATATACAGTATCTATAACTGTTATATAACAGATATATATAACTGTTATATAACAGTTATATATATACTGTATATAACAGTTATAACAAACACTTATATAACTGTTATATAACAGTTATATATAACTGTTATATAACAGTTATATATAACTGTTTATAACTGTTATATGACAGTTATATAACTGTTTGTTATAACAGTATATATAACTGTTATATGACAGTTATATAACTGTTATATAACTGTCATATAACAGTTATAACAAACAGTTATATACAGTATATATAACTGTTGTATAACTGTTTGTTACAACAGTTATATATAACTGTTTGTTATAACACTTATATAACAGTTATATACAGTATATATGTAACTGTTATATAACAGATATATATAACTGTTATATAGCAGTTATATATATACTGTATATAACAGTAAACTGTTATATAACTGTTATAACAAACAGTTATATAACAGTTATTAACGCCTGCGTCGCAAGTGGAGGTTGGGTGCCCATGGGCCAGGGGGCTGCAACCGCAATACACCCCAAGGCGGAAGAACACCCACAGGCCTACCAACCCGCAACCCAGCCACGAGCCCCCCCGCGCCCAGCCCCCCATTATAGCACCCGTCACACTGAGGCCAGAAGCCCAGTGGAAGTAAAATGAACCAACCCCTGAAAAAAAATAAATAACTAAATAAATAAGAAAGAAAGCGGAGGGAGGGAGGGGAACCAAGAGAAACGCTACGCTACTGGAACGCCACGCCACGCTAACAAAGCTTCGAGTACAACGCAAACCCAATGTAGGCACGTGGCCTTCGCATGCGCCAAAGCGACATACCGCTGGACAGGAATCTGCCCTCCAGCTCACGAACAATGGTAAACGCTACAAACGCAAACATAGTCACGCACAACGCTACAGATGACCAACGCGCTACCAAAGAATGCCAAAAACACCCGGGACCATAGCTCCTGGTCGTTAACTACATTAAATATGATTTAATAGTATTTAACGCCTGCGTCGCAAGTGGAGGTTGGGTGCCCATGGGCCAGGGGGCTGCAACCGCAATACACCCCAAGGCGGAAGAACACCCACAGGCCTACCAACCCGCAACCCAGCCACGAGCCCCCCCGCGCCAAGCCGAAGGAACCTCCGGGTCGGAAACCCGGAGCAAGGGGGCTCGGGGCTGCAGAGCCCCAGGCCCCGAGGGCCCAAACCTGAGGCACCCACCCCCACGGCAGCCCCAAAGGTAGTACAGATACCTGCTATGCAGCCAGCTGTGTGGATACGTGGATGATGGAGCTAACTGGAGTGCGAATATAAATCTGGTAGGCATCACTAGACCACCGGCCTAGGGTCTTGATCAGATGATCCGGAACTCCCCGAGCAGCAGCTGTAGTTGCCGCCCCAATACGGAAGCTATGGCCTGAATAAGAGCCAGTATAGCCAGCTGAGTGCAAGATAGACTGAACTGTGGATGACAATTGTTGCCGAGTAAGAGGGCGACCGTCACTAAAAGTAAAGAGAGGACCCTCAGAAGAGCCACGCAGAGCCAAGAAGTTGCCCAAAGCACGGATGGGACACACCAGGCCCTCACCACGCCCCACATATATATCACAGCCCATGCGAAACGGATCAGTCTTAGAGCACTTGATATGAACTTTAAAACAGGAAGGATTCACCAGGGAATCAGCTTGCAGGTCAGCAACAGTCATATGGATACTAGGCTGAAATGCAGAATTCACTGTGAACTCCCCAGCTCGTAAGAAACCGAAGAAACCCAAACAGCATGCCGCCCACAGCATCACATGGTCTCTCCTGGAGAAGTCCAGACGATGTTGAATCGCCCGCAGATGATCCAGGGTGATAGGCAGGCGCCGGGGTGATACTGGACCTTGAACCCGCTTAATTCCCCTGAGTAAACGCTGCAAACGAAGGCAGTTGACGAAAGGGTCTGACAAGCCATGGTCAATGTGAAGGGAACGTACTGCTGACAGGTATACTTTTATAGATGCGTGGGTCAAGTTGTCGGCCAAGAGTGAAGCAAAGCGCATGAGAGTCTCCTCATCGGCAGGAGGGAAGGAGCCATCGCTGTTAAGGCGACCATCCCGGCGGCAAAAGTCAATATAGCGACGCTGAGCAGAGAGATAAACACGCCGAGTGGAGGGCGCGAGTCCCTGGGAGAGCAGAAACTGACACCTCTGGGTCAACACGTCTGGAGTGCGGCCAGCAGCGACTCGGGAATCACACAGGGAGTCAGGTCGGCTTGAGGTGCCAGACGACGAAAACGCTGAAATTGAAAACGTGAGAGGGAGTCAGCTACTGGATTGGCCAAGCCGCGAACTGAAGACGCCGTAAACATAAATGAGTGGCGTATAGCCAGCAAGGATAAATGACGCAGCAGCCCCATCAAGTGGTGGTCCCGTGAAGTGCCAGACTTAAGTACAGCCACCACTGACTCATTGTCGCACAGGAACTCGACCCGCCGAGAGCCCCACTGAGAACCCCATAAGGCGGCGGCTACAACGATGGGGAAGAGCTCCTTGTACGCAATCGATAACGACCGTTGCTCCATAGACCAAGCGCCGCAAAACCACTTGGTGTTAAAAATAGCCCCATAGCCCAGTGACCCTGCAGCATCCGACGAGACTTGGAAATCCGGGACGGGCGCCCACGTGGGCATGCAAAAGAAACTGAGGCCATCCCAGGTTTGAAAAAGCTCCCGCCACCAGGTAAGGTCCCGACGGAATTCTTGGTTTAGCCTGATGGGATGATCGTCCAGGCGGAAGGCACAAAGCAAGTCAATCATCCGACGAAGAAAAGTCCTCCCCTGTGGGGCAACCTTGCAGGCGTGATGGACGTGGCCAATCAAGGATTCCAACTCCCGCCTCTTACAGAAACGCTTGGTGGACCACTCTTCAAGTAAGGCAACAATCCGGTCTCTTTTCTCAGAGGGCAGGCGAGCCTCAAGCCTATCGGAGTCGAGTTCAATCCCGAGGATAGTTAAGCAAGTCGTTGGTCCCTCTACCTTGTCCGGATGAAGGGGGAGACCAAGCCTTTCGCAAAGGCGAACACAGGTAAGTAAGTAGAAGTGGCAGAGCGGGGATGACGGTGGACCAAGGGTAAAAAAGTCATCCAGGTAGTGGCGTAAGAAGTCCACGCCATAATTATGAACCAAGATCCATTCAACCAGGTCCGCAATGGAAGTGAAAATAAATGGCGCTGAACGGAACCCAAACGGGAGAACCAGATCGACAAAGTACTTCCCACGCCACTGCATCCCCAGCAAGGGGCGATCGTCGGGATGGATAGCCACATTCCGGTATGCACTGGCCACATCGAACTTAGCCATTAGTGTTCCGCGACCCCACGCCATGATGCCCTCAATAACTGCATCGACTGAAACGTACTGCACTGTGAAGGGAGGCTTGGGAATGCCATCGTTCGCGCTGTGCCTAACAGGAGAGGAGAGGTCAAGGATGAGACGCCATTTGCCTGGTTGATTGTTCTTGGGAATGACCCCAAAGCGGCTGCTGTGTAGAGAAGGAAAAGGAGGGGCTGAAAAGGGGCCAGCCACCCTACCGGAGGAAACTTCGGTCTGCAAGTAGGAGTCTATCACAAATGGGTGCTCGAAGGAGGAACGCATGTTCGAAGAAGCGGACTTAAGATTGACCATGGACGCCTCAAAGCCAATACGAAAACCCTCACGTAATCCTGACAACACATAGGCCACTGCCGCCTGGTCTGGATGATGCTGAAGTTCTATCTGAAATTGAGCCGGCCGTAGTGGAGAGACCTGGGAGGCTGGGGCTAACGGCGAGAAAGAATGAACAGAAACTGCAACGCTGGGTATACTAACTGGAACTGTAACAGAACAAGACGGCTTCACCGAGGAACGCAGATCACGCTGCCCCCGTGACGACGCAACAAAACTATTTACACTATGTACACAAGCCTCACCGGGCAAAACTGCCCATTCAGTACCGTCCCCCTCTCCCCCCGGGTTGGGGAGATCGGGATCGTGCGCCAGAGGAGTTGGGAAATGGACAATTGATCTGGGTGTGTTCGCCCTCACAGTTACTGCAGCGGTGTCGATATTTGCACCTACCAAAGGGCCAGCGGCACTGCCCGTCATTCCATGAATGGCAAAAAGGAGGGACCAGGCTGGTGTCACGGGAGGCGGCAGGAAGTGGAGCTGATGCCGTGGAAGAAGACGACCGAGGTGGCGGGGGTGAGGCCATGGTTGGAGACCTTAAGTGAAAGTTGTATAGGTCTAAGTTCATCCTTGACCAGTCACTGAGGCCAGAGGCAGCCGCATCCTTTCTGAACGCCAGGTCATACTCTAACCAGGCTGAACTAGAAAAATGACGAGCCGTTTGAATGATAAGCAGCTTATACTTGGAGAGATCGGGCCAACGATGAGGGTGAGCTGCGCACAGCACCATCTGAAAAATAGTAAAGGCTTCCGTCCAAGTCAAAATGTCTTTTATTTCCACTTGCCTGCGTTTTGACGAGGACACCAAAAGCTTACCATCGAGGAACGTTTGCGGCTCCTGCTCCACGGCGCGAAGGTTCACGGACAACAAATCTGCCAACTCGACAAACTGGCCACCTACAGTTTTTGACACTAGTTTTGAGGGAATAGGGGCATGCCCCGGACCAACGATAAAAGCCTTCTCAGACTTGGGAGATACCAACGAAGACTCAAGGCTTGGAAGACCGCTAGTAACGGCGGGCGATACGAAAGTGGAGGGAGTAGGAGCCACGGGGCGGGCCGAGCTCGAGACGGTAATGGCCGGCACTGGCGTAAACGTAGGAACAAACGCGGGAAGGGTAAACGTACCTGAAGCCACCGAAGAAACACCATCACTTGTACTCCCACTCGAAGTGGACGCTGAAGAAAATAAAGGTTGTGGAGCCCCGCTAGCAGAAACGCCTGGAACCGAAGAAGAAGCCTGCGAGGAGGCGTTTCTCTGGATCGATGAAATAATGGCGGGAATGGAGTTTCCGATTGCCCGAACCACAGCCTCGGTGAGGGAGTCAGCCAACTGAGGCGACCAAGAACTAGAAGCCGTACTCGACACAGGACTTTCAGACGTTGCCGTAGATGGAAGGGGGTCTTCGGTAGGAAGGCCCGCCGATAAGCTGTTGTTGATCGAGCGAGATGGGCGCGGCATAACAGAGGACAACCAAAAACTCTCCAGCAGAGGACGAACCACAACAGGAAAAAAGACGAACAACGGCAACGAAAAACCACTTCGACCGGAAAAAACTTTGACAGAACCACGAGAAAAGGCTATGCTACTCGAACTGGGAAACCAAGCTAACCAAAACTAGGGCAGAACCAAGAGAAACGCTACGCTACTGGAACGCCACGCCACGCTGACAAAGCTTCGAGTACAACGCAAACCCAACGTAGGCACGTGGCCTCCGCATGCGCCAAAGCGACATACCGCTGGACAGGAATCTGCCCTCCAGCTCACGAACAATGGTAAACGCTACAAACGCAAACATAGTCACGCACAACGCTACAGATGACCAACGCGCTACCAAAGAATGCCAAAAACACCCGGGACCATAGCTCCTGGTCGTTAACTACATTAAATATGATTTAATAGTATTATAACTGTTATAACAAACAGCTATATAACTGCTATATAACTGTTTGTTATAACAGTTATATAACTGTTTGTTATAACACTTATATAACTGTTATATACAGTATATATATATATCTGTTATATAACAGTTATATAACAGTTATATATATACTGTATATAACAGTTATAACTGTTATACTGTTATTTAACTGTTATAACAAACAATTATGTATAACAGTTATAGTAACTGTTATATAACTGTTATAACAAACAGTTATATAACTGTTATATATATACTGTATATAACTGTTATAACTGTTTTATGACAGTTATTATATAACTGTTATATAACAGTTATGTAACAACAGTTATATAACTGTTTATTATAACAGTTATATAACTGTACTCATATAACAGTATATATAACTGTTATATGACAGTTATATAACAGTTATAACAAACACTTATATAACTGTTATATAACAGTTAATGTTATATAACAGTTATATATAGCTGTTATAACAAACAGTTATATAACTGTTATATATATACTGCTGTATATAACAGTTATAACTGTTATATACAGTATATATAACTGTTAAATATAACTGTTTGCTATAACATATATATAACAGTTATATACAGTATATATATAACTGTTATATAACTGTTATATAAAAGTTATATATATATACTGTATATAACAGTTATAACTGTTATAACAAACAGTTATATATAACAGTTATATAACAGTTATATGTAACTGTTTTATAACTGTTTGTTTTAACAGTTATATATCTGTTATATATCTGTTATATATCTGTTATATAACAGTTAATGAACACATTACATTACATTACATGACGTTACATGATGTTACATTACATTACATTACGTTACATTAGGTTACATTACATTACATTCTTTCAACCCCGAAATGGAAGACACTACATAGAAAGTAGGCAAACCATAGCACGGCTATCTAATGCTAATTAAAATACAATACAGGCTTGTCTGTCAGGAAGATGCTTCCTCAGAAGGTAATTGAAGCTTAAGTTTAAATATCAAAAGTTAACTTAAATAATGAGAGAAACATATCTAAACGGGGATTCAAACCTTAAGTACAGCTTGATTCAGCATTTCCTGCCATGTTTGGTCCAGCACTTTATGTTCCTTGGATGTGGAAACTAGTTTCTGCTCAGCCATTGCCAAAACTTTCTTGGCTGCTTGATGTGAGCTACAAGCTCTCTCATATTTCAAAGCTGCTTTCTGAGTCTCAATCTGTGACTGAAAAAATCATCCCCATTAAAATAAAATCGCTGAGTTTTTACATACTGGAACCTAGAGAATGCTATATTGTACTTAAACCATGCAAGATCCTGCAAAATCCTGTTAGGATCCAACTAAGATCTTGCAAGAATTATCCTGTCCAATATAAGGTCCTTGTTAAGATCTCACAGAAACCTATAGGATAATAGTACTAAAGATCCTGTTAGAAACCTACCAAGATCATCTTTAAAATCTCTTCAGGATCCAACCATGATCCTGTTTAAAATCCTGTTAGGATCCAACCAAGATCCTGTTTCAAATCCTGTTCAAAATTCTACCAAGTTCCTGCATGTCCAAGTCCCTATGTTAAAGATCCCACAGGACCCAACAGGATGCTACAGGACCTGAACAATCGATGAAAATCGATGATTGGAAAATCAATTGATCAATCGATGATGATCGATTAATTAATGCTGATTAGGATTAATTGGCATCGGTCAATCAATGATCAATCGATAATCACACTTAGGTGGTCGCGAATTTCATCAATTGCCATCGATTGGCACTAAATTCATGTCTCCGTATCTTCAGGTATCGCGGGAGTGTGTGCAGATCGTATATTATTTTTAAGTAATGATCCAGGTAAGAAGGAAAGTACTTTCTTTTGTTGTGGCGCAATACGCTTTCCTCACATAGAAATGTTTTCATTTTTACGCAGAGAATGCATAAATCTACAAAAAGGCTGTTTACGAAAGAAAATGTATTTAAACTCCACTTTTAAAGGGTGTATTTTTGTGTTAAAACATTTCGACCAATCACAAGACTTGCAAACAATGGCCAAGAAATGTTCACAATTTTACATGATCCGCACATACGATTTTTGTGTTACTTAGACTCAGACGAGATTTTGTTATAAGGAAGTTGGATAGAAAAAAAGGGATTAATATACATGCTGCTTTGCGAAGATTTCGTAAAATTTGATGTTTAAACCAATCAGAACCTTAGTAGAGACAATAGTAAAGTTAGCACCTTCTTGCATTCCGACGTGTTCACTGCGTTTTGGTCCTTTCCTTCTTATCTGGACCATTTCTTAAACCTCAATAGCATTTAAGTTTGAGAATTGTTCATTGATATGGCTCCGTGAAAAACAGCACAAATAATTAAGACAATTAACATATCTCATTGTCAGTAGTACAAACTTGATCGATTTAGGTTTGAGTTCATTGCCAAGATTCAACCGACCTGGGACGTAGTCGTCGTTCAAACACGATTAAGATCATTGTTATTTCTTTTTCTTCTTCTTTCTTTATATGTCTGTGCAGACGCCCACGTAACAGAAAATGTGTGCATTAAATTAAACATATTTTATGAATACTTAGCTAAACTGGCTCCAAACGTCACATCACGCATAAAATAATTCACACCTTGCCTAATTTGCCAGCTTTTTCGTTGAAGCATATAAGCATAACAGTGGGGTTTGTTTTTCTTACACACATATCCATAGTACGTTTGTATGAATCTTAAACTCGTGCGAAACGTGCGGGTGAATAAACAAGTTTACACATTGCTACTCGCCAGTTTTTACTCAAATAAAAAGCAATGATATCAAAATGTGTAACTTTATTTAAGTACTCGATGAAATTGAAAATTGAAATGTTTGACTGAATAGGTAGTCGATTGATATTGCATATTGATAACAATCTATTATGTTAATTGATCGATTCCCATCGATTATCGAGTGATATTGATAATCGATGATAATCAATAATCTCAAAACTTTTCGTGATCGATTGTCCATCAATTATCGATTTCATCGATTGTTCAGGTCCTGATGCTAAGATCCTAATAGCAAAATTTCTGCCAACATCTTGTTTAAGATTCGATCCGTTTAGGATCCAACTAAGATCCTGCAAAAACCTGTCAGGTTATGTTAAAGATCCCACGGGAACCTAGTGACCTGTATTCACTGCTTTTAGATTTAATTTATCATAATATTATCACAATTGTCAAACCTGTTTTGCTTTGCGCACAGCATCATAATAAGGTCGTGCTTGTTTGACGCAGTTTCCCAGAAAGGCTGAGTGACTCTTGAGAACGTATGCTGATTCTGTCAGGGTCTGCCTGAATGTTGCTCGTAGCTCCTGAAGATAGTTGATTATCAAAAAGAGTATTTGATACTTTTTCATTAACTTTACCCATAAAAAAATTTAATCTATAAATTATAAATATAAATGTTTTTTCTTTTTTAAGTCATTCATGGACTATTAATGTAAAAGCAAAAACTGGGATAATCAGAGTTTTTATCATTAACTTGTACAAGTCTTACTAGATTTAGATATGTGATTTAAAGATTCTCGAATAATGCTAGAGCCCCTTCCCTTCCCATTGTTTCTCCAAATTTTCCCAACTTCCTCGTCGAGGCCCTGTTAGGGTAAATTCCGACACGCAATGTGGCCTTGAGACAGTGACATAAGACAGCAGAAATAACAACGAATGAAAAAAAGATGGGTTGATCAGACAAAAGAGCAAGTAACAAAATAGAAAAAATCCGACAGTGACATGCCTTTTTCCTCAATACATGAAACGAAAGGCTTTCAAATATTTCAGACTTGGAACATTCTGTAACCCCCCAGAGGCCTAGCTCAGATGCTGAACTTTTCATGAGCCAAACCTGATTCGAATTAAGAGTGACAAAATTGAGGTTTTTCGTTTTATTTAGACCAGCTGAATAATGATTGCAGCCGAACTAAGTTCAAAAGGTGAAAAATGCATATTTCAGTCAATTGTGCTAACAAAATACATTATAATAACTTATGCATTAAGTTCAGTACATGAAAAGTTCGGGGTCTGAGTCAAAACCATTCCAGAGTCGCTCCAAACACGAAATTCCTAGCTGGGCTAGGGGAAAAGAACAACTGAGCTGTCCCAAATTGAAACAGGCATTCCTAATTGATTCAGACACCAAACTTTTTAAGTAGGTTCGGCTCTGAAAAGTTTTCCGTCTGAACCAGGCAAGAGGGTCTCCGCCCTCTACTATTTTAATTTCTCCATGCTTCACTTACCATAGTGTCCAAGGAAATGAAGGGGCCAAACATTTTTAAAACTTTTGAGGGAGACCATGAGTGATTTGTTTTGGGCAAAATTTTTTTCCAAGCAAACTACTGTGATCAAATTTTTTCCCTTTGTTTTCCATGTAAATATAGAGGAGTTCATGCTCATAGTTGCATCATGGGTAATCAATGCAAGATGGCAGGAGATTAGACGATTTGTATTAGAATTCAAAGCCAGCTAATTCTTCCTGAATTCATATAATTGATGCTTTCTCTTTGAAAAGACTGTACTTACGAGTTCAAAGAAACAATACACTAAATCTGGAGTGCAAAGAAGCACGTGATCAGTTTTTAGAAAACCTTGATTTTCCCATACATTTTCTGTAATTCGACAGTATCAAAATTACAGAAAATGTCTGGAAAAATTGAGGTTTTCTCAAAACTGATCACAGACTTCTTTGCACTCCAGATTTAATGCATTGTTTCTTTGAACTCGTAAGTTACTCTTTTCAAAGAGAAAGCATCATGAGTATGAATTCAGGAAGAATTAGCTGGCTTAGAATTAAAATACAAATCTTCTCATTTCCCACCATCTTGCTCTGATTACCCATGATGCAACTATGAGCGTGAACTCCTTGATCTATTACGAAATGTAAGAATCTTAACACAAAGAAAAATAATTTCCTTTTAGTTCTTGATGTCTGTTTGCAGGATTTTTTTCCTGAAATCGCCCACTTCTGCTCTCTAAGCTTTAAGGCACACACTGAGAGGATTATTTCAAACAAAAGCTTGCCCACATAATGCATCTTCATTTGCATGTGAATTGATTGATTTCTTCTTTATTAAATATCACCAATATAATCCTTCTAACAACATTTTAAAAGAGTTTAAAATAGCACTTGAGCTTACAACAAAAACATTGCCGTCAAAATATGACGTATTCATCCTCCAGTAAGGGGGACAACATAAGCTCGGTATTGTTTATCCCTAAAATATCAAACACGGACCAAATGCTAGCAACTAGAGTAAGCAATACGTATACCTCGAGGTCTTGTTCCAAACGATTGATCTCTGCGGTTGAGGAGTTCAGCCGGTCGAGTTCGCCCTGAATGGTAAAAAAAAATAGATTCAATGATGAACGCGATCCAAAAAGCAAAAATATATCTGAATCTCCGCCACTGTAGCAGTAATCCTAACTTTTTAATTCGATAAGACCAAGAAGTCTTTCACCTAGTTGTTATCAGTTCGTAGCCTTTCTCTACCTTAACTCGCGGATCTAATATCTCTTCGCCATCATCTTCATCGCCATCACCATCGCCATCTGTAAGTTGTTCTTTACTCCTAGAAAAATCCTGCCCGACACTAGCAGCCATTTCAATCATAACATTATTCTGACAAAATCATTATTGTTTCAAGTTGACTTGGAAATTAATCAAACCGACAGTAATGTACACAGGTGTTTTCTGGAGCAGCCTCGACTTCATGTAAACTTGCGCCTTGTTGAAACGGATTCTTTGTGACTGTTTTCACGGATGATCATGCTTTTTCAGTTCTTTCTTTTTCACTTTGGACAACATAAACTTTGATTACTTTACCTGACTGGTTATTTCTCCCGTTAGAAGTTTGTTTTGGCTGGATCGGGAACGTAAATAACTTCTTTATCCTTCCGAAATGCTGATCAAATGTGGCGAATAATATTGGCATTTTTTGTGCCGAAACGATGGCGAACTACTTCATACCTCTTACTCCTTCTTCTCGGTACAGTATTTATTTTTGTGTGGATAGCAAAACTACGCAGCAGATACAATATAATAGACTTTGGATTCCGCTACGAAGAAACTGATGTTTGGCTTACCATTGATGAAATTGGCCTCAATGAATGTCCTGTTTGCTTTGGGCACAATAAATCTATTTGCCGGGGGATTTTAGAGAGAAATGTTAAATTGCAACACAAGAACGTTACTGTAACAAGTGAACATTGGAAGCCCAGAGCTCACAGCTTGTGGAATGATGAACGAATTTCCATTAAGCACTTTGGAAATGCTAGCGAGTTTTACAAAATTGATAATGAACTCTGCAGCCTAATTGGAAAGATAAATTCTCCATGCAGAGTTCGAGAAGTAGCATGGAATTCATTTCTTAATCCTTCATCTGTAGAAAGGTTGGTAACGATAAGATAACATAAGATACTTTATTTAAAGTGGAGTTTAGGCCTGTTTCAAACATCGTGCTACTGCCTTGCTAAGCTGGCTCGACTGTAGCTCGACTGCAGCATGGCACTATGACACTAGCACGACTTGGTTTCAGATATCGAGTTTAATTCAGTCGGAATAGGACGGCTGTTGACGAAAACAAAGCACAAAAATAAAGAAATGGTTTAGCAGACTTCTAAATGTATTCTAATGTATTTACGATTTATGAATTGAGTTTGGCACGGCAGTAGCATGACGTTTGAAACCAAGTCGAGCTACTCTGTGTAGCAAGGCGAGGCTTGCTACATGGCAGTGGCACGACTTGGTTTCAAACGTCACGCTAATGTCGTGCTAAAGTCGCATTTAATTCGCTCAATTGAGTTCAGCATGGCAACGTTTGAAACGGGCCTTAGCTTAGTTTAATCAGCTAGTTTACAGGTAGTCCATGGCCCTTTAAGTATATTCTGAAAATTAAAAACTGACACCGGGATGCCGTGTACAAATATATCTGGCATCAGTTGATAAAATCTGCAATAACTGAAGCAGTTGAATCTCTTCACAAACAATATTATTCTTCAATGAAACCCTTTTACTGACTCAGTTACTGCCAGTCCTCTGTTTAACATGCATAGTGGTAGTAGGGTTTGATTAAAATGGAGAAGAGAGAAGGGACCCTTGGAAATCCTGCTTTCAAGATGGCAGACAAATTAATGAGGTCCTCTTAGGAGGTTATGTATGCAGTGCTGGATCCAGAACCTGACATAAGCGGTGGGGGGGGGGGAGGCCCAGTATCCCAAAAAGTTTTTTTGGTTTGGTCTAAAAATAGGCGGGGGGGCACAGCCATCCCGGCCCCTCCACCACTGGTATGTATGTCCCTAATCTGAATTACAAATATGGTCATTTTACATTTTGAGGAGTAGGCCACACCCCTGTCAGTATTCAACCCTACTTTACACACAACTGTATGTCGTTTTTGGCCATTTCATCTAGTCTTTTGTTGCTGTTGCTTGTCATAATTTTACCCTAATGGATGGCTCAAAATTACAAAGTTGGAAAGGACTTTTCAACTTTTAGAACAATGTTTTGACCAATTTTTCTCAGTGGTCTCTCTCCCTTGCTTTCCTTGTTTCCATCCCAACTTGTGCAAGACCTGTGAGGAGTTCAATGAGAGACATCTGTGGAGAGTCAGGGTGTTGATTTGGCATGGGAGATTGGAGAATTCTCCGTTTACTATGCAGGATTCTTTGGCTAACGTTCGGTAGCCTTTGACTAGTTTTCACTCAGATGTGGACCTTGTTTCAAAATATTCTCCTGTAACGTTACACCTTTCTCCTTCTACTAGAATTCTTAATGAAAACCCTGGGTGAGTCAACCATTTGAAACCTCAAGTTTTTTTACCTTTTTGTTTTCAGTGCAATACAAGACACAATGGAGTGTCCATCACTAAGACTGATGACAAAACTAAAGCAGATATACAGCACAGAAGGAGTTCAGCAAGTTAACCACAACAACATGCTTTACCTAACTTCTACTTTATACTTGAATCAGGAACCAGTCATCTTTCAGGTGGGAACTGAATGCTTTTGGGCAACAGCAATAGTAATTTACATGTAATTGCTGTCCTTTTTTCATGAGGTTCAGAAATATTTTGATTGAAGTGCTGAGGGTATGTAATCCACCTTATTGTCAAAAATCATGTTTCCTCTCTCTTCAGGGTAAATGAGACGGGTTAGTGGATCCAAACATCTTGCCTTCAGTGCCTTGCAGTCCCAGCTTCCACCCATTTTTTTCTTGGCTTCCTCCCTTTTGCATAATTTCCCGTAGGTGGCTATAGTTTGCAAGGCCATCTCCTAGCCGTTTGTCACTAATACATCACCGAAAAGCATTGACCAAGAATTTTAAAAGACTTGGAAAGATGCTGCAAGAGACTAGCTACTGATAATGCTACAAATGGCAAATGAATTTTTCTTTCCCTATTGTCGCCATGGTTGCTTATTTTTCTGTTGTTGTTTATAACTTTTTCTCTTATAACCTCTTTAGCTGTTTCCTGCCGAGAATGGTTGGCCTTTCCCCAAGTTGTATGGATTCTGTGGCCGAGCAGTTGTTGTTGAGGATGCTGGTCTTCCTCTTGATTTGTTTCTGTCAGAACCTTGGATAGAGAGAGCAAAGCTAGCCTTAGAAGTTATCAAGATAGCAAAACGATTGACAAGCAATCAAGAACACTGGGGACTGTATTTGAAGGAGGTTTCTATGGGTAATTTTGCAGTATCCACTAACAGGACAGTGAAGCTGGTTGATGCAGAGCAAGTATTGGTGGTGGATCTGACAGAGTCAAATGTCACAGGTAGTAATTTTTAGTTAGGAAGGAAATTGTTGAAATTAGCTGAAATCAGCCCTATGTAACAAAATGGTTCATCTGGAGAGAAAATATCATCTTTCTCAAATAAGCAATTGAAATGTAGGTATTTGTTTATAAGAGGGTGCTTACTACATTATATTTCACAAACTAACAGTGTTGGACGTAGGCCATCCCCATTGACATGGCCCACGTTTTGTGCAACACGGTGCCAGGGTTTTATGAAACTATTCAAGCCGTCCCTCCATCTCATTCTTGGTCTTCCTCGGTTCCTTGTGTGTCCATGGGGCGTCCAGAAGGTTAACGCGGGTTGTCCAGTGGTTGCCTGTTCTTGTCGCCACATGACCAGTCCAATTCCATTTGAGTCTGCTTATCATTTCCGTGCTACCTCTTTCTTTGGTTTTTTCTTTGAGAGTCCAAATGCAAATGGCTAGGGATATCAGAATCACTTCATAGACAGCAGAGCAGGGGGGCAGGGGGGTGTGAAGCCCCACAAACAAAAAGTTGGGTTAGCAGACCCCCCCTCAATGCTTTGGTGCGAAAAAAACACTTTTATGTGTGAATTACAATACCCGTGACGTCAGCGACTTCATAGCCCTCATTTTCTGCCCTCAGAGGGGACTCAATAACTACCTACGAAGCATAATGAAGCAGGACCGTCTGAACAACTGCCTACCGATTAGGCCTTTCCAGATTCTGCTCGGCAACGTTTTAGCAACTTTTAGGATTTTGAGCAACTTTTTTCAGAGAGCAACTTCTAACAACTTTTCGGAAAACTAGCACTTTTTTGGTAACTTTTGGGCTATTTTGAACCAAAATTAATGCTGAATAACCCCTTTTTTTTAAATAAATGTTGTGGTTCAATTTTATGCTTGGTTTAAGTTTTATTTTCTTTTGTTTTTGGGTATGGTAATGTATGATAATGAGTTTGAAACAAAAGAAAATAAAATTTAAACCAAGGATAAAATTGAACCACAACATAAACAAGTTAAAATTCTCTTGGTTAAAATTCTAAACATCTTTCTAGTAAAACTCATATTTTTACCGTTTGAAAGGGTATCATGTGGACGTGGTAATTAATTACAAGAATTGGGTTTGGCTTTGGGTAGCCTAAATCTCGTTGCCAGGGCTTTTCCTTTCTTGTGGGGGCGACTGAAAACGCACGAAAACAACAGTTAGCTATTGTAGATTTGTAAACCAGATTGTTACACTTACTGCCCAATTTTTTGTAACTAGCCACTTAGATTTAACTAAACGTTGCGTAATTTGTTGTATCTAGTTACTTAGTTGTACCTTAATGTTGATTACAAAGCAGTTGTTATTAAAATTAGACATGCTGTCTTAAAAATATTCGAACAACTTAATACAAAATTTTTGAGCGACTTTTTAGCTTTTTCGGAGCAGAATCGGGAAAAGCCTTCTACTGATGCATTATCACAAATCGATTACGGACACACTAGACACTGTGAAGATTGCAAAGAGGTTTGTTTATGCCAACGAACAACGCAAAGGGCATTTTGAAAATTCTGAATTAGGGGTATGCGCATTGCTGAGTAAAAGATGAGCCCCCACGTTTCAAAAGGCTCCGCCGCCTCAGCATTTTTACCTGTTTTTTCTTTTTTGTAGCTGAAAAGAAGAAGACCAATAATCAGTGTGCAAACACAGAGGTGAAATGCTTGTCTTTTTTCCCAATTGAGCTCTGCCAAGGGACAATACGAGATCAAAACTATTACGCCGTTTGCCGCAGTGTATTAGCAGATATCGGGAGCAGACGAGGCTTGTTACATTCCCCTCCAGAGGAAAACGATTTTAAAGTGATGTTTCACGACGCATTGACCGAATGTGTAGAGGCAAAGAAGATTAGAAGAACGGAAGCTATTGAACTTGTTATGGGCTTACTACAGAGCAAAATAAATCAAGCAAATGTGAAATAGTAATTATTTTGTTCTTAGCACACGTATGTTTTGTTACCTACGGAAAAAGGGTATGGACATTTATTTAACAGTTATTGTTATTAATATTGAAAAAAAAAAAGAACTATACGTATTTAAGAAAACGATATTATATTTTCAAAGTGGGATGTAAACTAAAAATGGTTCCTTTTGTGTTGACAAATATCATCCTCGGAGACCCAGGGCAGATAGTGGGGGCGATAGTGGGCGCAATTCTGCCTTCTGATTGGTGCCAGAAAACGTTTGTGTTTTTCTGCCCAATCAGAAGGCAGAACGGCGGCGACCGTTTGGAACTGGTCTTGTAAGACATTGTCCCCAGGGGCTCTTCACGCCGTTCTTTACTTTTCTTCGTGCCATATTTTTCCGCCCGTTTAGACTTTCCCTCGCCCCACTATCTGCCCCTGGGACTCCGAGGATGGACAAATATATACCCAGTCTCAAACTCATTCATAATTCTTGGGAAAAAAACAACAGAAATCCGTACAAAAAAATCTGGAACAGTGCCCCTTTAAAGTAATGTATAATTAATGTAGCTGGAAAGACAAACATGGTTTGTCTATATTGTATAGTTTTCTCCATCTTTTTAATCTATCTCACTTGTTGGTACATATTTTACGGGTGTATTTAATGGTATTCTTTGAAATAAACAACGTTGAGCATTGAATACTCTTATTTGTCTTGTTGCGAAATGCAGTGAATTACAACTTACAAACACACATAACCAAACTGGCGGTGAAAAGATGTGTTCATGACGTAGCTGTGGCAACGTTTTGAAAAAAGAAACCAGGAGACGAGTATAAAACGCTTACAAATTAGAGCGATTGTCACTTCGACGAGATGTCATTTCCGTTTCAATTATTCAAACCAACATAAAAAACTCACTGTTAAAGAGTCTCAAACCTAAAAAACCGACCGAACTATTGATACTCTTTCTCTCTCCGGTGTATTTACAGTTTATTTAGGGTTGTATCCAAAATTTTGGCACGAGATTATTTAGGGCTGTCCGTCGCCCGACCGTCGCCTTTTCCGCTATCTGAGTTACCAGAGGAGTCTTGACAGGTGACGTCCTCAAGTTTCCCGCCAAGGACGACTGGGAAATCGAGGAAGACTGGGAACAAGGCTGAGATCTAACTTTATACTGAATGTATTGCCTCCAAGTAGAGCAGTTGGACAGGACGCGTCGTACAGAATCATTGCGAAAACGTCTTCCCGCGAAACGCAACGAATCGGTAACACTCGGAAGTACTGACGCGAAATTTTATTTTTCATCCGGTCTGTTGGAAGGTTCTCAGTTAGGAATCTGCAGACTTTTCCATAACGAAGGGCGGGCTTGAGGCGGAAAAGGGGAAAACGTATTTTGTCACATCATCATTACTTTTGTTTACCTGCTTTTCGGGACACAGGCCTGCCCAGAGGGAATGAACACGAACGGGACTCATAGGTCCCATGCGAGGTACCATTCCTACCCAATCCCACAGCCCATAAAGGCTGGCCACATCACTGGGGTCTACGTCCCCTATTCTTCGAACAGTGGTGTTGGTTCTTTTACGTCCGACATGAACACCAGTGAAAGTGCTGTGAGACGGGACCTACGGTTTTTCGTCCTTATCCGAGAAGACTAGAAATCGCTTTTCTCTTTGCTGTTTTGTTATTTATGCTTATATTTTTAACCATTAAAGACCCTGAGGGTTGGTCCGGTCGGGGTTTGAACCCGCGACCTCCCTCTCCGGGAGACCGGCGCTCTCCCAACTGAGCTAACCAGGCGGTGCGTACATGCAGAAAAACGGTAACCTGCGAAAACGGTCGCTCTCCTCGCTCTTAGACCCACTTAGACCCTCACCCCAAAAGGTCTCCTAGCCTGCATAACAGGCGCTTTAGAAGCCAAGCGAGGCGCGCGTGGCATTTTGCGCGAGCTCGTCTCGCGCTGCGCGCAAAATGCCGCGTTCGCCTCGCTTGGCTCGTAAAGCGCTGTTATGTAGGCTAAACGTCTTCAGCAGCGCTGGACATCGAGGAGAGACGTCTGTATTCGCAGGCTAGAAAAACGGACGCATCATCAATAAATAGCTACTACCAACCATTTTGGGTTGTAACGAATCTTGTGATATTTCTAGGAAAATCATTGGTATTCTTTCGATCTCATGCGCCGCATAACCGAAAAAGCAAACGCCACCTACGTGCGGCCAAAGATCCGGAGGTTCTGAGGGAACGGTCAAACCGCAGGATTTCATTCGCGATGCCGAACGTTTAAAGAACTAAAAAACTTCTTATACATTTATTGATCATTGAAGTTTTTATAATTGACACTAACCTGGGTGTGGAGGGGTCAAATACCCTCTGAGTTAATTTCATTAGGTACCTAAAAGGTTTCTTTGAGGTGGGTGATTCTGGTTTTAAAATGCGTCTGCCCATATCAACACAGGATATCGCGAGATCGATATTTTTCCCGCCTTTAGGCGCCAAATTCTTAAACAGTGTTTTGGAATGAAAAAGGTCGAAAATACGAAGTTTATCTTTGCAAATTCAACTATGGGAAATATCGTGAAAATGTATTTATAAAAAAAATAACAAGTTTTGTCTGTCAGTAACGGCCAGGCGATAAAAGCTATCGACGAGTACGGTAAAGTAATTACGTATATGCTTCACAGGGGAAACACCAATCAAATAAACAAATGAATTTATTTCATGTTGAAAAAAATTTAACATATCCTGTTTTGCCTTCTATGTGTAGAAAAAATAAAGTAAGGTTAAACTGTTTAGTAGGACTCTAGAACGTTTCATAAAAATGGAATTTAACAGGAATTTTATAGGGCCAAGCGTTAGACAAGTGATCGGGGAACACAAGATCACTCTATTGATCATTAGAGATTTAGACAGCATGACTCTTAAGGCAAGTATATGCTGTTATCTCCCCGTTATCAAAAACATGGTTTGCTAACACGAACGCTATGCGAAAAAAGATTGAAATCCCATGGAAATCTTGTGAAAACTTAAGACTATCGCACTAAGCGATCAGATAACGTTGTTTTGAAAAGATTCCATCAGTGAGGCAGTTCCGCTGGAGATCAATCTCTCATATTACAGAAATGGGTCAACGCCTATTTGTGTGAATTTGCCAAAGCTTAACTTTATTGTAGTGCATATACCAGGTGCATTCATCAGTGCGCGGCGACCGGAGCACGGCAAAAACGAGCCTAAAATGCAGGGATTTTTCCTCATTACAGCGTTGCTGTATCTGTCAGTTGCTTGTCTGGTAAGTGACGTTTCAATGTTACGTTTCTGTTTTTTATTCCCGGCTTATTGTATCGATTAGCGACATTAGCCTTGCTAAGAAGGATTTTCCCTGATGACAATTCTTGGTAAGCGAGCTCCCATGCGGTTTCAATTTGGCCAATTTTTCTTTTCCAGATTCTGGAGCACACGGTTTGTTATATTGTTATATCCGATCCTGTTTATTGCGGTTTTTGTCATGAATGTTTTATTAATCTGATCTCTCCAATTTAGAAGTCGTTTGTTCTTTTTCTTAAATGGACTTGTAGTATTCAATTGTCAGTGTTTTAGCCTCTAAAACCGGCCACTTCTTAACGGTATACAGTACTTCTAGTAAATCTTTCACTGCTTTTCTACAGCCTCAAAGAAATACAAATTATCCCCAATAACGATCTTTTATGACATATACACTTCTAGAATGCGGACAGCGTTCATGTAAAGCTATTTTAGGTGGTTTTATTGTCACTTGTTGCCAATGTTTACTGTAAAAAATACAAGGCGTCTAGAACTTTACTGTTATATTACCTTTTTTAACCCTTCCTCTAAGAAGTGAAAGGAGGAAGTTCCCCTAAATCTGGAAAGTAAAGAACAGCCGCAAGCAGCGGTTTCTCTTTTCCATGGCTTTTAGCGTTTACAAAGTTGTTCGAAAAGCCATGCAAGAGATAAACAGACCTTGCTCGCAGGGTATCCTAGCGTTCGACGCGATCATTCGTGTAAAATACTTTTGTACGGTAAATGCGAAATTTCCGATTGATGGTTGTTGAAATAATTTTCTTTTTCTAGTCTAAACAAAACGAAACAAAAGACCAACACTCTAGCTGAAGTAAAATAGTCTAAATATTTGGGGAAATGTGCGGAATTTCCAGGGGTACCCGCGCGGTATTTCCCATAACTATGCCTTTACTGTAGTATCCACCCAAGCTGGGATTTCATGCGCTTGAAACAAAGCTCAGTTCTTTTATTCAATTCGAGTTGTAAAAATAGAGCAGTTTGTTTTCTCCTGGGAAGTGAGAGACGGCCTTCGAATGTTCAAGGGTATCTTTCAACACCATTGAAAGCGGCTTTCCTTGACAGCTCCCAGATCAATCTATTTTGGTTATTTTTACTGGTGGCCGCGATTCTTTTCCCAAAAACTAGAATGCCGGACTTGAAAAGGCCTACTTTCGTCCTCTATTTTGGGACCAAAAAATCATAAATAGTTACGAAAACTATCGGACATAATGTAACGTACATGTAGGGCTGATGTTGTTTTTGAGATTCCCCACAGCGAAAACATGAGATTTTTCTGCTTGCTTTGACAGGGGGTCTCTTTAAAAGGGGCTAAAGGTTAAACGGTCGTCTAGACAATTAAGGGCTTCGAAAAAGGACTTCTTTGACTTTATTGATGCGGAAATGACGATGTTTCGTGACTATTTCAAAATGTAGAAATTGTTACTCCTTTGTCCGAAGATCTTGAAGCGCCAGATGAATCTAGGCTGATAAGAATAGCTAAGAATGGTGTAAGAGTGCGTGGGAAAAATAAAATTATTAACCTGTCTCTTCCAATCTGGTGGAATTGGCCAGCTGGAGGAACGGTTGCGCTTCTCGAAAAATAGTCGCACGCTATTAATTCTTCTCTTTGGCTGGTTGTGTTTTTTGGTTGCGTCTCTAAGCTGGAACCAAAAAAACCAAAATTCAAAACCAAAATTAAAATGAATTCAAATGTATAACAACAAGAGAGCCGCAATATAATTTAAGTTCACCACCATCTCACTCAAATTTATATATTTCAAACAATTAATGTAGAACGCCTTTCTCTTACCGCTGGAAAGTTTGGTAACCATTGACCTGTTTGGTTTCAGTCCGCTTCCGTGATGACTTACTTCTAGAAGACAATTTCTTGTTTAAGATCGGGGTGGTCCATTCACAAGTTACACTTACCGGGCGTGATAATCTTTGTAGTACTTACTTTTGAGTGATACTCTTACCCGGGTCTTAGCATGAACAAGGCTACTCAAGACTGCGAGAGGTCCCTCTTTTTTCCTTTGTTTTAAGTTTTCAAGCAAAAAAAAAAAAAAAAATGGCCACGGTGGGGGGGGGTCACTGCATTCCACTTACTGTGACGAAAAATAACTGCTTGAACGGTCTTCCCATTTATCCTTTTTCCAGGTTCACAATCCCCAGAATTACAAGCTAAACCACATGGCACCTAAGTTTTTATCGAGAAAAAGCTCGTGTTGCGAACTTAATTCAAGAGGTCGGAAGTCGTCTACCGCGTGAAAATTTGATCGCGCTTAATCATGACCTTTGCCTGCCTTTCCTTAAACGAAAATACTCTCATTACCTCAAGTGATTATTGCAATTTGTTTGTAGGCCGTAACTGCCACCAATCTCTTAGTTTTGAAGGCACCATTTTCTCCAGCGCGAGTTCGAAAACCTCTCTGATCGAGGCCGGTTTTATCGGGAGTGCATACAGTGAGACAATAGGAACTTTAAGATCCAACGACGCCACGGCAATGAGAACGTCGCTTAAAAAGTGAATTTGCATTCTTTCAGTCTTTACCGCAATTATTCCTACTCACTTACTTTGTCAAATGTAGGCGAGCCCTCCTGGCGTTGAATTCCTAGGCACCCTATCCAAGTACAGAGAGAGAAATCATAGTTCGTCGTTGCTTGTTTACGTCCTCCATAAAACGCAAAATTAGGCATGTTTACGTCGTAGTCGTGCAAAAACAGGGGCAGAGAAATGTACAAAAAAGCGTGGTGCACGTGCAAAGTTGTTGTTTTGCTATTCACTTTATTTAACGAGGGTAACACTAAATAGCCAAAGGCTAATAAGCTTGTGGCCCTCAAGATCGTTGGATCTTAAGGTGATGTTACACGAGCCGATTCGCAACGACGATTTTTAGCGCAAAACAGCGTTGCAATATAGTTGCGACATTGTTTCAAATGGCTGCAATATTGTTCCGACATTACAACCCTGTGTTGCGCTATAAATCGTCGTCGCGAATCGTCACCTTTAAAGTCGCTTATGTCCGCTGTGCAACAACACACTGTTTCTTGCTTTTGTCCCTTTTTTTTATTTTTGTCAAGGTCGTAAAAGGACAAGATGACCCTTGTAGAGGCGTAGTCTGTCCAAGAGGCCGCATGTGTGTACCCCACACAAACGATGAGGGGAAGAGCTATTCCACCTGCGAATGTCCAACCAGTTGCACACCGGAAGTGAACGAGCCTGTTTGCAGTTACTACAATACATCTTTCATCAGTCGCTGTGAGATGCATAAGTTCGCATGTGCACACGACCTAACCATGAAAGTGAAGAATGAAGGAAGCTGCCCTTCGGATACAGTCGGTAATTAGTGTAAACCAGGGCCCAGTCGATTAGTACTAACCCGGGGTTTAATTTTAATCTTGGTCTCTTTATCATTTGTTGTTTTTCTCTATTCCTTTTAGAGCATCCAATCTTGAAGTTGTAGGCGAAAAGAATGTTTTTTTAAGGATTCATATCTGAATTTAAATTTCGCACTAACCCTGGGTTGTCTTAACCTAGCTTTGATCAACTCGGCCCTGGGTCCAATCTCCCCATAAGTTTGGTGCCAAGCGAATAAAGGGGAGGGGAGGGAGAGGCAGGGTTGGAGACTCTCCAAGGGGGGGTTAACCCCCTCTAAGTGCTCGTTGTGACCAGCAACAAATTTATCCCAACAATATCACTGCCAAATCAAAAGTGCAGATCAAGAGAAAGAATGAAATGATAAACAGTGATAATAGGTCATGATGATGTCTTGACGTTTGAACAAAGTTTCTTAAGCAGTACAGTAAGAAACATATCTATGGAGAGCGGTGTGGAGAATATACATGTTGACATCGGGGCTGAAAAGGTTAATGCGCGCGAGTGCGGCACTGCCTGAAAGACGCGCGCGCGTGAGGGAGGATTCTATTCCGCGGCGTCTATTATAGACTTTCGAAAAAGTCCTTTAATTTGGCGCGGGACCTCTCACGACTTCGTCGCGACTCCTTACATCACTGACAACAATTATTACAATAAATCAGTTGTTCATATTATATAAAACAGAGAGATACTTTAAATTACAATTCAATGCCTCGCTTTTTTGGTGAGATAGTAGAATCATAATTGTCTACATAGTGTAGATTACAAAGGTGCACCGAGTTTTCTTCTAACAATCCCTGAATAACGACTTTTTTTCTGATTGCATGTGTAGTGTCAATTGTGGCGTTTGTTTGTGGACGGCGTGTAATGCAGTAAATACGGTAATAGAAGAGGATGTTTTAGCCCTAAGGATGTGTATAACCAGCAAACGAAATTTCACGGTGCATTGTCCTTGATCGTAAGAACATTTACGTGTTCCTTTGCAGTTGCTTGTTCCGAAGACTATCTCCTACAATTTCCAACTCGGTATCTGGAGTGGATAATGATTGCTCGTGAAGTCTTCCTTGATCCAACATTTTCTCTAAGCTCTGGAGCACGCGCCGATGCCTTAACTGAAGCAGAAAGAAACACTATCCTGTCGGTAAGAAGAATGTGACACTAAATTCCCCCAAGCGTGGAGGAATAGTACTTTTAGGATGCCTCCTAGCACTTTCCCTGCCATCTTGGAGCCTTAAGTAGGCTATAATATATCGAAATTTTTCTACCAGCTCGTTAATTAAGACAATCTTTTCCTTTTCATTATTTTTCAGTGGGAATTTGATTACATTGACAAGAACAAGAACAATGTCCTTGATAATGAAGAAGTGGGCCGAATATTTTTCGACTTGCTGAATGCCGAGCCTTGTATTGAAGGCTTCCTCTTGTCCTGTGACCAGAATGAGAAGGAAGGAATTGAACGCCGCGAATGGGATTCCTGTTTTCCAAAAACAGCAGGTAACATTTGACCCGAAATATATCAGGTTTGACTGCAGCAAACCACGCGACACAGATAACCAGGATCACTTATACTGTTAGGTCTTTTTCTGTAAAGCAAATTCATCCCCTGGGACTTTCCCTTAGAAAACGGGAGAGCCTGCCATTCGCCACTTCAGAAACAAGAGGGAACCTAGGCCGAGTTAACTTTGCAAAGGCTTATGGGACCGTTACTAAGGACAGGGGAAACAACATTGGCCAATAGCTGACTTGGGCGTCCCTTGTAACGATCCCAGAAACCATTGCGCGACACATTTCGGCTCCACTTTCCTTTTCGTATCTAAAGCGTCGAATTTTCTATGACCGGGAAAAGTCCTGGGAACGAAGTTGTCTCTGGAGGTGCTTATGAAAGTCGTCAGTTAAAAAAAAAAAACAGAAAAACAATTATTTAGTTACAAGGCCAGTACTACGGTGAGACCTATACCAACCGAACCATGGCGAAAGGCACTTTAGCTCTTATCCAGGAAACTGCGCTTGAGTAACTTTCTCCCTTCTTATTTGCGATCAGCTCCTCAAGTCTGCTGTGGTACTTAACACACTCATCAACCATTCCACCTGTGGTCCTGAAAACTTGGGGAGTGAACGTTCGCTTCTCGATCTCCATTACTCTTTCCGCGTACTGCCTCTTCTTCTCGTTCTCATGCTTCTTGTTGATCTGCTTAGGAGTCCAGTCTCTGTAAGAGTCTGCATTAGGGTGACACACAAGAACATCGAAAAATACTGATCTCTGTCTCTCCCAAAAACCTCGAGCTTGAATATTCAAATGGACATTAGTGGCTTTGTTAGCGCCATGATTTAATGTCTCCCCAATGACCTCCTGAAGGACCGGCTGTACTTCCATTTCATTACAGACCATCCTTAGCATCTCTGCTTTCAAATCGCGCATTTTTGTTATGACGCTGGATAATAAACTCGTCGCTTTGACACCCATTCTTGACTCCAGTGCTTACGGGTTTGGGAATGCGCAAAAGAGCTCTGGGTCGAGATTGTCTGACACCCCATTGCGTGATCCACGCTAAATTGAACACCGCATGCGCAGATCATGGGCGCATCCCTTATTTCCCATAATAATAATAATAATAATGATAATAATAATAATAATAATAATAATACTTACTTATCCTCTCCTCTTATAGGGCTTTTCAGTGATAATGAACCAATAATTCAAATGAAACTAAATATGGCTAAGAATCCCAACTGGTAGGAGACGAACCAGCTGGCCTTATAGCGTAGCCGAGGATTTGTGTACTCGGGACTACCGAGAACAAATCCAGCCAGTGGTCCGGTGGGTCTTGAACTCGGGGCCTCCGGATTTCAAGTCCGGCGCTCTAAGCGCTCGGCCACGCTGAAATGGGATGGGAAACACTTTTAGGAGGATAAATTTCGTTTTGTTTATGTAACGCCCTAGTATATATATTTATAGAAATGTCCAAATTCACTTCATCAAAATTAATACTATTCTATTGAAATTTAAGTAAGCTCTTCCTTCAGCGCCTGCATTAAGCTTTCCCCCACCTACTTTTCTATTATGGTAGCGAAAATTGCCTTTCGCTTATATTTAAATTTGGTTAGCCTTTAATTTTGTGGCTAATTCTTGCTGTTTCACTTTTTTAGGTACAGCCTTTGAAAACAAAAAGTGAGGATGATGTTGCCAAAACATTTCTAAACTCTTTCTCGTTATTTCTAAAAACTTGATTATATAAGTAAAGCAATTTAAGCTTTTTATGTTAAGTAATGGTCCAGCTGAGAAGCAGGCAGAAAAACAATAGCCCGCGGCAATAGCATCAGTTACTTTTCAGGCGCTAATTTCTCGAATAGGGTTTTTGTCTTTTTGAGAGGCTGGCTGAGATATTGGCAGATGGTTTACACTGAAATCTGGTCAAGCAGTCAACGTTGATATTCCGGTAAAACCAATCGGTTTCATGTTGGGATGGGTTTTGTTCTTGTTCCTGATTGGAACAAAATACAAAATAACACGTGTCAGTGTTCCGATTGCAAGGCGGCACGAATTTCCTGAAGCAAAAAACAGTGCCAACAAACCCAGATTTCCTTACACGAAATCAACCCAATAATGTTTTCTCACTTTTCTGTAAGTGTATTAAAATGCTAATAAAAGAGAAAGTAAATTACAAAGCAAATAAAGAGCACTGTTTACTCCGTTAAGTCCCCACTTAATTCGACGTTTTTAGTCTCCAAAAGTCAGATGAAATTAGTGCCAGAGCTGAAAGCGACTGCAACTCTTTTTCATCCAATCTCTTCATCCTTCCATCTCTGCTAAGCTGTCGTTTATCAGTTCCTTCGTTTCTTCATCTTTTGCCTCGTCTGCTAGCTTAAGCGCTTTCTTCAGAGCTTCCTTTGCTTTTGAAACGTTACCTTAAGGGAAGGAACAAAGCTACTTGTTAGCATATCACTATCTTGCGTAGCTGGCGAGATTGTTATGCGTGGGATACTTTCGCGGGGGAGCCGCGAGGGATTTTAGCGAGAGACGAAGTCGCGAAGGAAATCCGTTGACTCGACTTGACTTGTACCTTGTCGTGCTCTCAATCTTTTCTCGGCTCCGCCGCCAAGAAACAACAGCACGTCCGGTAATCCCGCCAGAAACGAAGGCTAACCTCTCATTATCACTTATTTGGGTTGGCAGGATTAGAGGGAGTGCTGTAGTTTTGTGGCGGCCGAGCCGCATGAAGATGTCGAAGATTGGGAGCAAGTCAAGTACCCCGGGCACAAGAATCCCGAGCGCTTCCCAGGCTAAATAAAGGGCTCAACGGTTCGTTAACACAGGAAATCAATAGGTCAGAAATTTTCCGCAATTAAAGCGGCAACTTAAAGCGCAATTTAACCCTCCCTCGGGCTATTTTTTACGCTAGTTGCCAAAACATTTAGTAAGTGGTGTTCACATCGCAGGCGCCCTAATCAAGTTCAAGTTCAAGTCTTATTCAATTACACTACAACAACAATAAGAGGAAAAGAAGTAAAAACAGAGCTAACTATACATTGAATCAAAACATAACAAAGGAAAAAAGTGTGTAGCAGCCAAAGGAGCCAGGCGAAAGATGCAAAACTGATTAAAAAATTTGCCCTAAAAGTCTAATTTTCTGACAAGTATCCCCGTTTCTTTCATACTGGGCTAAGCTGTCTTCCCCCGTCTCGAGATCGCACTTAAAATCGCATCAAGAATTAACTGCCTAAACACCAGGCCCAGTTCAGAAGGGCTCAATTGTTAAAAAGGTGCATAACGCTACCAACCGGATAAATCACTACCCACAGGATAACGCACATTGGCGCTATCCGCCGGAAAAACCTCTTTCCTCTGGATAGTCCAATTCATTTCCCAAAAACGTATCCGGGGGGGGAGTACTCCCGGGTATTCTTGGTGGTGGTGTGCCGCCCATGTGCCACCCGGTTCTCCAAATCCTGACCCTATTTCAGACCAAAGAATGTCATTTTCCACACCCGTTTTCAGACCTGGGACCCGTTTCTCGAAAGTCCAGACAACTTTTCCGGCCCGAAATGAAATATTAAAATCAAAATCTAAAAGGATGAGAGCGCGCGCCCGCTTGATAGCAAACCAGTCCATTTTGTTCTGTTAACTGATGGTTTTATGATGTTTGTCATAAAAACTATTGACCCCTCTATTTTGAATGTAAAGAACAACAGCTTTTCGGGCCCGTTAATCATCGGGAGTTTCGAGAAACGACCCGCTGGCCTCTAAGAAATTACGTCATCATTACTTAGATTAGAACGCAAACGAAAAGATTTCTTGAAAAGCGTTTCGAATTCGCATATCTCTTTCTTTCTTGTTCATATGGAATAGAAACATATACTCAGGGCTCGAAATTGCCACCGATACGGTCGCATTTGCGACTTAATTTTTCTTATTTGCGACTAGAAAAACGAGAGTAGTCGCAAATTTGCGACTAGGTTTTGCCTTAACTGATACGAAATAAAAGGACTAGCACTTGAATTTTTGCTTAAATAAATTTAGAAATAAAAAGATTCATTGAAGTAGCATCTTATAATTTTGTTTGTTAGATATCAGTCACCATCCCTCTCTCTAGGTTTCTAAATGGCTTGTAGTGAAATAACAACTGCATACAACTGTTAGTCACTGAGCAAGATCAAAGGAACAGAAACAAGCAGAAAAACTGGAGTCAATAACTTTCGTTGGTAAAAAATGAGTACTTAAGGCTTCATTGTTTCTTCGTTTGACAGTAACAGTTAGTTTAAAAAAAAAAAGATTTACATGTAAAATAAATCGGTTCCAAGTGGGTTGCGAATCTACGCATACATGAAAACGAGGTTTAGCAAACAAAGATGGCGGAATGTCCGCATGGCACGTATCGTCGTATTGAATGATTCAGTCCTTCAGGGTTCTTTGAGTAATCACTGTAGTAACACCCCTGATACTTCAGATGTAAAGCTTAATATATATAAGAATTCGTTACTTGTTTTGTCATCGGTGGAAAACCTGCAAAAGGTAAAACTAAAGGAATTTAGTTACGTAACGTAACCTATAACCATGTCGGATGTCCGCCCAGTACAAATGTTATTGCTATTTTGCAGAGATTAGAGGCATTTAAGAACTGCAGTTTCCTGCTGTAATATCTGTTCATGATTTGGAAATCTATCGCTTTGACTAAAATAACAGACACTAATTTATGTGCCTTAACGCAGGTTCAACTTGATCGTTTAGATGAACTGGTGTTGTCCGAGACGCTAAACGTTCTGTACTATTAAGTCTCGAAATGACATGAAAGCTGTTGAAAGAATGAAAATTAAAGCGTTAATCATTGAAAAGCCTACTTATTTCTTGATTAAAATTAATGGCCTCAATTAATTTCGCGACTAACATTTTCAAAGTTGCGACCAAATTTTCGTAACTAGTCGCAAATTTGCGACCAGACATTTTTTTTAATTTCGAGCCCTGATACTCCCGTTGTTCCCTTGAAAACCATACCCGATTCCAGACCAAAATTTATACCCGTTTTCAGACCGAAAAGGCGTAAAAACCATACCCTTTGGGGCGGCACAAACCCATATGACTTATATAAAGGAGTAACCCCCCCCCATGAAACGTATCCACTAAGTAGTGATTTATTCAGGAAATAGCGCCATCAAACTTCCAGCAACTACAGCTATGACAGCCAGGCCTTCTTGACTGACTTTCATGTTCACACAGCAACATGTTAATAGATGTATACCTTCCAGGTTAAGGATGGTTCCTAGATTGGCCACGAAGCGTGACAAATGAGTGTTTTGAGTCTGTTCAGCAATGCGCACAGCTTCTCTGGCCATTTCTTCAGCCAGTTCGTACTTTCCACTCTCAGCATAAGCCTTGGCTAGGTTATTAAGGACCACAGTTGTCTAAAAACAAGTTAATAGAGACCGTTAGATTCCACGGTGAGAAAGAGCACGAGAACGAGATTCTCTCAATACTAAGTACTGCGTGCGCGTGAACTAGCGTCATTTTGTCGGAAAATGTGGAAGCCGTCGTCATTCTACTACGAGTTTAGCATAAAGTTCGTAGTGACGGAAACAAGTTGTCAAATTTTAGAAGTATTATCATTTTGCGATCGGGAAAGGGCATAAACTTCTTCAATAAAATAACTCTGTCAACTTTACTGATTAAAAAAAAAGTAAAATGAAGCTCTTCGAGATGTCTATTTTTGGAGCCAATACACGAGAAAAAAAGGTCAAATCTCGGCCTAGTAGTCGGCCACGTCCTCGATTCCGAAGGTCTCCAATTTCATTTATTCAGGGGCACCCAACGACCGTTTTCTGTAAAATATCTGTTCGGAGAAGCAAAAATTGACTACAATTTTCTATTACTTGAGGTCAGAGGAAGGCTAAAAATTTCTAGATGACCATTCCATTCATGTACACTTATCGCAGCTTATCTACTAAATTCCCTACGATTTTCTAAAGTTTAGTTTTTCGCATTCCAGTCCCCAAGTTAGCATATTTTTCGTAGAAAAAGGAAATCTAAAATTTACGGATTCGAAAATGCGATGGAGAGAGGAATCAGAAAAATTCCTTTTCCTAAAATTGCATCTAAAATTTTCGATAAAATAATACTGAGGCCCTAAGGGAGGACGACCGAACAGATACAACTTTTATAGCGCCGCTTAGAATGCATTTCTAGAGTTTTGAAAGTACTCTGGATAAGGGAAAAAGTGTTTTCAATGCATTTAGGAGGAAACCGTCGTTGGGTGCCCCTGTTTATTAGCCTTGTCTTGGATGGTCAGAGGGATAAGCCCGCTAATCGAGCTGTAAATAAACGGCAAACAAAAACCAAAGCGCGAATTTTGAGAGCACAAGAAACAGGGACTACATGTAATGGTGAAGAGCAGAAGTTATAAACTCTCCAGTGCTAGCAGTTAAGTTGAACGCTGGTCTATCAAGTGGGATTCAGGGTTGCAAATTCTATCCCGAAAATGCATGTTTTAACGCAACTGTTTCTTTCGCATAGTTTTTTGTTCTTCTTGTTATAAGCGTCCGGGCACTTATTTATGGTAACAGGTAATTTTCTGGTACCTTGGGTCTTTAAAGTACCATATGTGATCGGTTAATTCCGCTACATACCTGCTCATGATCCTCTCCCAGAACCTCTTTAGAAATCTTCAGTGCCCTAGTCAGCAACCTCGAAGCCTCAGTGGGTTTGTCTTGTGAAAGGAGATACGTCCCCCACCCCTCAAGGCACACACCTAGCAGCGCCTTGCTGAAATACAATCATACAATGTTAGCTTATGAATAGCCAACTCTTGTCACTTCCACTGGGCCAATAGCAGAAGAGAGCAATGAGAGATGCCCTCTTAGAAGGAAGGGGCAAGCGTGGAGGGGGGAAGGGAGGAGGGGGGAGGTGGAAGGGGAAAGGGGGAAGGGGGGAGAAGGGAGATGGGGGAGGGGAAAGGGAAAGGGGGAAATGAAAGTGGGGAAGGGGGCGGTGCATATGTGACTAGACTGAATTTTAAAACCGGTCTTTCCGCATATTGAGGAGGAGACAATGGAAGCCTAATAGTATTTCTCTATTGTATTTGCGATTCCTCTCGTCGCTGTCGCAGATTCAACCTATCTTAAAGTAGTTTGTCGCCATGTCATCGGTGTTACGCCGCTATTTCAAGGCTATGTCGTTTTCCGAATTTGTACCCTAACAGGGTCTAAAGAGAGGCAGGCTAGAAATTTACAGAGGGAAACCCAAATTAAATACAATTGCAAAAATATTATTATGTAATCCCAAGGGAAGTTTTAAAGGATAACTTTCATGATATACGATTTAGCCAGATTGTTTATGGCCGAAAACTGCCGCCTACACAGCAGTTTACATCCAAACTGAAAGTACGGTAAGAACTATTCAAAGATACCGCCTCATACTGAAAGTCCGGAGTCTATGTCCACTACATTTATCCCTTGAACCCCTGACACGGTATGACCAAAATCTAATTTCTCCTCATAGCAACACTGCTCAAACAATCATAGGGGCTGTGAGAGAAAGGGAAATGATCAACAAGTATAAAAGGTCCGGATGGATAAACAAATTCTCATCATCGGCATAATAGGAAATGTAAGGAAACTACGAGGAGAAAATGTCAGCTGATATTAGGGTTTAAGGGTTTAAGAGTGATGTACCTTACCTGTTTTCTGTTACATCTGGAGATTCATTTACTTTCTTCTGTATAGTATCTGTTGCCCACTGGAATCCCTGAGCAGCAAGTTCATGTCTTCGAATAAAATGAACACATCAGTAACTGTTCTCCCCTCCCTTAGTCGAGCTCCTTCCCTGTAGGAGAGGGGCAGGTGGGATGGATACTCCTTATTATGGAAGTATTGGGGATTGTCTGCCCAAATGGAGTAACTTTTCAGGCTAGAAGCATGTATCTCTAAAGGAATGCACTTCACAATTAATTGAGGTTTAGAAAATGTGGTAGCATTTTAAACAAATCTTAAAACAGTTTAGTATTTCCTACCAATGCCCACGCTTTTGGAACTCTTTAAGCAAACATTTAATTTCCATGACTAGTCTTGCTAATTTTGAATTTTCCCGCAAATGTGAACTTTTATCGAGATATTCTAGTTAAAATATGTCAACCTTTTTTGTCAGCAAATTTTGTATGTAATTAAGTCGTATTATTCTTTTTTTTCCTCTCTCCTAGTTTATATTGTAGTTTACGTTGTAAAATCGGGTCATCTTTTCCTTAATGTTATGTCTATTTAAACTAATCTAGGGGGAGCCTAGAACCCATGTAAGCCCCAGACTTCCAGTTCAGGCTTCCCCGTCACTATCATTTCTATATTTTTCAAAATAATATAAGTAACCTGTAAAGTGACAAAACAAAATCAATCATCCTTTATAACAATCTACAGTTTTCTTGGAAAAAAAAGCTTATGATAATTCTGTATATCATCATCCTGATCATCCCATTTAAAATTCTTTATAACCCCCATTTAAAACCCTGACTGACCTTAGGGATATCCGATGATAAAAGATCTTGTAGTAGAAGGCGAAAATAGTGCTCTGCCTAAAAATTAAAGAGAAGGAGTATTGTAAGTTTATTACACAAGGACAATCAACCACACAAACAACCACTATCACTTTATGTACATTAAGTATACATCCTGTAGAATAAAAATAATCAGATTAGGTTACTATGGAATCAAAAGACTAAACAGTTCAAAACCTTTGCTAGTGAGAAGCTAAGTGGTGTTGGTTGTTACAGATTCTTAAAAAAAAATTTGCATGCAATGAAAGATAGGAAGTCTAAAATGCGGCCATCTCAACAAAAGCGTTACAAAACATGTTTTGTTTGTAATATCAAAACCAATATTTAACTTAAAACTTTTGGAATCTAATATCTTTAAAACCTTCTAGAGAAATGAGATAGTTTAAAACAATAAAAATATGTGGGATATCTCAAGGCAAAGGGTATCATTTTGATTCTAATATCCATTTTTTAAAACTTGGAATCTCAGACAAATTTGCCAATTTTTGAAGTTAATTAAAAACAAACTATAATTAAAAACAAAATACATTAACATGTGTATGAATTAAGAAATAAAAAAGTGTCTCTTGAAGCAGTTCAGATGCACAGACACGGTTTGTGAAAAAGGCCTACAGAGGTCATGACCAGGTGGGTATCTTAAAGAATCCATGACATGATAGTGTAGGTTCCTACCTAGGATCCTGGTGATCCTAGAAAGATCCTGTAGAATCCTAAAGCACCCTTGACATGTTCGTAGACAAGAGATCCTACAGGATCCTAGACAAGATCCTATGGACTCCTAATCAATTCTGGACAAGATGGACTCCTAATCAATTCTGGACAAAATCCTAAAGGATCCTAGACAAGATGCTATGGACTCCTAATCAATTCTGGACAAGATCCTACAGGATCGTAGACAAGATCCTAAGGACTCCTAATCAATTCTGGACGAGATCCTACAGGATCGTAGACAACATCCTATGGACTCCTAATCAATTCTGGACAAGATCCTACAGGATCCTAGACAAGATCCAATGGACTCCTAATCAATTCTGGACAAGATCCAATGGACTCCTAATCAATTCTGGACAAAATCCTACAGGATCGTAGACAAGATCCTATGGACTCCTAATCAATTCTGGACAAGATCCTATGGGATCCTAGAGAACATCCTATCGACTGCTTATCAATTCTGAACAAGATCCTACGCGATCCTAGACAACATCCTATCGACTGCTTATCAATTCTGGACAAGATCCTACAAGATCCTAGACAACATCCTATGGACTCCTAATCAATTCTGGACAAGATCCAATGGACTCCTAATCAATTCTGGACAAGATCCAATGGACTCCTAATCAATTCTGGACAACATCCTATGGACTCCTAATCAATTCTGGACAAGATCCAATGGACTCCTAATCAATTCTGGACAAGATCCAATGGACTCCTAATCAATTCTGGACAACATCCTATGGACTCCTAATCAATTCTGGACAACATCCTATGGACTCCTAATCAATTCTGGACAAGATCCTACAGGATCCTAGACAAGATCCAATGGACCCCTAATCAATTCTGGACAAGATCCTATGGACTCCTGATCAATTCTGGACGAGATCCTACAGGATCCTAGACAAACATCCTATGGACTCCTAATCAATTCTGGACGAGATCCTACAGGATCCTAGACAAACATCCTACGGACTCCTAATCAATTCTGGACAAGATCCTACAGGATTCTGGACAACATCCTATGGACTCCTATAAACCAATTCTGGACAAGATCCTATGGAATCCTAGACAAACATCCTATGGACTCCTAATCAATTCTGGACAAGATCCTGTGGGATCCTAGACAACATCCTATGGACTCCTAATCAATTCTGGACAAAATCCTACAGGATCCTAGACAAGATCCTATGGACTCCTAATCAATTCTGGACAAGATCCTACAGGATCCTAGACAAGATCCTATGGACTCCTAATCAATTCTGGACAAGATCCTATGGGATCCTAGACAACATCCTATGGACTCCTAATCAATTCTGGACAAGATCCTACAGGATCCTAGACAAGATCCTATGGACTCCTAATCAATTCTGGACAAGATCCTATGGGATCCTAGACAACATCCTATGGACTCCTAATCAATTCTGGACAAGATCCTACAGGATCCTAGACAACATCCTATGGATCCTGGACAAGATCCTACATCCTACAAAATCCTATGGACTCCAATTCTGGACAAGATCCTAATTCCTGGACAACATCCTATGGACTGCTGATCCTGAACAAGATCCTCACGGGATCCTAGACAAAATCCTATGGGATCCTGGACAAGACAACATCCTATGGACTCCTAATCAATTCTGGACAAGATCCTATGGGATCCTAGACAACATCCTATGAACTCTTAATCAATTCTGGACAAGATCCTACAGGATACCCTGATCAATTCTGGACAAGATCCTAAGGGATCCTGTACGAGATTTTGCAGGACTCAGCAGAATCCTGTGAAATATTAAACAGGATGATGAACTACTCTGTGTATGTAGCTAACTGATTAGAGCACTTAAATGGTAATATAGTAAAATTGTCTCATACAATATCTCATTCCCACTTATCCAGAATATTTTTCTGTGAAATTTCTGATGTTTGATTTTGATTTTGTTGAAAATTATAGGATGCTGAAAATATCTTGTAGGAGTCCAGGGGATGTATCCTGATAGATTTTACGAGAACACTTAATGGGATTAAACAGGATCAAGATAGGATCCTTACAGTTTACCTTATTGGATCCTTATAATAAGATCCTGGTGAGAATCATGGAGAATCTTATAAGATCCTAGTTAGGATTGTATAAAATCTTTAACAGGATCTTGGACAGGATTTTGGAAAGGTCTTTGGTTAAGATCATGTTGGAATCCTCTGAGATCTTACTTTGGATCCTGAGTGGGATTTTTCAAGGGAAGGGGGTGTGGATATTTTTTGGAACAACCCAATTTGTTCAAAGTACAATGTAAAGATATGAGTCAATAACTTCATTTAATAAAATTAATTATTTATTATTTGTTCCAAACAAAGTTAAACTTTTCACACCCCGTTAATCATTTGGATTATCAGTAGTCTACAAAATGGTTTTTCTTCCAAACGTAAAATACACAACTCAATTCAAATCTTACCTGATCCAGCACATATCTCAAATACTTGTGTGTTTTTATATTGTCCTTTTTTTCTTGTTCAGTTGATTCTGGTTTGTTGTTTTTGGTTCTCTCAAAATATCCATGGATAAGTTTGAGAGCTTCTTTCAATAACTTGATGGACTGATCCTTATCTCCTTCCACATCTTTTTTCTAAAACAAAAAGCAAATGAAAGTCAAGAATAAGAAAGGATAACTACCTTGAAATGTCAGTGATACCGTACTATCCAATGGCATTTCATTGTTGTCATGGTGACACCATTAGAGACTTTTGGATTCTAAGACAAGGACGACTATGAGTACAAGATTTTCTTGATACTATGCAGTACTTGCACGTGAATGTGACTCACTTTGACAGGAAAATGTGATAGCCATTGTTATTGTACTACAAGTTTTTGCAAGAATGTCAGGGTGGTGGAAATAAGTTTTCAAATGTTAGAGCGTTTGTTAGAGATTTGTGACCAAGAGAGGGCTTACCCTCCTTCAATAAAGATAATGGTGCTAACTTTTCTGGTGAAAAAAATGAACAGTGAAGCAAAAAAACTTAAAGAGTATATGACATGAATAAATTTTTAGGCATTTTTAACTCATTAATATTTGTAAAAATTAATATGTATCCAAATGTTAAACTAAAACAGGTCTGTATTCACAGGTTCATGGAGTCATGCATATGCAGAGCCTAACACTCCAACCACTTAACTGCTGTAGTACAGAGTAGTAAGATAAATAAATGCCATAATAATTGTACCTTTGCCATCTTTAGCTTGTACTCTAGTTCAGGAGGTTTATTTTTACCATACTTCATTTTGTTATATTCTGTAGCAATGAACACAAGTACACCACCAATGCCTATAATATTTAAAAAATAATGAAGCGTGGTCATAAATGCAACATAGGTACAAAAGCCTACCAAATAAGAAATTTCTCTATTATTAATTCCTCAAGATAATTGACGTGATCCTGTGGGATGCCGCCTAGGATCCTTGATGATCCTAGACAAGATCTTATTCAAGGAGTCTGAACAACATCCTTCAGGATCCTGTTCAAGGTTCTACATGTATAGGCATCAGCGTACGGGGCGGGGGGGGGGGGGGGACAGGGGGGGCTGCAGCCCCCCCTGTCGGAAAAAAATAGTATTATTCGGGCAAAACTGATGTACTGTTCGGGCAAAGACACGGTAAAAAATATTTTGTTATTTAATATCTTGATTTATTTGTCTTCATCCCGCATCCCGCAAAATGGTTTCCATGACATTTTACCTGTTCTATATAAAGTTACCTCCATCCTGGTGTTGAAGTAATTGTTCTTCACACTTCTTTTAGAGCCCAAATGGGTACGTTTTATCTCTCACTTCATGGTTTTGTATTTTCGAAATGTTCATCTCGATTTACTGAAAATATTTGCACTACTTTGAACGCCCGTGCTCTCACGGCTTGGCGAAGAAAACTTGACGTCATGAAAGAATCATCTTGTGCACCTGTGACCAACAAGTTTCATTTGGGCAAATTATGTTCAGCCCCCCCAACAAAATTTTTACCGTACGCCGATGTGTATAGGACTCTATAGAATTCTGTGGAGTAATAAACTGGATCCTTTACAATCAAGTTCCTACTGACATTGACTGCTCCGTAAAATCTAGCTAACTGATTAAATCACTTTGATAACTACATATGTCTGTCAGATGACACGTTGTCATCCCACCTTTCTCCCTCACAGTATAGTATATAATTATACCCTGGTGGAAATCATGTCCAGGATTCTGATAAAGATCCCAGACAAGATCCTAGAGAATCATTAAGGATTGTGATGATGTTGTACAATCTTGCTCAGGATCCTGGAAAATCCTGGACAAGATTATTATCACTCACCCCCTCACCCTCCCTTCCCCTGTTACCACAAAAAAATTACAGGAAGGCACAGGACTCTAGCGGCGCAAATTTGGGCAAAATTCCTTAACTGAACCTCTAGGAACACGCCATAGTGTCCACAAAGTTTTAAGAGTTGTGTCCCTACGACTTGAGGCGGGAATTGCATGAAGCTTAGTAACTTTTGGATGAAGAAATGTCCATTATTAAAGAGGTGTATGTGCAGTTGGTTTGCAATCACACAACATGTGGCCATGTTGGTGGTCAATATGATACAATATTACTTCTTTTTGCTGAATTTTCTTGATAATATTTCATTTCCCGGCAAAGAGAAACCTGTTTGTTCTTGACTATGAACATGACTGCTGTGACATCACATGGGAACCAGGTATTCCCAAGAAAAAGTTCAACCGAGGTGTCTCATGTAGTCACCGCCCCCCCCACCTCTACCCCACTCCCAAAATTTGACACCTCTGCGTTTTGACTCCTTTCTACATTCTTTATAAGTTGAATTTCACGAATTGTACATTCTCACCAACTATAAGAATAGCCCATAGCTCATCGGGTACAGTTCTGCGTATCCGTTTCAATCGGCTATCTTGTGCTAAATTCAAACACTGTATAACTATTGGAAACCGCCGCCCTTTCGTAGCACATGTCACAGCTGATCCTAGAACGTGACCTTGATATGAATACAGTCCAGAACTGGGTCTATGTACACCGCACGTTGCAAGATATCTGCTACTTAAAATACGCCTGTTACTCTCAGCTAAAAATTTCCAATATCTGTTCAAGCGATGCATGGCAAAATCATTACAATTTGCAGTTCAAACTTTTCCCTCCAGGTCCGCCATTTTGTTTGGTTACAAAGTCCTAAAGGCTAGGCTACGTAGTGATTCTCGTGAGAGCGCGGGAACTTCGTATGTTATGCACTCGAAATTTCTTTCATCAACGTCTCGCTGATTTCAGCGTCGATTTCTCGTTCATCTGTTTCTTTTATTCAACTTTAAAAAGGAATTCCTTTAAGATGATTGGATGGCAGAATACGAGGAATGCTTTAGGAAAGCTCGAAGAATTGTTGACATGTAAAATTTGGTGGGTATTCCCTGCATGAGGATTTGTTTATTTTCTCAAGTAACAGCTGAATATCTGTTTAACGGAAACGATGATCGGTTTTCAACTGATTTTTCTCTTTTGGTACTTTTATTTGACGTTTAGTGCTAATTTGGTGTCTGATCCTTGTTCACTTGAGGCCTGCGATCACATCTTCTGTCGGTAAGTTTGTTGTACAACTTAAGGTTACAAATGCTTCAGTGACATAAGCTTAAAATTATGTTGTGAACTAAACAATAAAATTCTGTTTTTTGTACGCTGCTCTTATACTTGATCAAGCTTAAGCCTTTTAATAATGACCCGGATTGATTTGTGTGGGCATGACGTACATTCTTTTAATCATCTCCACGAATTTGACATTTTACCTTCACCCCTGCCCCCCCACATCATGGTGCAACAAGAATCTCTTCATGTGATCCGAGATCACTCGGATCATGGTAGATCAAATGAACCGATAAATCCTTGTCCAGAGTGGATACATCGGTTCATTTGATCTACCATGGTCCAAGCCATCTCGGATCATTGATCCTATACCTGCCAACTTTTTCCGAGATGTAGGCGTGAGATTTTTATCCTGGGAGTGCTGGGATTTTTGAAAACAACACGATCATTTCCGAAGATTCCCGAAGAAGTCCGAAGTCCTCCGAAGACGTCCGAAGTCTGCCGAGATCCACAAAATCAGAGATCCCAAAGGTATTGTCATTTATTCATTTTACACATGGTTTTCGTTCGTTACATGGGTCTGAGTTAACATATTTTTGGAAATTGTGTCAAGCAAGACGGCAACAACTCACATTTTTCAATCAGGCGTGAGAAATTGGTCCGCAGGCGTGAGCGGGCGTGAGATCGAAGTTTTCAACCCGCAGGCGTGAGACTCACGCCTAAGGCGTGAGAGTTGGCAGGTATATGATCCTGATCCGGGTCATTTCAAATGAACACAGCCATAGATTTCCCAATAGAGTCTATGGGTGTGTTCCTTTGGGACAATCGGGATCAGGATCAGTGATCTGAGATCACTCGAATCTTGTTGCATCAAATGAACTGATGAATCCTTACCCAGGGTAGATTCATTGGTTCCTTTGATGTGCTACATGTTAGCCTGCAAGCAAGCTCTCCTATTTGGACGAGCGAACCGAGTCTCGCGAGAACGCACGAGCGAGCGGTGAAGCTGTGAGGGGCAGAGGAAAGGCTTCGCCGTTCGCTTGTGCATTCTCGCGAGACTTACTTCACTTGTCCAAATAGGAGAGCTTTCTCGCAGGCTAGCTACATGTATGATCTGAGAACTGATCCTGACCCGGATCATCCCAATGGAACGCACCCTATATGTTTTGTTTTTTATTTGACTTTTTTTGCAGTAACTGTATTAAGAAGCTGGTTGGTGCAGATTCTAAATGCCCAGAATGTGGAGCTTTCTCCTGGGTGAAGGATATGAAAACAAATCGTCAACTTGCAAATACTGTCAACATGTGTGCGAAGATCAGAATGTTAGTTGGATCTGATGATGATAGTGACAACAGTAGGAACAAGGCACATGCAAGTAATGATAAAAAAGCCTTGGTTTCAAATAATTAATTACAACTTTAGTTATGTAATTTGTTTTGCCCTGATTTTTATTTGGAACAATCACTGTAGTGTACTGTAGGTGATGGTCACAGTGGAGGGGGGGGAGTTTGGTGGGGAGGGAGGGAGAGGTGCTGTCATTTGTGGATTTGTGCCCCTGTGAGAGGTATTGTATCAAGCAGTTTCGTCTGGGATTAGGTGCAGAAAACAGCGGGATTTGGAAGAACAGAGTGTCGTTTATTGAACATTAATAATTTTGGTTCCTAGTCAAGAATACTTACAGTTGTATCGAGTTGAAAAAATGTAGCTGAAAGTCAAACTATAATTATTCGTATAAGCTAAGAGTTACAGAGTTCCAGTGTCACACCCCTGCCTCAATAGAGAACCCCCAAGGCTGCAGACCTGCGTCACAATTCGCATTTAGTGATTAAATACTAATTTCAGAGCAAAAAAGGAGTTTTATATACAACATGTACTCTGGTCCTTCCAGCTCATAAATTTCTTAGTTACTTAAAAGACTTCAAAATTATCTCTCTTCACCTAACAACAAATTCATGTTCTTTCTTCTTAAAACAACAGCGTCGGAAGAAACACAAGCAACAGATGATCAAGAGAGTGACTCCTATCAGTTCTCACCACCAGAAGAAAGTACAGCAAAGTCAATTAACTGTGACGTTGCTCTGCAGGAAAACTCCATTTGCAATGAAAGGGTTTTTAAGAAACCTGCAATGAAGACTTATGGTAAAACAAAGAAAGGAACACTGCAAAAGTGCATGCAAAACAACTCTGAGGAACATGTTGACACCAATGCTGTTGGAAACAAGCTGGAACAAAGTGATCAGAAGGTTTTGACATGTAAGGGTGGGAAACCTTCGAAAAGCAAGAAAGGAAAATCTGTTTTACCAAAGGGAAATGAAACGGTCGTGAGTGATACAAAGGTACCTGAGAGAGTGGAAATCAAAGAGAAGTGCTTTGGGAGAAAACTGAGAAAGGAAAGAGTGAAAAGGACAGCCTCATCTGTTGCAGTATCATCTAGTAATGATGAAGAGATTGAAAATGCAAAGGAAATTGAGAAGAAGTTGATAGAGAGTGGAGACAACTTACAGTTTGGAGTAAATAATGAAGATGACAATATTGAGATGGAAGAATATACTGATACAGAATGCTTCACACAGGTTAAATCAAGAGATGAATGCAAGGAGAGTTCAGCATTAGAGGCCAACACAGGACCTTTAGATGAAGGTGAATTACTGTAGCTTTGGCATTGCAATAAGTGTATTAGCATACACTTCTCTTCAATCAGCACTTGGGAAATCACTGCAAAATTGTGTGTTTACCATGAAATCTTCTCAATATATCTACAAATGCTTTTATAGCAGACAGCTGCATGTTATTTAAGCAGATGTCTGCCTTACACCTTAAAACATTTCTCTCTCTTCTTTTTTTTCAGTTGAAGGGACTCCTGAAGAAGTCAGGAGCATTCTCAGAACAAGAGCTCAGAGAAGAAAGTTACAAGGACAGAGAGTGGGGACGCCACCCAAGGCAAAACCTCAGAAGGAACAAGTACATGTAACACTCAGTGATATAGGAGATAAACAGACAAGCAGTAGAGAAAAGACAACCAAGCATAGCACAGAAACGCCTGTCGAACAAGGTAAGTGCAATAACTTCAAAGTCATGTCTTTTATTACAGTGAATAGTCAGTGCACATGGAATGAGGCACTATAATGAGTGGGTCTATTTTATGCCAATTGCACCCTTGGGAACACAAAGGAAATTTGTAGGCACCCTTTCTTAAAGCTTTGTTAGACAGTGACATTTCAAAAAACCTGAAAAGTTAGGAAACTTGACTGTTACAATTGAACAACACTAAGCTATTGAAAAGCTGACATTAAAGACTTTGACATATTGATTTATAAAAAGGTAATTCCCTTACCTATTTGTAACCCCTGCCATTTTTTGTGATGTTTGGTAGAAATGTTAAAAGAAAAATTCCTGTTCTATTTTTTTATTGATCTGATACAGGGAGAAACAAGAGGAAGCTTCCAGATCAGAATTTCTGCAGCCCACAGAGTTCTATCTCCTGTTCTCCAGGCACAAAGAGAAATAAACGAGGAGAAACACCATTGCAAGTGGCAACAATAAAGGTACTTTTAACAACACTTACTGCATCGTTTAGTAGAGGCTGGGTGCCTGAGATGTCCAGGGACTTACACTTTTGGCACTGAAACAAATACAGTCAAACCTGCACTAATGGCCAGCTCTCTATGATGGCCGCTTTGTTTGTCCCTCCGGCAGACAGTCCATACATTGACCCTTGTTTAAACCTCGCTACAACAGCAACAGCTACTACATTGCTTCCCCAACTGCCAAAATAACCTCTCAACAATGGCCAGATTTTTCAGCGAGTTACAAAAAAGTCAGGAATGGTCAAGAACTTTGATCCACGTGGCACCTCCATGATTAATTAATTGCGGCAATCATATTTTAATTGTGTTACCATACGATACTTTTACATGTAACGGATGTTGCAAGCCTCGCTGGTTTTGTCATTTTGATTAAAAACATTGTTTCTAGTTTCTTGTTGTGTATTTTATCTCTACAGTCATTTATGATTGGATCACCATTATGGGATACAGTAAACATGAATTCATGGCATGATAAACATGTTGTACTCCCCTAAAATAAAATTGTCATAATACACCCCTACCTTCCCATAATGGCCACCTCTCTACAATGGCCACTTTCTTCTGTTCCCAGGTGGCCTTTGTGAAGAGGTAAATAATAAAATTAATTTTGTTAATAAATTCCAACCTTGCAGGTAAGCATCACACAATGACAGGCTCTGACAACATCTAAATGCCATATGAAAATTGCATTGAATTTGACACCACTTATCAAACTCCTCGGTTTATTTCTGACTGGTAACCAAAGCATCCTTTTTGCGTTCTCAGGGCTGTCTGGAAACTGTGAAAAAATTACTTGGAGAAGGGGCCGATCCTAACACCAAAGACCACGCTGGCTGGACTCCTTTGGTAAGTGAGTCTTCGACAGTTAACAGTCGAGAGTTTTTTTAAACCAGGTTTTGTACAGAGAATTCTTGAAAAAATCTGGAAATTTGCAAAGCAATTTTCAGAGATAAAGCCTGGAAAAATTGTAAAAAGTCTGGAAATTTTTTTCAAAGTTATATTGTAGTTAATTTTTTATCTCACTTCCTTTTTGTTCTTCTTTTGTTTTCGGGTATGGTAATGACGCTAATGAAGTAAAAACAAAATAAAAATAAAAATTACCTGAGATAAAAAATTACTGTAAAATTCTGAAACTAAGCTCCTCCATGTATAGGCCCCTCCAAATATGAGCTCCCCAAAATCGTTACGCAAAAAACCCTCCGTTAAATTGCCCCTCCCAATATAAGCTCCCCGGGGGCTTGTACTTGGATTTTGCCCTCGAATTCAAAGTAAAACAAAGCAAAAATGGTAAATTTTCTTCCCACTACAAGCTAGCCTAATCAATTTTGAAATGCAAATTTCCCTCCATACATAAGCCCCTCAAAAAGGGCCTTTGAAAAATATAAAACCTGGCGCCTATTTTCGGAATTTTATGGTAACTACAACAGTTACAACTAAGTGCTTAATGGGTGAATTTTTTCCTGTGGTCACATCCCATTCAATCTTGCTTGTATTCAAGACATTCAATCACAGAATGAGAAGTTTCAGAACTCTCTTATGTCCGTATTCCACCGTAGTAACTGTACCTTGGCAGTGCATCATGAAAAAAGCTTGGTTCCTGCATTTTTCAAGGTCCCTGTTAATCACCTATTTGCCAACGTACATTGTAATGATTCTGGAAAAATAAATTATTGTTGTGGAAAAAAGTCTTGAATTTTAGATCCAAACCTGTTAAACTGAAGTTACTTGTGAATCAATCAATTTGTTCAGTTACATATTTAAAAGTGTTTTATAAAATTTTAGCATGAAGCCTGTAACCATGGTTACCTAGCCATAGCTGAGCTACTATTGGACCATGGTGCCATGATTGACATTCCTGGAGGTTTTGATCATGACACGCCCTTACACGATGCTGTCACCAATGGTAGACTGGAGATAGTAAGACTTTTACTCTCCAGAGGAGCTCCTCTTGATGTTAGGTGAGCAAACTGGGATTTTTAAAGCTTATACCCTGCTGGCCTGCTTGCAGACATCTCCTACATGTATTTTCTTTGTTGCTGTCAGAAAAGAGATGTCTGCAAAATGCCATCACTAATCATGTTCCAGCCTCGTTCTCAGGGTATTCAACTTTGAATAAAAGTACTGTCTAAGCCTTGGTTTAATGGAGACAACTTGGGTATTTTGCATAGCATATAATACATTAGAACATTCCTCGACTACTTCTTGTGAGGGAGAGAGAGATGTTGCAAAAGAAAATACAATGTAGGAGACATCTGGAATAGGCTTATGCTCTGTTATACAATAACTTTCTTATAATATTACTTACCTCCTTCCAGTGGATATGTACAACCCTCAATTCCTGCATCACAGACAGTTCTTTTGGTCCCAAAAATGGTAGACTTCATGAAACAGGCACTTGAGTACTTTGCTTTAACAGAGGTTCGACTCGAAAACATACATGTGTTTTATCTTCAGGCTCCCCTTTCTTAACTCCTCGCGTCCTTACGATGAAGCTTACATGTACTTCAAACGTTTTTATGAGTAAAGCTACGTAAATATCTAGTCTAAAATTAGAAGGGTTACTTCTATGTTTGGTATCAATACATGTAACTCTATTTGTTTCCTCTACATGTACTGTAATACGTTATAAAGAAACAAAAGGGGCCTCTTTCCAAAAGACTATGCAGCAACTGAGGAGATGAAGTCCGTATTGTCCACGACAACACCTATGAAGGACAGTGGATCCTCAAATCGGATGACCTCAGCGTCTCTGGGCACTAAGGCTAGTATTACAATGATTTTTATCTTTTAGACTATGTATGCTAAAAGCTTCTGAATATTCTGATATCCAACCACTAGAAGTTCATTACCAAACGTTTCTTTCTGTTAAACCGAAACACGCTAGAAATTAGCCATGTGCGTGACTGGGAATGGATCTCGCGACTTCGCCGGTCGTCGTTCTAGTGTTCACGCGTGCCGTTTTGTCCCTTTTTCGCGTCATCCCGCGTTACGCGCGCTCACGTGAGACGATTTTCCGCGCACTATCGCTCGAAATAAATAGGAAAAAAGGTGTGCTTTGACAGGCTAGCCACAAAATTGTGCTTTAAAAGTATGCTGCCTAATTTTTGTGACCTTCTTTAAACATGCCAAAAATACAGGCATTAAAAGGTGTGGTTTTGCGCACAGCAGTAGGGCGGATGGGGAGTTTTACAGTTCGATTAACAGTAGTGGTTGACTATGCTGGGACATTTATTCATTTATTAAGGATATTTCTTCTTTTTACATGTACCTGTAGTGTTCACAAGATTCTCCTAAAGTTCTCCTTGCAACTGGTCTTAGTTCGGGGCAAAAGGTAACGCAACTTTAAAGACAACTCATAATAAAACGTTTTGAATATGGTAGTTGTCATAACTACCTGTTTTTGAGACAAGCTACAGCTGTTAACGGAAGTCCATGGTGAAAACAAAAATGGGGTTTCATTTTTTAGTGAAAACAATTGTGAGAAGGTATCGTGTTAATATAATACGAAATTTACCAGAAATATCTCTACAATGCCAACCTGAGATTTGCCTACTTCAACGACGTTTAAAGGCTCCTCAAATGCGGTCTTGTACACACCGCTTGTATACAAGGGTATATTCCCAAAGACTTTTAACTTCCTTAATTTATGAATCACAACTATTTATAGCTACGTTAGGGTTTCGTTGTTTGACCAATGACAGAGATATTATTATCCTGTTTGTTCTTGTGGTCATACCTTAGATTATTTTACGCTGCATGTTAGAGTATAAATGGTATTTATACAATTCAAGAATTCTGTTTCAGACGAAGCTCCAAAGGTGCTCACAGATTCTCAATGCAAAGATTGTTAATGAGTTCTCTCTTTCTGGTAAGTGAGCTGAACGTTTCGTAAGTTTGTGTTATTGGTTAGTGTTCAGTTTTCAAGTGAAACAGATTAAGCGGATAGAGTGATCAAAGTGACGACAAAGCCCGCCGCATGTTTGAAAACTAACTCCTTTCTTCCATACACCAAAATGCAGTTGCAACGTGTTCTTTGGGACTTGACAGAACTATTACAAAGGGCTAATTTGTATTCAACATTGAAAGAACGCTCTCTGATAAAATTTGCCAGAGTAAGTAAGCTTTCGGCAGTTTCTTCCGGTCGGGAAAGGAAAAGCTTTAGAATGGTCGTAACAATTTACGGACTGTGAAAGATTTTCAACTAGAGAACTCAGCTTAAGAAAGCTATTTCTTGTCTCGTTCACTTGTAATATACTTTGGTAAATTGTTCATAGTGACACACATTGTAACAGCAACAAACAGCAAAGGAGTTTGTCCAAGGACCATCAAGTATCTGAATGGCGTGGTGACTGGAAAATGGATAGTGAACTACGATTGTAAGTAAATCAAAATAGTACAGTGGATATCTAGAGCTCTTTCTGGAAAGTTCCGCTAACGTAGACTTTTATCGAAGAGTTTTTGAAACTGTCCTAAGATACTTGTGGTTTTCAGAAACCACAACAAGGAAAATATGAGTTCCGTCTTCAAGTACGTGCAGAGAGCTTAAGCAACAGCGACGGGAACAAGAACGGCCAAAAAGCAACCGTTTAATAAGCGAAACTGAGCAAAACAATGATTTTGCTGGTGCATCACACTCTCTGATACATTTCTTTGCCGTCTTCGCGCGTCTTTGACGTGAAATTTCCTATTTTCACGTCGTAATAAAGGAGGGCGTCAACTTGCAAAACTGAACGATTTCTTTTTTCCTTTTTCTGAACTTGGATACAGTCCTCCAGAATTCAACCTCAGACAAATTCGCCCATATTTAAATTGAGCGATGTTAAGTAGTAGCGCGATAAAGTTCAATTTGAAAGAGCGCGAATTCTCTTTTCAAGTAACGTTTCGCTTCCCCCCGCTATCATAGTTGCCTAACTTAAAGCTCGTTGCTGAAGGGTTGAGTTACAAAGAGGCCTCACTTTCAATCCCGATATGTATCAAGAAATATCTACCTACCAACTACAGTACAGTTAAAATCCTCCAGACGATAAAGCCGTTACCATGGAGTTGCGATGGCGACTATACGGTCGACTAGTGCAGCGAAACCACTCTTATCTTGTGTACTGTAGACCTCTTTGCTTGCTCAATGGACACATTTATTAATTTCAGGGGGTTCATTAAGGTTTTGAACAGGAGGGCAACTGAGTTTGACACCCGGGCAAAGAATTGGCAAGGCCCTTCCCCCCTAGGGGGGTCGGGGGCATGCTCCCCCGGAAAATTTTGAAATTGTATAGTTGCAGGGATGTGTTTTTCTGCATTTTGAAGCTGCAGACAGTGACTTTCAACGACCAAAAAAAGATAACTTTTCTAGACAATTTAGTAATGATTTGATACCAAGAGTTTTCGCTAGAAGGTGAATCACAAAAGTATTAGTTTAACATCTTGTCTTGAAAATTTCAATTACTAGACGGGAGTCCTGAGCACTGTTTTAACGTGAACGCACCGAAAATTAATTCATTGGCGTAAACCATAAGACGAATAAAAAATCACGCTTCGCTTCATTGAACGTGATGATTAAGTCATTCAATATATACAGGCAAGTAAAAGGTTAGATCACAAAGAAGTCTACTCTCCTCTTGGCCTTTTCTCTACTGGAGGCCCTTTGGTTGAAGCCGAAAAATAATCCACTTTCGAACGCGTTAATTTTCTGGGCCGCCATGCTCACGTGCTCGCAATCCTGATACATTTCACGTGGTCGTTTATGAAGTACAGTTCTTTTCGCAATGTGTTTATGGGGCAATTCTTGTATTTAACACATAACGAACGAGGGGATTTCATGCCACGCGTAATAAAGTGGAAACTGCAGGGCAAAGTATGTTTTACACTCGATAAGACTCATCAAGAATAGGGCACGATTGTAACTTAAAACTGTTTATAATCGTTCCTTGTATTAAAAAGAAGTTCTTTGAGATGTAAAGCAGCCGGGCAAAGTCGTGTTCACAGCCGGTCAATTTGCCCGTTGCCCGGCCCTTAATGAACCCCCTGTAATTTAGTGATATTTATCCAAGGGTCCCGTTTGTATGGTCGCCTAGACTTCGCAAACAGCATCATCTTGTTTGTCAGCGTAGTGTTTGGACAACGGCAAACATGACCAATATATTTTAAATATTGGCTCCTGATCACATTTCTGATGCTGTTGTTTTTTATTGTCTAGAATGCTTTTCATTGGTTTAAGAATTACCTGTCCCGTTAAAAAGTACGAGCTTCCATTGGAATACATAATTTCCAATAATTCTCCTAATGCCATCTATTGTTCCGCAGGGATAGAAAAATGCTTACGGCGGAAAGCATGGATAGATGAGACTGCGTATGAGATAAAAGGAACAAATGATGCGGCTGTCGAGGCGCCCAAAAGAGCCCGAATTAATTCAGTTAAGCAGGTCAGTTTATTACAAACAGGTTGTTTCTATTGGTGATGATGATGACGGTAGTGATGATCATGGCGGTCACCATGGCAATGGACTTGTCAATAATGACTGCAACTACTGATGGTGAAAATGATTCTAGTTTGGTTATGATAACTGTGATGAATTTGGCAAAGAATTGCAAGGCTGATTGTTTTACTAGAAAAGCACATTTTTTAAAAGAGCATGTTATCAGGCACGGCCTCACAACTTTTGGTGACTCGACTGGATTTTGCAGGGGCAATGTAGCAATGCTCATACTAAGTCTAATACAGCTGATCGTTTCCCTATCTCTTTGTTAATGGCGACGTACACTGTAGTTAATGCTCTAACTTTAGTACATGTAAGGGTGCATTTCATCAAACAAAACTGTTTCAAAAACATTTTTTGACTTTTGCCGTTATCCATCGTTCTCATGTTGTTTTCCAGCTTCCGGGTTTATTTGACGGTTGCCAGTTCTACTTCTATGGTGAATTCTGCCCACCCCACCCCCCAAAGGAAGACCTCATCCAGATGGTCAAGTTTGGGGGTGGAAAGATTCTTTCACGTGAGCCGAAACCAGACGTGGACGAGACTCTCTGCTTGCCCACGTCGCAGAAAGCTAATGTGACCGCAGTCACTTTAGCGCCTGTCGCTTACCACGCCAATCCAACCTCGCGAAATTATCGCTGCACACAGTACGTGATCTACGATTCTTTAGCGGATAAAAAGCCCCACATCTGGAGCACTGACTCTGTGTGTACTGTGCCTGTAACTTGGCTGATGGACTGCGCCTCGAACTTTGCAATCTTAGAATTAGATTTGGATTAATTTTATGGTCTTTTGTTGTCTTTTTTAACATTCTTTAGTCCTGTAAAACGAATCCTTACGAAAGGTCATACGGTCAAGACTACCTTTGGAGTCTGCTTTGGAAGAAGTTTATAAGTACTAGTGGTTTGCTTTGCTTAAAGAGGCTGCAATACACTATTTGCCATCTTTTTTAAAAGCTAAAACGTTTCTCGCATCTATTGAATTGAAAGGATTGAAATGGATTGAAACTTGAAAAAGTAGGGCCAACCTTTTCAAATGCAATGCCTGCAAACTCACCAAAATGTTATTAAGGTTAGTGCTCCCTTATAAAAAATTGTTTGATATCCTCTTTGTCCTTGTGACACGCTGAAATGTTCCGTTTAAAGGGGAAAAATCAGGGGGGACCGTTTGACTCTTGAGCGGGAGGGGAGGGATATCTTGCGAGAAGACTTGGATGGAAAAAAGTTCTCTTTAAATTTTAAAAAAATTAGGAAAAAGTAAGTCACACTGGATAACAACTCTAGCCCAAATCTTACAGAGCAAAATTACAGGTCTGCTCATTTACCTAAATCTTGGTTTCACTGAGGCACACCTCGATTTGTACTCACAAATCCCTTGAGGAAGGGTTTAGCGTTTGGATTTCATACCCAAAAAATGAATGTAGTCCGAGTAAAAGGCATTAACTATAGTTTTATTGGTTGCGTTAACTCGTCCACCTGTACATTTTAGTAGAAAATTTTATTAAGTCTAAAGGGCCCAAAGGTTGAAATGTTAAATGCGTTTAAACAGGCCCTAACGTCCACAGCAAAACCAATGGCGATTTATGTTGTCATTAATTATACAGGGGAAGCTTTACAAAAGGGTTGAAATTAATAAAATACCGTCTGTTTTTCACAGGTGCGAAAGCAAAGGAAAAACAGAATCGTCAGAGTAGTTTTGAACGCTTAAAAACGTTCCAATTGACAGAAGCTTGTTTTATAAATATGCTTAAGAAATAACCATCAGTGTTACATTGTAAAATAAATTACAAGCAAGTAGAGGTTAAGACCCCAAAATTAAGTCTTCACTTAGCTACAAACATGTCATCCTCCATTCGAGAGATGGTCATGATGATTTTTGCAATGAAGAAACTAACCCCTGATAAAAAGCGTTCAAAAATAATTAAAGCTAAATTTAAACAACTTCAATTGTTATCAAGTTGTGTTTTCCTGTTGTTTGTACAAATTTAAAAAGGCAGTTATCTATTTGGTTTACATAGCAGTTAAACCGCCCCCAACCCCTCTTCCCAACAACAACAAAGAAAATTAACAGTAACAATCAATATTCTCATATATCGCCCTGTGTCATTTCTATGACACAGGGCAACCACTCAGAGGACGACAAACTTGTCATACGACACAGTTAAATTGCTTTTGCATTAAGAAGTATAAGTTTACTTAAGTTTTTTTTATCGCCCAAAATAAAACTAAACGTAAACTTATTACTTTTAAATAGTAGCCACAATTAAATTGGAAATTCTACAAGAAATTTTATGTCAATTTGCAAAAGCAACATCGTAAGCGAATACGTCTCTGTTGTGACACTTAATTTTAAAAATGTTCTATGTTCTTATAGAGGCATAAAAAATACTGCAAATTCAAAATTTGCCATCATTATTAATTTTCGCATACGGCCAAACCGCGGTTAAACGTGTAATTACTAAGGCGCTACGACCCAATTATTTTAGAGAAAGGAGAGTATTCTGGAGAAAGAAAAGCAACCATCAAGAGGACGCATTTCTAATCTATTTTCGGCTACCTTGCCCTCCACAGGGCTTTACTAAGTTCATAGTCTCGTCCCGAGGCTCAACACTTTTTTTTCCCAGTCTTAACATTTCTGTTAGCTATGGTCGAGTCGAATCTAGTGTGGTAAAACGGGTAGCAACACTTACAAAGGCCGTGCAGGAATTAGTTGCAACGTTTCTACGAGACAAAGTGTGAGGTAGATGACTTGCGATTTTTGCAGCATGACAGCGTACTAACTTGGCTATGATGTGACTACGAGCAATCAGATGGCATTCGAGAAGAGAACATTTCAAAACCAATCGGATAACATACAGTAAGCAAACCAGTGCCTCTGCCTGTGCATTTTAAATTTTGATAACAGGGCTCCAGCTTAACCCAGTTTCCATAGCATGAAGCAGATAAAATAATAAGTATTGCTACCCCCACCCCCTTCTTGGATGGGATGTCAGTTCAACGCAGGATTACCCTCCCCCCAGTAGTATGTCACTGGTACCCATTTATACACCTGGGTAAAGAGACAAAAGTGCAGCAAAGTTTGTTTGTCTGAGGAAACGCCTAGCCTGTGCCAGAAGAGCGAAAAAAGCTAGCGAGCGAGTAGTGAAATAACGGTTTTCACGCTACTTTTCTCGATCTGCTTCCCCCACTATCTTGGAGCCGGAAACAGACTAGGTAACAACACGATAGTAAGACTCCGAAACAGACCTAAAGATCCAAAGTTCGACATGCTAACCTCTTGGCCGCCACACCTCTATACGATGCGACGTCACATCATACCATGGTTATTAAGTCTGTCGTTAAATACATTAATTAAACTGAAACAATTTCAGAGCATTTTTTCGTCAAGCAGTGTTCTCTTCGTTTTTGTCGTCGCAGCTGATAAAATTTCCCTGTTCTACATCAAAACACAGTATTTTCAACTGATATTAAGTAACAATATAAAAAGCAAGAAACCATCTTAAAAATAAGCTTAGGAAATATTTAAAATATTGATAGAATATAAAAACTAGCAATTAAAATTTAACAACTAAGATATAGAACCACAAAAGGAAACCTCTGTTTTGTAGTTCAGTCTTTTAAATCCCGGGAAACACCCTTTATAAGCAGAGATAAAAAAAAAAACATTCGAAATAGATGATATCCCTCTAAATGGTAGCAAACTAGAACAAGCTTGAAGTCGAAGCTAACATGGGAAAAATCTTCGCTTTAAAAAATATTTACATGTGGAAAGATTACCCCTAAGAGCCTCGATTGCAAGCTACGTCCAGTCTAGGAAGCAGGGAAAATTATGACGGGGTTTATACTGTAAAAGTGTGTTGCAGTGCTGTCTGTCTTTCACAGTAAAACACTCCTATTTATGACTCCGTCACCCAGTCGATACGAAGGTTATCTGTAAAAACTGCCATCCAAGAGAAACCTGAATCCAAGATGATCGAACTTTTGACCAAATCTTGTGGATAAATATGACGCCAGACATTGTCCAGAGAAAGTTAATTAACAGAGATGAAAATAGTCTTTCCCTCGGTTCACTTCGCGGAAGGATTTCTTAACCAAAGCTCTTCATGGTGTGAATTGAAGTGCCTTATCTTCTTTCCTACGACGAACTGTTTCAGTCGATGCACCTCGGCGCTTCTCAGACTGCAATGAACTACTAACTAGCTTTGAGGAGTTGGCAGATTCAAGCCTTTCCATTGTCTAACATTCCCTCCATTTCACTTGGGTCACTAATATTCTTGTCATATTTTTGACGTTTGAAGAATCCCATCTAAACCAGACCAAAAAGAAATTCGAAGGTTACTTTACTGTCGATCAACATGGTCTTATTATTCAAGCTGACGAAAACATGTAGGCATGCGCATTTAAAACACGCATCATGGAATTCGGCATTCCTTACACGACTATTATTCGAGAGGATTCGGAAATAAGTCAAATATTTGAGCCTGTAAGAGCCCAACTGCTGGCTAGAAGAGACAGGACGCTTCACAGATTTAGAAATGAGCGAAATTCTACACCTAGAGTAAGAGTGGCACGCCCTTGTGGTCTTCTGTAAACCACCCCACAGTAAAAGCTACGATACCTTTCCGAGAAACTCGAATGTTGGAGTGTACTGAGAAGAACCCTTACAGAAGCCAATCAAACCAGATCTGTCAAGAACGCCCCCCACCCCCGATAGTGCTTTAAACCCGTTCACTCCGGACAGTAGCAAATCAACACAAATTCCCCAAACGTCCAGAAATCTCTTTTGTAAAACCCTACCAAATTAATAGCACCATGCAAAAGTGCAGCCAAAGAGGTTTCATGAATGGTAACACCATAGGATTTCATCCACGACTTAAAAGTCACAACAACAACATACGAAATAAATAGCACCATGTGAAAGTACCGCTGAAGAGGTTTCATTCGAATGGTAACACCATGGTATTTGGTCCACAGACTCAAAAGTAAGAACCACATGCCAAATAAATAGTACTATGTGAAAGTACTGCTGAAGAGGTTTCATTTGAATGGTAAAAAAATGGGATTTCATTCACAGCTTCAAAAGTTCGAGTGAAAAGTGACCTCGTCATGACTTTGGTCTAAGAGCGGAAGGATAAATGATGTTGTGAAACAAAACTTGCGATTATTTCGAGCTTTAACCTGATCGATATTATCCAAGGTACTCACCTTATATAAGCAAAATACTATTAACACTAGAAGAAGCACTGCACCTACAACGCAGACCGGTATAACCCAGTTTGGCAGCTTTTTAGAAGGTGCAGCTACATTGGTATCTGGGGTTAATTCTGTCCCAACCTGTGTAAGAATCACAGAAGCGTTATTGACCAAGCGTGATGTCACGATATACTACTTATTAACCGAGAGTGAGGTCATTAAAGGGAAATCTCAGACCGAGGCCTTGATGTATTGACCGAGCGATAGCGAGATCAATACATCAAGGCCGAGGTAGGGCACCAGTTTCTCTTTTTAAAAAGTTTACACGGGTTTAAAGGGATACCAAAAAGCGTATCAACGCGCGACTAATTTAACAACGCGGAATTACCCATGCAACTAAATTCATAACAACCGTACCCGAAAGCGGCAAAAAAATGAATAACTAGAGCAACAACAGAAGATCGCAAGCTACGGTTAACTTTATTAGAGAGCTTTAAATTAATGTTCCAGGCTGAAATTTCGTTGCTACATCTGCAACCATACCTTCGCTTTGTTATTTGCTTTGTTTTTCTCCACTACAAAGGTATTCAATGACCTTACTGTGGCTCGTGATATCACTTTAAGAAGCTGACCCTGATAATCCTATACAAAAACAAATCCACATGATTAGAGACTGCATCGCCATTCCATTCCACAAGGAACACATCGGGGAGATAATGCCCACGTTCAATTTTGTCTCTTAAGTCTCGGAGTCATGTAAGAATTTTAATATATCGAACGTGGACTATTCTTTAGCCATGTTAAGAGCGCCTTCACATGACGTTACATTGGCCACATTGGTGCCCCGAAATAACGAAATGGCGGCCATGTTCGGGTACCACACCTATTGGTAGTTGAACACTTTTGTTATACATGTATAAGAACTTTCTTTTCTTCCAAGAAACATACTGTAACACAGTGAGTGAAAACCCTATATTGGCTGTGGAAAACGAGAGGTATGCAGGTTTTTCTCTGAGATAGAAGAGAGCGAGAAATAAGCGCCAGATCGGGAATCGCTTTTTGCGAGGTTACACCAAGCTACTTTACCCCACCAGCGTCGTCTCCTCGAGGGTAGCGATTTTCCTCTAGCTCGAGTTTATCATCCGACTAATAAACCCAGAGAAGAACAGGACGCTCCTTACACTATAGACTTGATGTTTATGAACATACATTGACAAGGCTAGAAACACAATGTACAACACTCAACGGAATTGAAACCTTTTAGAACCCTGAACCCAACTGGAACATTGCAAATTACAATCAGTTGTTAAGGAATAAGATATTCATTTCATTCAAATAAAATTTGGTGGAACACTCACTTCTATCATGGTACCATTCCAAAGACGAGAAACTATTGTAAGTGTAACATCATCATCAGCTTTTAAGAATTTAATAGTGCAGCGTATATCTGTACATCTTGCAGTTCTTGTCTCACAGTCCTAGAACAACAACAACAAAAAAATCAACAGCGATTTACTATTTAAAGCGTAAACAAACAAAAAATAATATGTCTAACAAGTCAACGTTTCGGCGTCATCAATTTATTCATTTATTTTTATTTACAACAATATTTTAGTCAGGGTTGGTTGTAAATTTCACGCGCGTAGATAAAATAGAGGCAGTGTATGGAAATCACGCGTAAACGTAAAAGTTGAACTTCGCTCAAGTTTCACGTTTAGGCGTGGCCTTTCATACATTTCCTCTATTTCATTTAAGCACGTTAATTTTAAGTGCGTTCGCAGGGAAAAATTACGCGACAATGGAAATCAACCCTTACGCGACAGGACGGCAAAACACCTGTGTGTGAGAAAACAAGACAGGGCTATTACTTGCGCGTTTTGTCTTTACAGCAATGTTTTCTGGGACCCGTTTCTAGAAAGTCCCGATAATTAACGGGCCCGATAAGCTGTCTCCGTTTACATTGAAGATCGAGGTTTTAATAGTCTTGCATCTAACGTGATAACACTATCAGTTAATGAAACAAAATGGAGTAGTTTCCTAGCCAGGAGCAGCGGTCTTATTCTTTATATTTCGATTTGAATATTTGATTTCGGGCCCGAAAAGTTGCCGGGACTTTCGAGCAACGGGCCCCACAGGGTGGTCCTTTACAAAAAGATCTCTTTAAACGAAAATGAAGTTTGGCGAAACTTGTTTCAAACACAATTATTGTCACGCTTGTCAAAAAAGGTTTGCCATTTTCTTTCCTCCCCCGTCCCGCTGCGTAACCGACTCGCTCTAACCGGACTTGCAATTCGGAAGCCCGAAGTTCAAGTCCCGCTCTGACCGCTAAATAAATTTCTTCACGGTAGCAGGGAGTAGCTGGTTTGTATCCGGCGAGATGGATTTCTTAACCATGCGCGTCTGTAGATCGGTAGAAATGCAGATCAATAGATCAGAAGATCAGTAAATCTATGTATCGGTGGATCGCTAGAGCGGCGGTCTCTATAAAGATCAATGGATCAGTAGATCTGTAGTATGGTGGATCGCTAGATCGGTGGATCTTTAGTAGATCGCTCACAACGGTGGATCTGCGGTTGATTGTTAGCTCGGTGGATCTGTAGATCAATGGATCAGTAGATCTAGAGATCCATGCATCGGTAGATCGCTAGATCTGTAAATCTATAGATGGATGGATCGGTAAATCGGTAGATCTGTAGATCAATGGATCAGTGGATCTATGAATCGATGAATCGGCAGATCGCTAGATCGGTGGGTATGTAGATCAATGGTTCAGTAAATTTAAAGGTCGATGGATCGCTAGATCGGTGGATCACTAGATCTGTAGATCTATGGATCGGTAGATCACTACATCGGTAGATCAATGGATCAGTAGATCTGTATATCAATGGATCGCTAGATCGGTGCATCTACGGATCAACGGATCAGTAGATCTCAAGATCGATGGATCGCTAGATCGGTAGATCACTGGATCAGTAGATCTATAGATCCATGGATCGGTAGATCACTAGATCTGTAGATCAATGGATCAGTGGATCTATAGATGGATGGATCGGTAGATCTGTCGATCAAAAGATCAGTGGATCTATAGATCAGTAAATAGCTAGATCGGTACATCACTGGATCAGTAGATCGGTAGATCGATGGATCAATAGATCAATAGATCAGTAGATCAGTGGATCAGTAGACCGGTAGATCGATGGATCGCTAGATCCCTAGATTGGTGGATCTGTAGATCAAAGTATCAGTAGATCTATAGATCCATGGATAGGTATCTCGCTACATCTATAGATGAATGGATCAGTGGATCTAGAGATCCATGGATCGATAGATAGCTAGATCTGTGGATCAATGGATCAGTAGATCTGTAGATCGATGGATCGCTAGATCGGTGGATCAGTAGATCTGTAGATCGATAGATCGCTAGATCCTTGGATCTGTAGATCAATAGATCAGTAGATCCGTAGATCTATGGATCGCTAGATCGCTAGATCAATGAATCAGTGGACCGGTAGATCGCTAGATCGCTGGATCTGTAGATCAATGGATCAGTAGATCTGTAGATCGATAGATGGCTAGATCCTTGGATCTGTAGATCAGTAGATCCGTAGATCAATCGATCGGTAGATCGCAAGATCAATGGATCAGTAGATCGATGGATCAGTAGATCTATAGATCCTTAGATCGATAGATCGCTAGATCTGTAGATCAGTAGATCCGTAGATCTATAGATCGGTAGATCGCTAGATCAATGGATCAGTAAATCGATGGATCAGTAGATCTATAGATCCTTAGATCGATAGATCGCTAGATCTATGTATGTATGTAAATCTTTATTTAAACACGGGAAATCATCAGTTAAGCTTAAGTTAAAAACTAAAACTAATTACAACTGCTTTACATGATTGCCGTGTGGGAATCCGATATATCAGCTACCTTCTTGATATTTCGCTTAAAATGCTCAACGGATGCAGCGTTTTTTAAGTTTTTGGGCAAGTTATTCCATAACATGGCCCCGCTGTAAGAGAAGCTTCGTTTCAAATAATTGGTGCTTGGTTTGGACAAGGTCAGCCTTCCCTCAGAGTTTCTTAAGTTGTAAGCAGAGTGACGCTGAGAGAAAAGACTTTGCAGATATTCTGGAGCAAGGTCATTCATGGTTTTATACATCATTACGGCTTTTTGTTTCTTTCGTCGAAGAGATAGCCTCTCCCAGCTGAGGGTGGAGAGAAGGTGGTTTGAGCTCGCATCAAAGGGTGATTTAGTAATAACTCTGGCTGCACGATTCTGTAATTTTTGGAGCTTATCACTCAAGTAACCACTCAAACAGTCCCAGACGGGGCTGCAGTAATCAAAATGAGGCATAATTAAAGCGTTATAAATTTGAATTGCAGTTTCTTTGGATATAAAGGGCCGCACACGTTTTAGGGCGCCTATAGCTGAAGAGACTTTCTTGCAAATCTCTTCAACGTGTTTACCCCAAGAGAGTTGAGCATCTATGGTAAGACCCAAGGATTTGGTATGATCGACTCTCTTAATAATTTGGTCATCAATTCTGATTTCTACATCGTCACATTGGGCAGATAGTCTTTGTCTTGATCCAATAATCATTAGCTCTGTTTTAGCAACATTTAGACTGAGCTTGTTAGCTTTCAGCCAACAGCTAAGGTTATTTAATTCAGGGTTAGAGCTAGCTTAAGCTCTGTTAACGTCTTAGCAGATAACGTAAGGTTGGTGTCGTCGGCAAACATTCTTGGTACGGCGCCCCGCAGGGAGTTGGGAAGATCATTAATGTAAATTAAAAATAGCAAAGGACCCAATATGCTACCCTGCGGCACGCCCCAACTGAGGGTACGAGCAGATGATAGTTTGCCACTGACATTACATCTTTGGGTTCGGCCACTTAAGTACGACGAGAACCATTTATAGCTGCCTGATCGACACCCAAGTACGACATCTTACGCAAGATGATCTCATGATCAATGGTGTCGAATGCCTTAGTAAGGTCAATAAAGACAACGCCATTTAGAAGGCCATTGTCGATGTTTACTGACCAAGCATTTGTTGCCTCAAGCAAAGCCGTGAGCGTACTATGTAGAGAACGGAACCCTGATTGGCAACCTAGTAGCAATTTATTATCATCTAGATAATGGAAAAGTTGATTATAAACAATTCTTTCAAAAACTTTCGAAATTATAGGGATTACAGATATCGGCCTGTAGTTGTTAAGGTCCGATTTAATGCCCTTTTTAAAAAGTGGAGTCACTTTGGCTGTTTTCCAATCGTTTGGATATATCCCACTGAGAAAAGACTTTGAGAATATTGAGGTAAGAGAGGGTGCGACGATATTAGCAGCCATTTTCAACAATTTACTCGGAATCATATCAAGACCGGTGGCTTTCTTTTCATCAATTTTCGACAAAACGTTAGAAACAATATCAACACTCGGAATTTGCAGAGAAAACGAATGATCAGTGGGCCTTAAATAAGACTCAGGATTAACATCGACAACAGGAATACCTTGTGCTAATACTTGCGCAACGTTTGTAAAGTGATCGTTAATAGTTTCCGCAATGTCCAAAGGGTTACTTGCTATTTTATCATCTACCTTGATCTCCAAAATATTCGTTGACTTACCACTGTTACATGAAGTTAGCTCGTTGATAACATTCCATGTTTTGCGCAAATTACCTTTGTTGGCTAGATCTGTGGATCAATGGATCAGTAGATCTGTAGATCGATGGATCGATAGATCGGTGGAACTGTAGATCAATAGATCGGTAGATCGATGAATCGGTAGATCGCTAGATCGCTTATCTATGGATCGGTAGATCGCTAGATCAATGAATCAGTGGACCGGTAGATCACTAGATCGCTAGATCTGTGGATCAATGGATCAGTAGATCTGTAGATCGATGGATCGATAGATCGGTGGAACTGTAGATCAATAGATCAGTAGATCGGTAGATCGATGGATCGGTAGATCGGTAGATCGCTAGATCAATAGATCAGTAGATCCGTATATCGCTAGATCAATGAATCAGTGGACCGGTAGATCGCTAGATCGCTGGATCTGTAGATCAATGGATCAGTAGATCTGTAGATCGATAGATCGCTAGATCCTTGGATCTGTAGATCAGTAGATCCGTAGATCTATGGATCGGTAGATCGCTACATCAATGGATCAGTAGATCGATGGATCAGTAGATCTATAGATCCTTAGATCGATAGATCGCGAGATCTGTGGATCAATGGATCAGTAGATCTGTAGATCGATGGATCGATAGATCGGTGGAAATGTATATCAACAGATCAGTAGATCGGTAGATCGATGGATCGGTAGATCGCTAGAACAATGGATCAGTAGATCGCTAGATCGGTTTCTCACTGGATCAGTAGATCGGTAGATCGATGGATCGCTAGATCAATAGATCAGTAGATCAGTGGATCAGTAGACCGGTAGATTGATGGATCGCTAGATCCCTAGATTGGTGGATCTGTAGATCAAAGTATCAGTAGATCTATAGATCCATGGATAGGTATACGGCTAGATCTATAGATGAATGGATCAGTGGATCTAGAGATCCATGGATCGATAGATCGCTAGATCTGTGGATCAATGGATCAGTAGATCTGTAGATCGATGGATCGCTAGATCGGTGGATCAGTAGATCTCTAAATCTATGGTACCCTATGGATCGGTAGATAGCTAGATCCAGAGATCGATAGATTACTATATCGCTACATCGGTGGATCTGTAGATAAATGGATCGCTAGATCGCTAGAACTGTAGATCAGTGGATCGGTGTATCTAAAGATCAATGGGGCGGTAGATCGCTAGATCTGTAGATCAATGGATTAGTGGATCTATACATGGATCGATCGGTATATTAATGGATTGGTAGATCGGTAGATCGATGGATCGCTACATCGATGGATCTGTAAATCAGTGGATCAGTAGATCTGTAGATCGATAGATCGCATAGATCGTTGGATCTGTAGATCAATAGAGCAGTAGATCGGTGGATCGCTAGATCGCTAGATTGGTGGATCTGTAGATCAATGTATCAGAAGATCTATAGTTCAATGGATCAGTAGATCTATAGATCTTTGGATCGATAGATCGCTAGATCTGTGGAACAAGGGATCAGTAGATCTCTAGATCAATGGATCGATAGATCGGTGGAATTGTAGATAAATAGATCAGTATATCTGTAGATCTATGGATCGGTAGATCGCTAGATCAATGGATCAGTAGATCGGTAGATCGCTGGATCTGTAGATCATTGGATCAGTAGATCGGTGGATCCGTAGATCAGTATATCTGTAGATCGATAGATCGCTAGATCCTTGGATCTGTAGATCAATAGATCAGTAGATCCGTAGATCTATGGATCGGTAGATCGCTAGATCAATGAATCAGTGGACCGGTAGATCGCTAGATCGCTGGATCTGTAGATCAATGGATCAGTAGATCTGTAGATCGATAGATCGCTAGATCCTTGGATCTGTAGATCAGTAGATCCGAGGATCTACGGATCAGTAGATCGCTAGATCAATGGATCAGTAGATCGATGGATCAGTAGATCTATAGATCCTTAGATCGATAGATCGGTACATCTGTTAATCAATGGATCAGAAGATCTGTAAATCGATGGATCAGTAGATCGCTAGATCGCTGGATCTGTAGATCAATGGATAAGGGGATCTATGGATCCTTGGATCGATAGATCGCTAGATCTGTGAATCAATGGATCAGAAGATCTGTAGATCGATGGCTCGATAGATCGGTGGAACTGTAGATTAATACATCAGTAGATCGGTAGATCGATGGATCGATAGATCGGTGGAACTGTAGATCAATAGATCAGAAGATCTGTAGATCTATGGATCGGTAGATCGCTAGATCGATGGATCAGTAGATCGGTAGATCGCTGGATCTGTAGATCATTGGATCAGTAGATCTGTAGATCGATAGATCTCTAGATCCTTGGATCTCTAGATCAGTAGATCCGTAGATCTATGGATCGGTAGATCGCTAGATCAATGGATCAGTAGATCGATGGATCAGTAGATCTATAGATCCTTAGATCGATAGATCGCTAGATCTGTGGATCAATGGATCAGTAGATCTGTAGATCGATGGATCGATAGATCGGTGGAACTGTAGATCAATAGATCAGTAGATCGGTAGATCGATGGATCGGTAGATCGCTAGATCAATGGATCAGTAGATCGCTAGATCGGTACATCACTGGATCAGTAGATCGGTAGATCGATGGATCGCTAGATCAATGGATCAGTAGATCAGTGGATCAGTAGATCTGTAGATCGATAGATCGCTAGATCCTTCGATCTGTAGATCAATAGATCAGTACATCCGTAGATCTATGGATCGGTAGATCGCTAGATCAATGAATCAGTGGACCGCTAGATCGCTAGATCGCTGGATCTGTAGATCAATGGATCAGTAGATCTGTAGATCGATAGATCGCTAGATCCTTGGATGTGTAGATCAGTAGATCCGTAGATCTATGGATCGGTAGATCGCTAGATCAATGGATCAGTAGATCGATGGATCAGTAGATCTATACATCCTTAGATCGATAGATCGCTAGATCTATTGATCTATTGATCTACGGATCCACCGATCTACTGATCTAATGATCTACAGATCCAGCGATCTACCGATCTACTGATCCATTGATCTAACGATCTACCGATCCATAGATCTACAGATCTACTGATCAATACATCAGTAGATCGGTAGATCGATGGATCGATAGATCGGTGGAACTGTACATCAATAGATCAGAAGATCTGTAGATCTATGGATCGGTAGATCGCTAGATCGATGGATCAGTAGATCGGTAGATCGCTGGATCTGTAGATCATTGGATCAGTAGATCTGTAGATCGATAGATCGCTAGATCCTTGGATCTGTAGATCAGTAGATCTGTAGATCTATGGATCGGTAGATCCCTAGATCAATGGATCAGTAGATCGATGGATCAGTAGATCTATAGATCCTTAGATCGATAGATCGCTAGATCTGTGGATCAATGGATCAGTAGATCTGTAGATCGATGGATCGATAGATCGGTGGAACTGTACATCAATAGATCAGTAGATCGGTAGATCGATGCATCGGTAGATCGCTAGATCAATGGATCAGTAGAACGCTAGATCGGTACATCACTGGATCAGTAGATCGGTAGATCGATGGATCGCTAGATCAATGGATCAGTAGATCAGTGGATCAGTAGATCTGTAGATCGATAGATCGCTAGATCCTTCGATCTGTAGATCAATAGATCAGTACATCCGTAGATCTATGGATCGGTAGATCGCTAGATCAATGAATCAGTAGACCGCTAGATCGCTAGATCGCTGGATCTGTAGATCAATGGATCAGTAGATCTGTAGATCAATAGATCGGTAGATCCTTGGATCTGTAGATCAGTAGATCCTTAGATCTATGGATCGGTAGATCGCTAGATCAATGGATCAGTAGATCGATGGATCAGTAGATCTATAGATCCTTAGATCCATAGATCGCTAGATCTATTGATCTATTGATCTACGGATCCACCGATCTACTGATCCAATGATCTACAGATCCAGCGATCTACCTATCTACTGATCCATTGATCTAGCGATCTCCCGATCCATAGATCTACAGATCTACTGATCCATTGATCCACAGCTCTAGCGATCTATCGATCTAAGGATCTATAGATCAATGGATGAGTAGATCTGTAGATCTATGGATCGGTAGATCGCTACATCAATGGATCAGTAGATCGGTAGATCGCTGCATCTGTAGATCATTGGATCAGTAGATCGGTGGATCCGTAGATCAATAGATCAATAGATCTGTAGATCGATAGATCGCTAGATCCTTGGATCTGTAGATCAATAGATCAGTAGATCCGAAGATCTATGGATCGGTAGATCGCTAGATCAATGAATCAGTGGACCGGTAGATCGCTAGATCGCTGGATCTGTAGATCAATGGATCAGTAGATCTGTAGATCGATAGATCGCTAGATCCTTGGATCTGTAGATCAGTAGATCCGTAGATCTATGGATCAGTAGATCGCTAGATCAATGGATCAGTAGATCGATGGATCAGTAGATCTATAGATCCTTAGATCGATAGATCGGTACATCTGTTAATCAATGGATCAGAAGATCTGTAGATCGATGAATCGGTAGATCGCTAGATCAATGGATCAGTAGATCGCTAGATCGCTAGATCGCTGGATCTGTAGATCAATGGAAAAGGGGATCTATGGATCCTTGGATCGATAGATCGCTAGATCTGTGAATCAAGGGATCAGAAGATCTGTAGATCGATGGCTCGATAGATCGGTGGAACTGTAGATCAATACATCAGTAGATCGGTAGATCGATGGATCGATAGATCGGTGGAACTGTAGATCAATAGATCAGAAGATCTATGGATCGGTAGATCGCTAGATTGATGGATCAGTAGATCGGTAGATCGCTGGATCTGTAGATCATTGGATCAGTAGATCTGTAGATCGATAGATCGCTAGATCCTTGGATCTGTAGATCAGTAGATCTGTAGACCTATGGATCGGTAGATCGCTAGATCAATGGATCAGTAGATCGATGGATCAGTAGATCTGTAGATCCTTAGATCGATAGATCGCTAGATCTGTGGATCAATGGATCATTAGATCTGTAGATCGATGGACCGATAGATCGGTGGAACTGTAGATCAATAGATCAGTAGATCGGAAGATCGATGGATCGGTAGATCGCTAGATCAATGGATCAGTAGATCGCTAGATCGGTACATCACTGGATCAGTAGATCGGTAGATCGATGGATCGCTAGATCAATGGATCAGTAGATCAGTGGATCAGTAGATCTGTAGATCGATAGATCGCTAGATCCTTCGATCTGTAGATCAATAGATCAGTACATCCGTAGATCTATGGATCGGTAGATCGCTAGATCAATGAATCAGTGGACCGCTAGATCGCTAGATCGCTGGATCTGTAGATCAATGGATCAATAGATCTGTAGATCGATAGATCGCTAGATCCTTGGATCTGTAGATCAGTAGATCCGTAGATCTATGGATCGGTAGATCGCTAGATCAATGGATCAGTAGATCGATGGATCAGTAGATCTATAGATCCTTAGATCGATAGATCGCTAGATCTATTGATCTATTGATCTACGGATCCACCGATCTACTGATCCAATGATCTACAGATCCAGCGATCTACCGATCTACTGATCCATTGATCTAGCGATCTACCGATCCATAGATCTACAGATCTACTGATCCATTGATCCACAGATCTAGCGATCTATCGATCTAAGGATCTATAGATCAATGGATCAGTAGATCTGTAGATCTATGGATCGGTAGATCGCTAGATCAATGGATCAGTAGATCGGTAGATCGCTGGATCTGTAGATCATTGGATCAGTAGATCGGTGGATCCGTAGATCAATAGATCAATAGATCTGTAGATCGATAGATCGCTAGATCCTTGGATCTGTAGATCAATAGATCAGTAGATCCGAAGATCTATGGATCGGTAGATCGCTAGATCAATGGATCAGTAGATCGGTAGATCGATGGATGGCTAGATCGCTAGATCGGTGGATCTGTAGATCAATGGATCAGTAGACCAGTAGATCAATGGATCGCTAGGTCTCTACATTGGTGGATTTGTAGATCAATGTATCATTAGATCTATAGATCAATGGATCGGTATATTGGTAGATCTGTAGATGAATGGATAAGAGGATCTATGGATCCTTGGATCGATAGATCGCTAGATCTGTGAATCAATGGATGAGAAGATCTGTAGATCGATGAAGCGATAGATCGGTGGAACTGTAGATCAATAGATCAGTAGATCCGTAGATCTATGGATCGGTAGATCGCTAAATCAATGGATTAGTAGATCGCTAGATCGCTAGATCGCTGGATCTGTAGATCAATGGATCAGTAGATCTGTAGATCTATGCATCGGTAGATCGCTAAAACAATGGATCGGTAGATCGATGGATCGCTAGATCGGTGGATCTGTAGATCAGTGGATGATTAGATCTGTAGATCGATAGATGGCATAGATCGTTGGATCTGTAAGTCAATAGAGCAGTAGATCTGTAGATCTATGGATCGGTAGATCGCTAGATCAATGGATCAGTAGATCGGTAGATCGATGGATGGCTAGATCGCTAGATCGGTGGATCTGTAGATCAATGGATCAGTAGACCAGTAGATCGATGGATCGCTAGATCTCTAGATCGGTGGATCTGTAGATCAATGGATCAGTAGAACAGTAAATAGATGGATCGCTACATGGCTAGATTGGTGGATCTGTAGATCAATGTATCAGTAGATCTATATATCAATGGATCGGTATATTGGTAGATCTGTAGATCAATGGATCAGTGGATCTATAGATCCTCGGATCGATAGATCGGTGGAACTGTAGATCAATAGATCAGAAGATCTGTAGATCGCTGAAGCGATAGATCGGTGGAACTGTAGATCAATAGATCAGTAGATCCGTAGATCTATGGATCGGTAGATCGCTAAATCAATGGATTAGTAGATCGGTAGATCGCTAGATCGCTGGATCTGTAGATCAATGGATCAGTAGATCTGTAGATCGATGGATGGCTAGATCGCTAGATCGGTGGATCTGTAGATCAATGGATCAGTAGACCAGTAGATCGATGGATCGCTAGATCTCTAGATCGGTGGATCTGTAGATCAATGTATCATTAGATCTATAGATCAATGGATCGGTATATTGGTAGATCTGTAAATGAATGGATAAGGGGATCTATGGATCCTTGGATCGATAGATCGCTAGATCTGTGAATCAATGGATGAGAAGATCTGTAGATCGATGAAGCGATAGATCGGTGGAACTGTAGATCTGTAGATCTATGGATCGGTAGATCGCTAGATCAATGGATCAGTAGATCGGTAGATCGGTGGATGGCTAGATCGCTAGATCGGTGGATCTGTAGATCAATGGATCAGTAGACCAGTAGATCAATGGATCGCTAGATCGCTAGATTGGTGGATCTGTAGATCAATGTATCATTAGATCTATAGATCAATGGATCGGTATATTGGTAGATCTGTAGATGAATGGATAAGCGGATCTATGGATCCTTGGATCGATAGATCGCTAGATCTGTGAATCAATGGATGAGAAGATCTGTAGATCGATGAAGCGATAGATCGGTGGAACTGTAGATCAATAGATCAGTAGATCCGTAGATCTATGGATCGGTAGATCGCTAAATCAATGGATTAGTAGATCGCTAGATCGCTAGATCGCTGGATCTGTAGATCAATGGATCAGTAGATCTGTAGATCTATGCATCGGTAGATCGCTAAAACAATGGATCGGTAGATCGATGGATCGCTAGATCGGTGGATCTGTAGATCAGTGGATCATTAGATCTGTAGATCGATAGATGGCATAGATCGTTGGATCTGTAAATCAATAGAGCAGTAGATCTGTAGATCTATGGATCGGTAGATCGCTAGATCAATGGATCAGTAGATCGGTAGATCGATGGATGGCTAGATCGCTAGATCGGTGGATCTGTAGATCAATGGATCAGTAGACCAGTAGATCGATGGATCGCTAGATCTCTAGATCGGTGGATCTGTAGATCAATGGATCAGTAGAACAGTAGATAGATGGATCGCTACATGGCTAGATTGGTGGATCTGTAGATCAATGTATCAGTAGATCTATATATCAATGGATCGGTATATTGGTAGATCTGTAGATCAATGGATCAGTGGATCTATAGATCCTCGGATCGATAGATCGGTGGAACTGTAGATCAATAGATCAGAAGATCTGTAGATCGCTGAAACGATAGATCGGTGGAACTGTAGATCAATAGATCAGTAGATCCGTAGATCTATGGATCGGTAGATCGCTAAATCAATGGATTAGATCGCTGGATCTGTAGATCATTGGATCAGTAGATCTGTAGACCGATAGATCGCTAGATCCTTGGATCTGTAGATCAGTAGATCTGTAGATCTATGGATCGGTAGATCGCTAGATCAATGGATCAGTAGATCGATGGATCAGTAGATCTATAGATCCTTAGATCGATAGATCGCTAGATCTGTGGATCAATGGATCAGTAGATCTGTAGATCGATGGATCGATAGATCGGTGGAACTGTAGATCAATAGATCAGTAGATCGGTAGATCGATGGATCGGTAGATCGATGGATCGCTAGATCAATGGATCAGTGGATAAGTAGATCTGTAGATCGATAGATCGCTAGATCCTTCGATCTGTAGATCAATAGATCAGTACATCCGTAGATCTATGGATCGGTAGATCGCTAGATCAATGAATCAGTGGACCGCTAGATCGCTAGATCGCTGGATCTGTAGATCAATGGATCAGTAGATCTGTAGATCGATAGATCGCTAGATCCTTGGATGTGTAGATCAGTAGATCCGTAGATCTATGGATCGGTAGATCGCTAGATCAATGGATCAGTAGATCGATGGATCAGTAGATCTATAGATCCTTAGATCGATAGATCGCCAGATCTATTGATCTATTGATCACGGATCCACCGATCTACTGATCTAATGATCTACAGATCCAGCGATCTACCGATCTACTGATCCATTGATTCAACGATCTACCGATCCATAGATCTACAGATCTACCGATCAACACATCAGCAGATCGGTAGATCCATGGATCGATAGATCGGTGAACTGTACATCAATAGATCAGAAGATCTGTAGATCTATGGATCGGTAGATCGCCAGATCGATGGATCAGTAGATCGGTAGATCGCTGGATCTGTAGATCATTGATCAGTAGATCTGTAGATCGATAGATCGCCAGATCCTGGATCTGTAGATCAGTAGATCTGTAGATCTATGGATCGGTAGATCCCTGATCAATGGATCAGTAGATCGATGGATCAGTAGATCTATAGATCCTTAGATCGATAGATCGCTAGATCTGTGGATCAATGGATCAGTAGATCTGTAGATCGATGGATCGATAGATCGGTGGAACTGTACATCAATAGATCAGTAGATCGGTAGATCGATGCATCGGTAGATCGCTAGATCAATGGATCAGTAGAACGCTAGATCGGTACATCACTGGATCAGTAGATCGGTAGATCGATGGATCGCTAGATCAATGGATCAGTAGATCAGTGGATCAGTAGATCTGTAGATCGATAGATCGCTAGATCCTTCGATCTGTAGATCAATAGATCAGTACATCCGTAGATCTATGGATCGGTAGATCGCTAGATCAATGAATCAGTGGACCGCTAGATCGCTAGATCGCTGGATCTGTAGATCAATGGATCAATAGATCTGTAGATCGATAGATCGCTAGATCCTTGGATCTGTAGATCAGTAGATCCGTAGATCTATGGATCGGTAGATCGCTAGATCAATGGATCAGTAGATCGATGGATCAGTAGATCTATAGATCCTTAGATCGATAGATCGCTAGATCTATTGATCTATTGATCTACGGATCCACCGATCTACTGATCCAATGATCTACAGATCCAGCGATCTGTCGATCTACCGATCCATTGATCTATATCTACCGATCCATAGATCTACAGATCGATCCATTGATCCACAGATCAGCGATCTATCGATCTAAGGATCTATAGATCAATGGATCAGTAGATCTGTAGATCTATGGATCGGTAGATCGCTACATCAATGGATCAGTAGATCGGTAGATCGCTGGATCTGTAGATCATTGGATCAGTAGATCGGTGGATCCGTAGATCAATAGATCAATAGATCTGTAGATCGATAGATCGCTAGATCCTTGGATCTGTAGATCAATAGATCAGTAGATCCGAAGATCTATGGATCGGTAGATCGCTAGATCAATGAATCAGTGGACCGGCAGATCGCTAGATCGCTGGATCTGTAGATCAATGGATCACTAGATCTGTAGATAGATAGATCGCTAGATCCTTGGATCTGTAGATCAGTAGATCCGTAGATCTATGGATCAGTAGATCGCTAGATCAATGGATCAGTAGATCGATGGATCAGTAGATCTATAGATCCTTAGATCGATAGATCGGTACATCTGTTAATCAATGGATCAGAACATCTGTAGATCGATGGATCAGTAGATCGCTAGATCGCTGGATCTGTAGATCAATGGATAAGGGGATCTATGGATCCTTGGATCGATAGATCGCTAGATCTGTGAATCAATGGATCAGAAGATCTGTAGATCCATGGCTCGATAGATCGGTGGAACTGTAGATCAATACATCAGTAGATCGGTAGATCGATGGATCGATAGATCGATAGATCGGTGGAACTGTAGATCAATAGATCAGAAGATCTGTAGATCTATGGATCGGTAGATCGCTAGATCGATGGATGGCTAGTTAGCTAGATCGGTGGATCTGTAGATCAATGGATCAGTAGAACAGTAGTTCGATGGATCGCTACATTGGTGGATCTGTAGATCAATGCATCAGTAGATCTTTAGATCAATGGATCGGTATATCGGCAGATCTGTAGATCAATGGATCAGTGGATCTATAGATCTTTGGATCGATAGATCGCTAGATCTGTGGATCAAGGGATCAGTAGATCTGTAGATCGATGGATCGATAGATCGGTGAAACTGTAGATAAATAGATCAGTACATCGGTATATCTATGGATCAGTAGATCGCTGGAACTGTAGATCAATGGATCAGTAGATCTGTAGATCAATGGATCACTAGATCGGTAGATCGCTGGATCTGTAGATCATTGGATCAGTAGGTCGGTGGATCCGTAGATCAATAGATCTGTAGATCGATAGATCGCTAGATCAATAGATCAGTAGATCCGTAGATCTATGGATCGGTAGATCACTAGATCAATGAATCAGTGGACCGGTAGATCGCTAGATCGCTGGATCTGTAGATCAATGGATCAGTAGATCTGTAGATCGATAGATCGCTAGATCCTTGGATCTGTAGATCAGTAGATCCGTAGATCTATGGATCGGTAGATCGCAAGATCAATGGATCAGTAGATCGATGGATCAGTAGATCTATAGATTCTTAGATCGATAGATCGCTAGATCTGTGAATCAATGGATCAGAAGATCTGTAGATCGATGGATCGATAGATCGGTGAAACTGTAGATCAATAGATCGGTAGATCGATGGATCGGTAGATCGCTAGATCCATGGATCAGTAGATCGCTAGATCGCTAGATCGCTGGATCTGTAGATCAATGGATAAGGGGATCTATGGATCCTTGGATCTATAGATCGCTAGATCTGTGGATCAATGGATCAGTAGATCTGTAGATCGATGGATCGATAGATCGGTGGAACTTTAGATCATCAATAGATCAGTAGATCTGTAGATCTATGGATCGGTAGATCGCTAGATCAATGGATCAGTAGATCGGTAGATCGATGGATCGATAGATCGGTGGAACTGTAGATCAATAGATCAGTAGATCTGTAGATCTATGGATCGGTAGATCGCTACATCAATGGATCAGTAGATCGGTAGATCGCTAGATCAATTTATCAGTAGATATGTAGATCTATGGATGGGTAGATCGCTAGATCAACGGATCAGTAGACCGGTAGATCGATGGATGCCTAGATGGCTAGATCGATGGATCTGTAGACCAATAGATCAGTAAACCAGTAGATCGATGGATCGCTAGATGGCTAGATTGGTGGATCTGTAGATCAATGTATCTGTAGATCAATGGATCAGTAGATCGGTAGATCGCTTGATCTGTAGATCAATGGATCAGTAGATCTGTAGATCTCTGGATCGGAAGATCGCTAGATCAATGGATCAGTAGATCGGTAGATCGCTAAATCGCTGGATCTGTAGATCAATGGATCAGTAGATCAGTGGATCTGTAGATCAATAGATCAGTAAGTCTGTAGATCGATAGATCGCTAGATGGTTGGATCTGTAGATCAATAGATCAGTAGATCTTTAGATCTATGGATCGGTACATCGCTAGATCAATGGATCAGTAGATCGCTAGATCGATGGATGGCTAGATCGCTAGATCGGTGGATCTGTAGATCAATGGATCAGTAGACCAGTAGATCGATGGATCGCTAGATTGGTGGATCTGTAGATCAATGTATCATTAGATCTATAGATCAATGGATCGGTATATTGGTAGATCTGTAGATGAATGGATAAGGGGATCTAGGGATCCTTGGATCGATAGATCGCTAGAGCTGTGAATCAATGGATGAGAAGATCTGTAGATCGATGAAGCGATAGATCGGTGGAACTGTAGATCAATAGATCAGTAGATCTGTAGATCTATGGATCGGTAGATTGCTGGATCTGTAGATCAATGGATCAGTAGATCTGTAGGTCTATGGATCGGTAGATCGCTAGATCAATGGAATAGTAGATCGGTAGATGGATGGATAGATAGATCGGTGGAACTGTAGAACAATAGATCAGTAGATCTGTAGATCTATGGATCGGTAGATCGCTAGATCAATGGATCAGTAGATCGGTAGATCGCTAGATCAATGGATCAGTAGATATGTAGATCTATGGATGGGTAGATCGCTAGATCAACGGATCAGTAGACCGGTAGGTCGATGGATGCCTAGATCGCTACATCGGTGGATCTGTAGACCAATAGATCAGTAAACCAGTAGATCGATGGATCGCTAGATGGCTAGATTGGTGGATGTGTAGATCAATGTATCAGTAGATCTATAGATCAATGGATCGGTATATCGGTAGATCAACGGATCCTTGGATCAATAGATCGGTGGAACTGTAGATCAATAGATCAGTAGATCTGTAGATGTATGGATCGGTAGATCGCTAGATCAATGGATCAGTAGATCGGTAGATCGCTGGATCTGTAGATCAATGGATCAGTAGATCTGTAGATCTCTGGATCGGAAGATCGCTAGATCAATGGATCAGTAGATTGGTAGATGGCTAAATCGCTGGATCTGTAGATAAATGGATCAGTAGATCGGTGAATCTGTAGATCAATAGATCAGTAAGTCTGTAGATCGATAGATCGCTAGATCGTTGGATCTGTAGATCAATAGATCAGTAGATCTGTAGATCTATGGATCGGTAGATCGCTAGATCAATGGATCAGTAGATCGGTAGATCGATGGATGGCTAGATCGCTAGATCGGTGGATCTGTAGATCAATGGATCAGTAGACCAGTAGATCAATGGATCGCTAGGTCGCTAGATTGGTGGATTTGTAGATCAATGTATCATTAGATCTATAGATCAATGGATCGGTATATTGGTAGATCTGTAGATGAATGGATAAGAGGATCTATGGATCCTTGGATCGATAGATCGCTAGATCTGTGAATCAATGGATGAGAAGATCTGTAGATCGATGAAGCGATAGATCGGTGGAACTGGAGATCAATAGATCAGTAGATCCGTAGATCTATGGATCGGTAGATCGCTAAATCAATGGATTAGTAGATCGCTAGATCGCTAGATCGCTGGATCTGTAGATCAATGGATCAGTAGATCTGTAGATCTATGCATCGGTAGATCGCTAAAACAATGGATCGGTAGATCGATGGATCGCTAGATCGGTGGATCTGTAGATCAGTGGATGATTAGATCTGTAGATCGATAGATGGCATAGATCGTTGGATCTGTAAGTCAATAGAGCAGTAGATCTGTAGATCTATGGATCGGTAGATCGCTAGATCAATGGATCAGTAGATCGGTAGATCGATGGATGGCTAGATCGCTAGATCGGTGGATCTGTAGATCAATGGATCAGTAGACCAGTAGATCGATGGATCGCTAGATCTCTAGATCGGTGGATCTGTAGATCAATGGATCAGTAGAACAGTAAATAGATGGATCGCTACATGGCTAGATTGGTGGATCTGTAGATCAATGTATCAGTAGATCTATATATCAATGGATCGGTATATTGGTAGATCTGTAGATCAATGGATCAGTGGATCTATAGATCCTCGGATCGATAGATCGGTGGAACTGTAGATCAATAGATCAGAAGATCTGTAGATCGCTGAAGCGATAGATCGGTGGAACTGTAGATCAATACATCAGTAGATCCGTAGATCTATGGATCGGTAGATCGCTAAATCAATGGATTAGTAGATCGGTAGATCGCTAGATCGCTGGATCTGTAGATCAATGGATCAGTAGATCTGTAGATCGATGGATGGCTAGATCGCTAGATCGGTGGATCTGTAGATCAATGGATCAGTAGACCAGTAGATCGATGGATCGCTAGATCTCTAGATCGGTGGATCTGTAGATCAATGTATCATTAGATCTATAGATCAATGGATCGGTATATTGGTAGATCTGTAAATGAATGGATAAGGGGATCTATGGATCCTTGGATCGATAGATCGCTAGATCTGTGAATCAATGGATGAGAAGATCTGTAGATCGATGAAGCGATAGATCGGTGGAACTGTAGATCTGTAGATCTATGGATCGGTAGATCGCTAGATCAATGGATCAGTAGATCGGTAGATCGGTGGATGGCTAGATCGCTAGATCGGTGGATCTGTAGATCAATGGATCAGTAGACCAGTAGATCAATGGATCGCTAGATCGCTAGATTGGTGGATCTGTAGATCAATGTATCATTAGATCTATAGATCAATGGATCGGTATATTGGTAGATCTGTAGATGAATGGATAAGCGGATCTATGGATCCTTGGATCGATAGATCGCTAGATCTGTGAATCAATGGATGAGAAGATCTGTAGATCGATGAAGCGATAGATCGGTGGAACTGTAGATCAATAGATCAGTAGATCCGTAGATCTATGGATCGGTAGATCGCTAAATCAATGGATTAGTAGATCGCTAGATCGCTAGATCGCTGGATCTGTAGATCAATGGATCAGTAGATCTGTAGATCTATGCATCGGTAGATCGCTAAAACAATGGATCGGTAGATCGATGGATCGCTAGATCGGTGGATCTGTAGATCAGTGGATCATTAGATCTGTAGATCGATAGATGGCATAGATCGTTGGATCTGTAAATCAATAGAGCAGTAGATCTGTAGATCTATGGATCGGTAGATCGCTAGATCAATGGATCAGTAGATCGGTAGATCGATGGATGGCTAGATCGCTAGATCGGTGGATCTGTAGATCAATGGATCAGTAGACCAGTAGATCGATGGATCGCTAGATCTCTAGATCGGTGGATCTGTAGATCAGTGGATCAGTAGAACAGTAGATAGATGGATCGCTACATGGCTAGATTGGTGGATCTGTAGATCAATGTATCAGTAGATCTATATATCAATGGATCGGTATATTGGTAGATCTGTAGATCAATGGATCAGTGGATCTATAGATCCTCGGATCGATAGATCGGTTGAACTGTAGATCAATAGAGCAGAAGATCTGTAGATCGCTGAAGCGATAGATCGGTGGAACTGTAGATCAATAGATCAGTAGATCCGTAGATCTATGGATCGGTAGATCGCTAAATCAATGGATTAGTAGATCGGTAGATCGCTAGATCGCTGGATCTGTAGATCAATGGATCAGTAGATCTGTAGATCGATGGATGGCTAGATCGCTAGATCGGTGGATCTGTAGATCAATGGATCAGTAGACCAGTAGATCGATGGATCGCTAGATCTGTAGATCGGTGGATCTGTAGATCAATGTATCATTAGATCTATAGATCAATGGATCGGTATATTGGTAGATCTGTAAATGAATGGATAAGGGGATCTATGGATCCTTGGATCGATAGATCGCTAGATCTGTGAATCAATGGATGAGAAGATCTGTAGATCGATGAAGCGATAGATCGGTGGAACTGTAGATCAATAGATCAGTAGATCTGTAGATCTATGGATCGGTAGATCGCTAGATCAATGGATCAGTAGATCGGTAGATCGGTGGATGGCTAGATCGCTAGATCGGTGGATCTGTAGATCAATGGATCAGTAGACCAGTAGATCGATGGATCGCTAGATCGCTAGATTGGTGGATCTGTAGATCAATGTATCATTAGATCTATAGATCAATGGATCGGTATATTGGTAGATCTGTAGATGAATGGATAAGGGGATCTATGGATCCTTGGATCGATAGATCGCTAGATCTGTGAATCAATGGATGAGAAGATCTGTAGATCGATGAAGCGATAGATCGGTGGAACTGTAGATCAATAGATCAGTAGATCCGTAGATCTATGGATCGGTAGATCGCTAAATCAATGGATTAGTAGATCGCTAGATCGCTAGATCGCTAGATCGCTGGATCTGTAGATCAATGGATCAGTAGATCTGTAGATCTATGCATCGGTAGATCGCTAAAACAATGGATCGGTAGATCGATGGATCGCTAGATCGGTGGATCTGTAGATCAGTGGATCATTAGATCTGTAGATCGATAGATGGCATAGATCGTTGGATCTGTAGATCAATAGAGCAGTAGATCTGTAGATCTATGGATCGGTAGATCGCTAGATCAATGGATCAGTAGATCGGTAGATCGATGGATGGCTAGATCGCTAGATCGGTGGATCTGTAGATCAATGGATCAGTAGAACAGTAGATAGATGGATCGCTACATGGCTAGACTGGTGGATCTGTAGATCAATGTATCAGTAGATCTATATACCAATGGATCGGTATATTGGTAGATCTGTAGATCAATGGATCAGTGGATCTATAGATCCTCGGATCGATAGATCGGTGGAACTGTATATCAATAGATCAGAAGATCTGTAGATGTATGGATGGGTAGATCGCTAGATTAATGGATCAGTAGATTGGTAGATCGCTAGATCGCTGGATCAGTAGATCTGTGGATCGGTAGATCGCTAGATCAATGGATCACTACATCGGTAGATCGCTAGATCGGTGGATCTGTAGATCAATAGATCTGTAGACCGATAGATCGCTAGATCGTTGGATCTGTAGATCAATAGATCAGTAGATCTTTAGATCTATGGATCGGTAGATCGCTAGATCAATGGATCAGTAGATCGGTAGATCGATGGATGGCTAGATCGCTAGATCGGTGGATCTGTAGATCAATGGATCAGTAGACCAGTAGATCGATGGATCGCTAGATTAGTGGATCTGTAGATCAATGTATCAGTAGATCTATAGATCAATGGATGGGTATATCGGTGGATCTGTAGATCAATGGATCAGTAGATCTGTAGATCGATGGAGGGATAGATCGCTAGATCAATGGATCAGTAGATCGATGAATTGCTAGAACGGTGGATCTGTAGATCAATGGATCGATGGATCGCTAGATCGGTAGATCGGGGAATCTGTAAATGAATGGATCAGTAGATCTATAGTTCCATAGATTGGTAGATCGCTAGACATATAGATCAATGGATTAGGGGATCTATAGATCGATGGATCGGTAGATCGTTAGATCTGTAGATGAATGGATTAGTGGATCTATAGACGGATGGATCGGTAGATCGGTGGATCTGTACATATATGGATCACTAGATCGGTGGATCTGTACATCCATGGATCGCTAGATCGGTGGATCTGTAGATCAATGGATCAGTGGATCTGTAGATGTATGGATCGGTAGATTGCTAGATCGGTACATCAATGGAGCAGTGGATCAGTAGATCGATGGATCGCGAGATCGGTGGATCTGTAGATCTATGGATCGGTAGATTGCTAGATAGGTAGGTCAATGGATCAGTAGATCAATGGATCGCTAGCTCGCTAGATTGGTGGATTTGTAGATCAGTGGATCAGTAGATCTGTAGATCGATGGATCGATAGATCGGTGGATCTGTAGTTTAGGTTATTGCTAGATCGAAGGATGTGTACACCGATGGATCGATAGATTGCTAGAACGGTGGATCTGTGGATCATATTAATGGACAGCGGGTCTTTCACTGACCCTGTTAAGTTCAATTTGAATTAGGTTTTCAGACATTTGTTCGGGCCCAGTAGCATTAGTCCTATAAATACTGCCGTGGTTAAAAACGGAATTATTATTATTGTTACTACTATTATAAAGGACCAAGTAAGACATTATGCTAATTATTTTAATTCATACACAGTGCATAATTTTTTAATTAGTGATTTCTTTGTTTACGTCCTTCTTTCCTTTCGCAGAATCTGCAGTGATTATTAAGCGAAAAAGGCGAAAATAATTGACTATAAACCAAGATTATTATATCACCAGTTCAGTTTGAGGTTTGTCTTGGACAGGCTCTGCTTCTCTTTTGACCTTTGAATTTGGCGTCTTTTGGTTGTCATCAGCTTCACGTCTTCTACGTGTCTTGACTTCGTCACCTGAAGTATCGTTTTGTTGTTTCCCATAGATAGCACTTGAAGTCTGGTTGAACAAAATAAATGTGTAAGTGATTGTAAACTAGTTTTCATTTAAACGCTTTGGTTTCATAAATTAAAGAAGATTCAACAAAATGACGTTCTTAGACCTTTTTATCCATACGGCGACCATATTGAATTAATTCGATTTAAAGAGTATTATAGGATGCCCAGGGGGCATCAGCACATTTCGTTTGTATTTTCGAGCGCTTTTCGGGACATTGTGCCTTGTGCCGTGTTTGGATGTAATAATGATCGCCTTTTTCTAGTTTAGTATTAGAAATAGGATCTTTCACTGTATATTTCTCGGGAAAAAGGCGATCATTATGACATCCAAACACGGCACAAGGATCTTTTTTCCCATTACAATCTTATTCTAGGAAAACTTTAAGAAAAAATGTCCCGAAAAGCGCTCGAAAATACAAACGAAATGTGCTCATGCACATGCAAATTGAAACCGGCGTTTCTAATTGATTCAGACGCCGAACTTTTCAGATACTTAATTCAATGTATATGGTTCGGCTCATGAAAAGTTCGGCGTCTGGACCGGGCCTCAGTCTCCTGCCACACTGATATTCGCAGTTGAAGTACTTCGAAGACCATCACCAATAGACCATTTGCACGATGGCGTTATTTTACTACTACCACCAGAATCCATTATGTTTTTCCTTCATATTTGAATTTGGTAATCCCGGCAAGGTTTAGAGCGGTTTTCACTTGACTGTCGTAAAACCAAAACCAAAGTAAATACACTAGCCAACCAAAGGGCGTAGTAAAACCAAAACCAAAACCAAAACCAATCCCTTTCGACAGTCAAGTGAAAACCGCTCTAAATAACAAAAGCCCTAATTTGCACAAGAAAGCAAAACCTTTAAGGTTCTGGTTGTAGTAGTACAATGAAGTCATCGTGCAAATGACGTACTTCCGAAGCTTCGGACGTAACCGACGACGATAATACGAAGAAGAAAGATTCCCGAATTTAATTTCCAAATTCCGAAGAATTCCGAAACTGACCCGAAGTAAAATTGACGTCATCGGTTGATTAATCGCAAAATTCTTCCAAATGTGGTCAACAATAGCTGGTTATGGTGAATTATGCGTGTGCTTTTAGCCAATCAGAAACGGAGAAACATTTTGAATGAATAATAATTGTATTTAAACCACGCCTTGTAAGACTGACAGCGAGCAAAAGAACTGGGTCTGGTGATGTCACTTCCGGAATTAACGAAAGCGGAAGGGGAAGTTAAGATAAACCGACTTTTTTCAGTAGTTACCTGCAATCGTAACAGATTTAACTGTCCAGGTTTGAAGTCGCAATCTACTCTTTTGCCATCAAACTAAATAAGTGAGAAAAAGCCATTGTTAGCATCAAATCGTAAATCCTCTATTACGCCCCCCCCCCCCCCCCCTCGTGGGGGCTTACTCATTTCAAGCACGGGCTTAATGGAAACGGGGGAGCTTATTAATTTTACAAAGATGATGATATAAGTTCTCCTTAAAAACTCTAGAACACTAAGTGTAACAGGTCAAGTGCATTAAGCTGGAGATCCCGCAGGCGAAGATCAAAAACAAATCCGAACTTCCAGCACCTGAATAAACCATACGGGATCAGTGCACATGAAGACTTAGGTGTGATTGATTAATAGAGTCTATAATTTATTAGTGAAGAATAATAAGGGAAGAGGGGAGAGAGGCTGATATGAGAGGGAGACTAAATAGAGAATTTACTGTATCCTAAATATGATGATGGTGTGGACCTCATGAATGGTCAATAACTTACATATCTCACCTGAACGTCTATAAGATAAAGTAAATGTTTGCCGCTGGTTGCTTCAAAAGGCCAGTGAATAACGATTTCACTTGAAGGGATTGGATCTGGGCCGCGGTTTTTCACCTTAAAATTGAGTTGCATAAACATTCATATCGATCAGCAATTTTAAGATGCAAACACAAAAACACAAGGTTTAGGTGAAAATGAGTTTCCAAGAGAGCAAGGATGAATTTAGAGTGCTAAGAGGTAGTGATAGTTTTAAGTTAGGTTTGCAGAAAGGCCATTACGTTCAAAATCGTTACAAGGGGTTTTAACGGATCGACAGGTTTATGAAACTCAGAGAATTCTAAACTGATCCCAATATATACATGTTCACAATGTTCCACCAAAGATAACTCACAATCCTCAGTTTCACTCTGACGAAGGGCTGATAAAGCCACTGAAAATTTTAAAAAAAATTCAAGACGACCTTCAAGCGTTTGTTGAGATTCCAACAGGTTCAAAAATATTTCAATTTTCTCTGCGCATAGGGTAAGACTAAAGAAAATACTTCGCACATTACGGGGCCCATACATAGTATTTGTGAATAACTTCATTTCCAATGTCTTCAACACGTTTCATGGCGCTCTCTCCAACAACTTCCCCACCGTATGATACTTGTTCTTCAACAGTCGAACTAGTAAAAAAAATGCAGATCAACTTTCAGGGAAACAGAATCTCCTGTAGCTTGAATTGGAAGTCAACATGAACTTGACAGTATGATATAAAACATTGCGCACAAACAAATTTGCCAATCTCCACTGCAGAGACTATAAGGAGAATGGGTACAAGCTTTTGGCACAATGATTTCTGGGATCCTGTGGGTGGAAAGGCGTTACTTCTGATTTTTTAATGGTTGACTCGAATACCATCGACCAATCATTACTGAGGGCTTGTCCACCCAAATAATTCCAGAAACTACTGCGCCTAAAGCTTGAACCCATTCTCCCTAGAGTTCCTGAACTGGATAATTTTGAGGTTGCGCGTAAGACTGGGTCAGAGTTGAGTCGAATTGCACTGTGGGACTGTTTATGGGGACGAATTTTGACCCAGTTTCCTGTCCATCCTCGTAGTGGCCAAAGAATGCGGTGATAGCGTCCCCAAAACACCCTCATGGTGCAATTCTACACAACACTGGCGTAGCATTAAGTGCAGTATTAAAATGACCACCTTTGAACATTCCACCCACAAACTCGGGGATGGAAATAACCCGCTTGCCCGGGGCAAGAAAATTTTGATCTTGGGCAAGTAAAAATAGAAGTTTGGTAAACTGAAGTGAAGTTTGAAAGTATCAGCTTGGTAAATGATAATTTCCAGACAGAAACTATTTCAAAACTTAAAACTGCAAGGTGAGTGATACAATTAGTTGAAAGCATGAATCAGTTTAAAATCCAAGCGCACATCTGCTTGCTCATGTACTCCTCCGGTCACCATATCGGTCAAATCCACTAGTTACTCTGTATCTGGCACACCATTTAAGTATTGAGCAATCTTATACACTTTGTGACTTATTATAGACAGTACCTTAAAACTGTAGATGGTAAGGCATTGTGTTCCCTTCGGAAAAGTAATATTTAAGTGGCGGCAAGTGAAAACTCAGCTGAAATTTACTTGCCCACTGCGCAATTGGATTTTTTTCCTGCCCTGAAGCTCTTTTTCGATCAGTTTTTTTTAAGAATTTACTGCAGGGAGTTTAAAGCTAAGGGTTTAAAATTTAAGGTCGCTCAGGACTTCCTCCTGGAGGTGAACCTCGACTCTTGTTAGCGCTAAAAGCTATATTGAAGGGACGGGTGTTTAAAAATACTACCTTATTACATGAAATTTTCGTTAACTTCGCGAATTTCGCGATACAAAAAAAATCGCGAAATAAACACGTCATGTGATAAGGTACACTCTTATTAAAATAACCTTCTGGTTCTACGTTATCTATTAATGACCTTAATTTGTTCGCCAATGATTGAACATTTCTGTCTAATAATAGTTGTGCCAAAAACAGATATAAGGTGGTAGAAATGAACCGTGAAGGCGAGTGTGTCGACAAAGTTAGCTGGTTTATAGCACTTACCCATTAACCTCTAGGTCAGCTTGAGATTTGATAGAAATATTCAAGAATCTAAAGTTGTCTGCTAGGGTTGCATTTTCCTCTTCATTTGTGCTGCAAAAAAGTGAACAATTCACTTTCAAAGGCTAACGAAAGTAGTTGTTTAATGTATTACGTTACAATTAAGCTATCCTCGTAAATTCAATTCCATCTTTACTCATCACAGACACTTAATTATACATGCATTTCAACTGAAGCAAAATGTTTCCACATGTAAGCCCTAGGCTTCAATAACTTCGTAAGGGGATTTAGGAGAGCTTATAAACAGAGGGGCTTATCAAAACACTTTCTGAATTTTACTCGCCTTTTTAAGCTACGAAACCGGCGTCATATCGGTTTACGGTATGGCAGGAGTCAGTCTACCTGGGAATCCCTCGCCTTTCATTCACAGGTTAAAAACGCGTAATGAGTCCGATTGAGTCCGACCATACCTTTGCTTCGTTCGAACAAACAAGTGTCTCAACCGGACAAAAGCCCTCTCAAGAAATGAAAATTACACCCCTCGCCTGTTCACAGACCCTCTAATTTCTCTTTAGATCGTTGAGCGCGCGTATGGAAATAAAAACCGTGGGGATTTATTGACCGCTGGCGCAAGGGGAGGGGGTGGGGAAAAGGAAAATAGTCTCGCGCTTAGTCTGAATATCATCCGTCTCTACACCCCCCCCCCGGCAAGGTGTGCGAAGTCAGACTATCTCGCGCTCCACGCTTGCTCTTAAGCTGCGTGCAAACGGGCGCAACAACTCCCAACATAGGTGCGCGAACAATGTTGGGAGTTGTTGCGTGCGTATTAGCAGTGGTGTGCAAACGGATGCAAAAACTCCCAACAATGTTGGGACCTGCAGTGCATCGTGGGAAGAATACAACCCACAAGTCTTTGTAATCCATGCGTAATGAGCTTGCGTGGCCCCAACAATGTTGGAAGAGCTGTGCAAACGGATCCAACATTGTTGCGCTACGCTTCGGCGATCACGGGACAAAAGAAATGTTGGGAGTTGTTGGCTGAAAAGTTTGACCGATTTCAAACTTGGCGCAACATGTAACAACCAACAATGTTGTTTCCGTTTGCACGGGCCTTTCCGGGTTCGCTTCGCTAGCGTGCTCGTCGATTTTCGAAATACAACCATCGAAATACCTGTCCGTAGAAATGTTTATTGGCAAGAAATCTGGTTCGTCACTGTATCTTGAAGTGTCCAATTCAATCCGCAATGACTTCTCCGACTACAGGAAAAATAAATTACCGTTATTTACCGTCGGCAGTATTTATAGCACTAATTCTAGTGAAGCCAAGCAAATCCCTGAAACAAATAATTTAAATTTAAAATAACAGGGTTAAAAATCCTTACAACTGTGGTCGACGATTTGAACTCGGGGACTACCAAGAACAAATTCACCTAATAAACTGCAAAACAGTCGGTTTTTTTTTTCGCAAAATCGGTTTAGCGTAGCTTAAGGGTCTCACACGCGCGAAGCACGCGGGCCTCACACGCCCATAGGCCCCAGTCTCGCACTCCGTTCTCAGCCTCGCTCCAGACCTTTTGTTTTACTGCTCGCGAGTACTTGAATACGCAAAAATACGGAATTTTTTTTAAGTCTATCAGCTACCGGTCGGGGAGGCACTTAAACTCGGGACCTCCGAATCTCAAGTCCAACGCTCTAACCGCTCGGGCAAGCTGTCTCCCAAAACATATACAGAAAAAATAAGTATGGAATAGATCTTGTTTAAAGGATCATTCATACAAACTCACTAACCTCTTTTTTTAAAGGATTTGCTACTTTGATGATCAGTTTAGTGTCATTTGTGCCGAGTTTTTTCTCCTCAACGTTTACTTGTCCAATCCATTCGGCCTGAAACAACAAAAAAATTAATGAATAAATTGTAACCTGAAAGTGCCAAGTATCTGAGGTAGAGTTATGAATCTGTGTACACATAAGCACTTCAGTTAAATGAAAACGATTGTGATACAAAATAGAGAAAATGCAAGTACATAAACTTGCGTTCCTCATGGCCAAAATTCTTTCCCTGACCGCTCAAAAAGACCCGAAATGCAGTTTTAATGGCCCCATAATTAAACCTTTCGCAGTGAAGGCTTTTGGACTCGACCGCAAAGGAAGGCGGGGGCAGCCTCCATCCCATACCCACCCACACCCCCACAAACAGCTGCTGCGGCACTGTGCCTGTCTTCCATTACTTGAAATGTACTGGAGAACCCTGCCTGACTCATAGTTGACAGTTCCGAGAAAGAAGGGAAATGCCAGAACATTGGGAGTCTCTAACTCGAATCATTCGGGATTTTTATAACCAAAACTTTTATAGCCAGACTGGACAGATCAGCTTAGGTAGGCTTAAAGTTGTAGTTACTTTTTTATCTCAGTTAATTTTTATTTTTCCATTGTTTTTGGGTATGGTAATGTATACTAACGAATTTGAAACGAGGGAAAATACAATTAACTGAAATAAAATAATGCAACATTAATATAAAATAATAGCCGTAAATGTTTCATGGGGTATTCTTTTGAACTATACAAGCTACGATCATCGACAAAATTAGTTGAGACTTTTGCAAACTTAAAAAAGAGAAAATAAAGCTTTCCCTCCTTACCCCCTCCATGCAACTTTGTGCCGCTGTTCGTTCTACAATCGAACTTTGAATGGAGGGGGGAGGGGAGGGGAGGGGAGGGTATGTGGACTGTTTAGTTCTCCGAAGTTACCCCAATTGAGGATAATATCTCAACAATCCTGTCGCCAATTGTAGCCACTACCGTCTTACAGTGCAATTTCTCCTACTCTCAAGGGCTATGGTCTTTTTATGTGAATCCTTCTCGCAACTTACTTTATCTCCATCGACTCTAAAGACTCCTCTTTGACGCACGCTGATTCCTTTGGGAATATCGACATACAGTTTAGCATTGTACGCGTCATCTCCTTTGTTCTTAACAGTGACTTCCAACTTATAAACTTCAGCACCCACAGCTAGTGTCCTATGAACAAGAAACAAATGACATTATTACCAACAGCGCGTTCTCATTGGCTACTTTAAAATCACATGACAAGTAACAACGAGACTGTTCACCGACAACGCGCTCTCTCATTGGCTAATTTGAAGTCACATGACGTCTCACAATGCAACTGTTTTTCTAACAGAGCACTCTCATTGGCAACTTCGTCACGACAACAATGAAACTTTTTACATAACAGCGCTCTATCATTGGTTACAAAGTGAAAGAAAAAAGAAAATGGCACAAAAAATTGGTTTCATCAACCTGCTGAGTTGATACAAAGGAAAAGAAGGACACTGAAAAAAGAACCACTGCGACTGAATCTCTTGAGTTTCGGTGGCCAGTCTACTATTTACAATTTGATGACAGGAAATTTTTGATTCAATCCCCAACCGACGCAACACCACAGAGTCCTTAGCTTCATTCATTATTCTGCAAGACACATGTCACGAATTCTTCAAAACTCACCTTTTGCTGCTGCTGTCATCAAGTTCCAAATCTGGAACACATTTCTCACAGTCCCTTTTGAATTTCAGCTAAAAAAAACAGAGAAATAAAACTGATGGTTAAAGGTTGCTTAAAAATAAGGAAACGCTGATTTTCATTTACAACCCAAGCGCAGCAAAATCCGAGTGAAACACTGTGACCGTGACCTGAACTTGTTTACAGAGCTTAAGAAACCACCACTTTTGTCAGCGAGGAGATAAATCAAGCACGACGAGGACGACAAAAAGAGACAAACAAAAACAAAAACAAACCATAACAAACAATTATAAGCAAGTAATAGACCTGCTCCTGCATGGGTCATGGAGGACGTAAACACACAACGACGAGTTTTCCTCTCTGTTTTTAATTTGCTAATAGTCCTTAAGATTACGACTCCAGGACAAATTGCCTATAAATTTGATTAACTGAGTGGCGTAAAGTGAGCACGATGAGGAAGGAGAGAGCGCAAATTCATTTTTTTAGTGATGTTTCACTTCCCTCGTGTAAGCTCCCTAATGATTATTCCACCTCGCAAAACTTGTCAAAACGCTGGCGAATTTTCCTGGGAATGAATTGTTAGGTACTACAATCAAGTTTGAAACGATGAAGAAAAATACGTCCTCATCTGTTTACGCCCTGCTTTAACACCACATTAGGAATTTCACATCGTAGCTCAGCGGAGGACGGTAAAAGAATGTACCAAAAAGTGTGATTCACGTGCAGAGTTGTTGGTTGTTTACCATTTACAAAAAGTTCCCGGAAAATCCAGTCGGAAAGTAAATGGAACACGATTCTTCTGTTCGCTTCCGGGAGCAACGGAACGTCTGAAAAGGAAGTCCTGGGCGCTTTCCATTCCACCAAAACGTCCGGTTTGAATTTTCGGCAACTTCAAGTAGCGAATGGAACAGTATTTTACAAAATTTCCCAAAAAAAGACAACCTCGCGAGGTATACCCAAATTTGGGAAATTTATTTCCTGAAAGTTTTGTTTCCATTCAACTTTGCTCCTGGAATTTCTGAAAACTTTTCCGGGAAATTTCTGTACCATTTGCCGCTGTTTCCAAGTATTCGAAAGATTTAATTGACTAGAAAGCGCCCAAGTTCAAAGGTCGGAATGTTCCAAACGGAAATTCTTCTTCGAGGGCTTTTTTTTATATTAGTTTCAGGTTTTTGCGGCCGTTTTACGGTAAATGGAACTGATTTGTGCAAATGGTAAACGTGATTCCGGGACGAAATTTACCAGTCCTGAACTTTGCGAACCATTTAAACCGACCGGTTCGCCCGCGTAAATGGCAAACAACCAATTGTTTACACTGAAAACCTCTCTTATTGTTTCTGACGCTTTCGTTGCCGTCGCTGTCGTAACAGCTTTCAAATAAAGGCCCTTATTCACAGAAGACAGTGAAAGGCTAACTCACCACTGATGTGACTTCTTGTATCTGTAGAGGATCCAAAACAGAGTATGGCACAAGGGACGGAACGTCTGTAGGGCTGCTAGGAGTGACCACAGCCTTCTCCACAATTTTGTAGGTCAGTTTGAACTTAATGTCAGGAAAGATATCGAGAACTCCTTCCTGTGAATCACCAAATAAAACAAGCCTTGTAAACACCTTATTGACCACTGCAGAAAATACCATAACACACCATAACGCCCTTTGTTTGATACCCCAAAACTTTGCATAAGCATTGTCTTCAGTTTCTCTTGGGAGTTAAAGTGGCCCCAAGAGAGACTAAAAATAATGCTTATGCAGAATTTTGGGGCGACAAACACAGAGCATTATGGTATGTTATGGTATTTTTCAATTTCAAGATGGTGGAGATGTTACTTTTCTTTTATATTTATGTTAATTAGGCCTCTTTGCCTCGATTGCATCTACAGCCTCGAAACGAGACACTGAGAGCAAATTAACATGAAGACAAAAGAATAAAAGCATTGCTTTTCCCACTGAGGATATAATCCCGGCGGGTCAGAGACGAGGATATCTTTGTTTATCTGGTGGACTGGATTTTAGGGCTTAAGACATGGAATGTTGGTTAAGACAACAAAGACCGTAAAGGCGATGTTACACGGGACGATTCGCAATGACGATTTTCAGCGCAACACAACGTAGCAACATTGTTGCGACATTGAATCGAATGGTTTGCAACGTTGTTTCAACATTGCAACGCTGTGTTGCGCCTAAAATCGCCGTCGCGAATGGTCTCGTGTAACATCACCTGAAATCAATATTGCTTTACTGTTTTCAATTTCATGTGTATGCCTGCTTTTGTAGCCATACTCACCCTGAGATAAGCCTTCACGTCAAAGCATTTTTGAGTCGGGGTCACACGTTCTGTCCTGTTTATCTCCTCCTTTTTATTTGAACTAAACAGAACTCGCTTCAATGGTTCAGCATAGTCAATATCGGAAGTCATAATCAGCATAACATCTATAAAAAAAAAACAGTTTGTGATAAAAGGTCCTGGTAAAAGGCTTTGTTTTTCTTTGAGACAGGGGGACGTTTATTTGCAGCAAACCCACATCTCATAGAACATAGATAGATAGATACTTTTTTAACTGCTACTTGTCCACCGAGCTCTCTTTGGTGCCGCCCCTGTCTACCTGAAGAAGCTTTTAAGTTTCAAGGAGAGAAAGGTTATGAAGCTGATTATGAAGAATTAGACATGGGATTGGGGCCAATCAGAAATGGAAAAATAATTTATGACGCAGAATGATGCAGGTAATCCCACAAACCAATCAAATTTGAGAAAATATACGCACCCAAAGCAAAGCGCGGGAAAATGCCCGAGAGGGCGCCAGCATTAATTATGAAGATATGCCTGATTGGCTGACAAGGTGGCGCGCGTTTGCTCATCCAATCATATCGCGAGAAGGCTACGCAAACGCTACCACAAGCACTAGCAAACATACGTGTGAACTATCTCGAGGCAAAACTGAAAACAAGCTCACACGCTGGTGCAAAAGATGAAAAATTTTCCACTTTCTTACTATTACTTGACAAGACTTCAGGTCTACAAAGTTGTTCCTCGTTCTGTGAAGTTCTGTAAGACTTACCAATTATATCGCTGACGTTTCCAGATCTTTCAGTGTACTTGGTACAAATAGTAATCAAGAAGCTAACAGTTGTAAACACAAATACGAAAAAACAATTAGCGGAATATTAAGCTTAAGGTATATTTTTGAAATTCGCCACTTTACAAACGAGAAGGGTAATGAAGCTGTAATGTGTCCCGCAGCTGTTTCAGGAATCTTTACTGGGAACGCACTGGTCAGCTATTGGCCAGTTTTTTTCCCTGTCCCTTGTAACAGTGCGAGAAGTCTTCTAAAGCCTTCGTTTCTAAAGTAGCAAATTGCCCAGCCACGAAACAACAGAGAGGAAAACTAAGACCATCTTATAGACAAAATGAAGCGCAACTATCAAAACTTTCCTTGCAATACTTGTTCCTGGTGAAAATTTAGCTACAGTGTACTTTACCTAGCCTAGGCAGTTAAGTATCAACGGGTTAAGAAACATGCAATACTCACCATAACGTTTCAAATTTAACATTCCCATCGTTAGTCTCATTACAGGTGGGGTTGCCTTTAATGTCAAAAGTGCTCGGGCTGATCGTGACGGTTGATGAAAGCGAGATGACGGCCTTAGATCTAAAAACAACACAAGCCACTGTCACTGTTTTACCATTTAAGCCTCAATATCCACATACAAATTCTCCACACTGAACTCCGTACAATCACTTTATGAACTGTTTAAAGAGCTTGATAAAGATAGCCTGCGAGCAAGCTCTCCGGGGCGCTCTTGCGGCGGGGCGGAAAAACGAAGGAGAGCTTGCAACTACGTCTCTGGAATTTGAATATCGGCATCGAAAAAGTCGAGTGAAAAAGCTGATTGGCGGAGATGACATTAGTAATGACGTCATTACCCTTGGCACGTGTTTTTCAATGTTTGTTTACATTCGCGCTCGTTTCCGCTTCGCGCTGATTGGCAGAAATCTGACAGCTCAGTCGAAGGGGAGCCACAGGGGAATTAGAGGTGGAATTCAAATTCCAGAGACGTAGAAGGAAGCTCTCCTTCCTTTTCCCGCCCCACCGCCAGAGCGCCCCGGAGAGCTTGCTGGCAGGCTAGATAAAGGATCAACGCATTTCCCATTCGATGATCAATTCATCATTTCTGATCTTGTTAAAAGAAAACTGCTGTTGGTCAATCTTAGGATTTAAAAGGGTTAAAAAATATTCCAAAATGCCGTGCCTGAATGTTCAATAAGCATTATGATGTTTCACACGTCTGTCAGAGAAATTGCCTCTCTAAGTGGCCAACCCAGATGTGCTCCTTCAGTTGTTCGTCCAAAAAGGGTCTTCACACCGAGGCTAATTCCTTTGGAGTCTGTCCAAAATAGACGTCTGTCCATGAAAGGTGTGTGATCAACAAAAAACGTGATTGATAGGGGAATGGAGGGTTGAGTCAGAAAAAGAAAAGCAACTAGTACAGTGAAACCTCGAAATAACGAACTTTACTATTACTGGGGTAAATAAAATTGTTCGTTATACTACTGAGGACTTCGTTATATAGAAGTTTGTATGTCAAGGTTACACTGTAATGTGTAGCAAGTAGGCTTTCCATCTGGCAATAGAAGTGAATGTCTTAATAAAGCTTACCTAAGTAGGACCACAGTATCCGACTGGTAAGCTCCAACAAGAATATCTGCAAAACAGATAATATTTTCAGACTTAAATTGCCACGAAAGCTTGGCATACACTTTTTGAAGATAAAACAAGATACAAGAAATAGTTATCTATTTCTGTCTACGCGCATGACACAAGATAATTCATATACCTGGATATCCATTACCATCCATGTCTAATGACCCGGATATTGAATATCCAAATGATTTGATACCAGACGAGACAGTGGAACCTTCAATCACCTAAACAACAATGGAAAAAAAAATGCAGTTGCATGGAATGGTTTAGTGCAGTCACGTTCCTAAACTCGAGCCACTTAAAATAATAGTCTATTTTCACGATGATGTCAGTTAACTACACCTACCGAATTCATTTCGTTTTTTGCTATTTTATTTAAATTTATCAATCCCACTGCGAATTATAGAAGTCGTTTTACTCGGGCCAAAGTCAAAATTCCATTTTACCTGCATCGGTGTTGTAACAAGACCATTTTTTGAGCCCCTGTAGATATAGACCACGCCTTCACCATTACCCTCGTATGGAGAACCAATGGCTACATCTGAAATAAAGAACCATAATTATTGTTAAGTAGTTGTGATAAAGTTAAGCGATCAGCGTCTAGGTTTTCCGAGCCAAGTGAGCAGTTCGCCTAGATTAACTGCAAGCCGGGGATACGAGTTGTCATGGTAATGAACCCTCAATTAGCACCACCCGTCTTTCGAAAAACTTAACCTAGAGGGTGCTAACGCGCATGTGCATTTAGAGCAACAGGCCAAATTCTTTTAGCTCCAAGAAGAATAACATCAACCTTCCTTTAACAATATATGCTAATTGAGGATAATACTTATTTTTACACGGTCATTTAAGCCAAGTGAAAGTCTACCTGTTTCCGGGGCAAACACAGTACACCTTGTACCTTCATTTCTCAGTTATTTTAAGACACTTAGTTTTGGCCCAGTCCAAGGAATCAAACCCACAACCTCTCTCTCTGCAATCAAGTACCCATTTGCTGAGAGCCCTGCAGCAGTAACAGGATAAGTAAGAGCTTTCTGGTCCTCCTCACACATTCCTTCCCCACAAATATCATTGTCAGGGAGGGGAATAATGGGCTCAATCATGCTCTTATAACACTGCCTATTAAGCCAATTTAATAAATATTATTGCAGCTTAGCAAAATGCATTAAATGGGGTCTAGAGATAAATTAATGGTAAAAGTGCCCTGAAAAAATGTCAGACAAAGCTAGAAAACACTAGTAAATGTATGCAAAACAGCTCTTAAAGAAAAAAAACTAAACAGTCTTTAATCTGAGTGTTCTATACCTTGAAATCCATCCAGATCGATGTCTCCAACAGCAGCGATTGCCCGCCCAAAGTTAGCTCTCCATTTATCGATCCTAAAGATGCCTGGCAACTCATAAGCTAATTTCATGTCTCCACCTCCTCTGTTTTCATACACATAAACTCTTCCTTGCTCAGGATGTGTATTGTCAGAGAAAAATGGCGCACCAACTAAGAGATCTGAAAGACTAAACATTGCATACACGACCTATAAGTAGTGAGTTTGTAAGTATCAACAGAAGTGAAACTTAGGCTTATGTTGACACTATACCAGATGGTGAACACCTATCCGAAATGTGACTCTCCACTTTAAAGATCGGGGGAGGGGCAGCTTTACTCTGTGCCAAAATCACTGTTCTTATGTTTGAACAGGAAGCCCTGTCCAGTATGGTTTTCATGTTGGCCCAAAGGCAATATGGTGTAGTGTGAAAATAGCCATATTTGTTATAAACTGTAACAAGAGTGTGGTAAATAGAGGATATTACATGGCCACGCGGAGATACGAAATTTCTCTTGAGTGTTGAAAAGTATTTCACGAGTGAGAGCAGCAAATGAGTGAAATATTTTTTCAACACGAGAAGAGAAATTTCGTATCTCCAAGCGACCATGTAATGTTCTATTCAATATTATACAGTCAACTCTCTCCAAGACGGACACCTTTGGGACCGGCACTAAGTGTCCGTCTTAGAGAGATGTCCATCTTATAAAGAGTCAAATAAAGGGAATAAACAAAGGCAGGGACCAAACTCTAGGTGTCCGTTTTACAGAGGTGTCTGTCCTATAGAGGTGTCCGTTAAGAGAGAGTCGACTGTATAAACACCAATGAAATGCCAAACCATTTTACTTAAGTAATTTTTGGTCTAAAAGGTGTCATGGTTTATTATGAAGCCATAGCAATGGTGATATTTTCACATGTGAAGATATCAAGTTTTCGCACAAAAGCTCACTTGGTATTTCAGTGGTGTTTATATAATAAAAAGAGGATATTACATGGCCGCACAGAGATACGAAATTTCTCTTTGAGTGTTGAAAAATATTTCACAAGCGAGCGCAGCAAACAAGTGAAATATTTTTTCAACACGGGAAGAGAAATTTCGTATCTCCAAGCGGCCATGTAATGTTCTATTTATTATATAAACACCAATGAAATGCCAAACCATTTCACTTTAATAGTTTTTTGGTGTCAAAGGTGCAATTTTTTATGTAGCCATAGGAAATGTGATATTTTCACATGTGAAGATAACATGTTATTTTCACATGTGAAGGTATCAAGTTTTCATGCAAAGCTCAGCTGGTATTTCATTGGTGTTTATATAATAAATAGAGGATATTACACGGTGGCGAGAAGGTATGAATTTTATGTTCGAGTGGCAAGAACAATATCTCACGAGTGAGTGAAGCGAACAAGTGAGATATTGTTTTTGCCACGAGAACATAAAATTCATATCTTCGAGCCAACGTGTAATGTTCTTTTTATTATATGGAGAAACCATTTCAACAAAAGCAAAAGGCGGGAATCGAGACGTCATTGAATGATACGACACTCACAAAGGTGACATACGGAAAATACGCCACTCGGGTCCCGGATGAAGTGGCGTATGGAATCTACGAGTGGTTTAGTTCCCAGTAAAACACTCTCCTCCATATAATAAAAGGAAAAACTAAACTTAGTGAAGATAAAGTAAAATATGTTAAGTATGATTTTAATTGTGACAAAATCTTGCAATCAATTCAGAAACGTGTACCAAATGTACATATACATGTAAATTCAAACCCCTGTCAAGGAACACCTACCACAGACAGACACTCATCCCATAAGCTGATTATTACTTACTCATGGAGCCAGTCATAACTAAAAAAATTCTCTAATCTAATTGGCTATCGGGCAAAACGACAGTATCTATCATGCCTAAGGTTATTAGCTTGCACTCTTGAATTTTTTTTTTTCCTAAATCTAGAAAAAAAACTCTCGGAAAACCTTGTTATTATTCAATTTCAAAAAGCTTGAATAAAATTTTGTTTCAGTTATGATTTGGTAACAGAACTTTGTGTGGTCAGACTCCCATGTGACAGGGTGCAAAGAAAGACAGTTTTCCGGCTTGCCATTTGGGCAAGCTGTAGCTAGCATGTACTAGCTCGAAAGTCATTTCAACTAGCCCCCAAAAAATTTGATGAGCAGGATTGATTACAATTCTTCTGTAATTTGAATTTCCCCAAAACACAGCACTTGCCCGTCGGGGTTAAGTTAAGAACAGAATTCATTAGCCCAACAGCAAAATCCACTAGCCCCAGGCTAATAGACACCACTTTCTTTGAATGCTGATGTGAGTTCATTTAATCACTGTCTTGTATGATTGCAGACCAAATTAGCTACCACTCAGTCCTATTTCAATAATTAACAGTGTTCTTACTAGGATTTTCTACAGTTGGGTCGACAGGACCCATAAAAAAGCTTAACGAGGGTCATGAGGGAGAAAAGCAGGTCACAATTTTTAAATACGGTTAACTCAACGTTTTACTGACAGGTCTAAGTTAGAGTAAACACCTCGTACTTTCTTGAATTATAAACATCCAATTTTCACTGCATACAGTTAACTCAAAGTTTTACAGCTCTGAGTTAGAGTAAAGACACCATAACCAATGAAATTTTGGCTTATATTATAAGGAAATGTACGTATGTGTACGTATGCTTACGTACGCTTTGTAAGTTTTTTTTTCCTTATTTACGCCCGTGGGACCCCTTGCAGCATTTCATGAGAAAATGTGGCAATGCCCCAATGCCAAGGTCTTCTAAGAACATTGGCCCATCAGCTTTTTAATTACTAATGACATCACAGTGAAACCCCGCCTTATGGCCACCTCAGTAATACGGTCACCTTGTTAACACAGCCACTTTTTGACCACCCGGCATAACGGCCATACTTTTTCTTGTAAAAAAAAACCCTCGTTAATACAGTCACCCTTTAATACAGCCAAATTTTTTGGGGCCCATTGGTGACTGTATAAACTGGGTTCCACTGTACTAATGCTGTCAACAGATTTTAGGTTTTATAACATACCCATCATTGTTAAGGTCAACTCCACAAACTGCATACCCAAAACCTGTACCAGGTTGACGTTGTGGTGGGTAGATTACAGTTGGATTACTATGAAATACTCCTGGGCTACGACTTCTAAATATGACAACCTAAAAAGTGACATAAGAGAAACACAAATAAAGTCGGCTAACAGAAAACAATTTTGTATTTGATAAATGACTCAGACTCAGCTTTGGGCAACAAAAATTAAAAATAATTAATCCTGCAGATTGCCCAATTGTCCAAAAATGTCTACAAAATAATGTAGTTTTCCTTGACATAAGGCTTCTTACCATTCCATGTTGGTCATAACTTGGAGCACCAGAAGCAATATCTACAAATATAAATAATAATAATAATAATAATAATAATAATAATAATAGTAACATCAAAGACCCAATTTTTTGAATAATAAAAAAGTCCTAGCCAAATACTTCTCCAGGTTATGACAGAAGTGGGTAACTATAATATCCCAATCATTGCTGGAAACCGAAATGTACTACACAGGGTCCGAAACTGCAAGCCGCTTGTCGGCAATGTGCCTACATGTAGAAATTAAGAGCTGGCAACCAGAAGTTTGGGGCTAGTCAACAGCAGGCAATTAAATAAGTTCTGAATAGCAGTTCAAGAATAGGAGGATTTTCCATTTTTGTTCTTATTTCACTTTATGTTTTATCCTGCCAACATCACACAACAGTCATGTTTTGGGGTTTTGAAATGTCTTGTTTTTAAGATGGTTCAATGACTGTTTTCACTGCCACCATATTGTTTTCAGGGGCTTCGATCACTGTACCTCTGACCTGGGCCCATTTTATGCAGTACTCTAGAAAGCTAAGACCTAAGACCTCAAAAACTACAACCTAGAAAACTAGAGACCTCGAAATGTGGACGAAGGCTATCTCATTTGCATAGATTTTGGGCAATTACTTTGCACCTCTTTACCAAATAGTGCAACCCTTTGATAGAGTGTTCACAGTCCCCTATTCTTCGGTAAGATCGTTGAGATAGAGCGCTTTGCATTACCGCAGGCTAACTTGGTTACAACTGTTTTGGGGATGAGGGTCAAACATACTTAGAGGCCTCCTCTTAAACTGCCCCCTGACCCCAGTCCTTACTTATTATACATTGTACTCACCATCTGTCTTCTCAATGGCTAAAACCCTACAGCTAATTTTGGAAATCAGTGTAACCTACAGATAAGTTACTTCTCTACTGGCAGATAACTGACTAATCTGTATGTTGCACGTGCAATGCACGATTTCTAATAACAATATCAATTCAGGTTCCTTCCGATGGTGTGTTTGTTTTTATTTTCTTCAAAACAATGTATAATAAAACAATTATTAGAAGTGGTTTTTGTAAGTATTATCAGCCTTAACTTGGCCTTTGTCTCGGCTGATAATTAACACTTATCTTGACCTTGATTATTCCAGACATCACAAAAAAACTCATCCAATAATTGTTTATAATGTACTGGACCTACCGTTTTTATCGTTTTTGAAAAACTTCCCAGTGGTTACAGAGTATCCTACAAAAAAATAATACATGAAATGCTTTAACACTGGGAAATGTTCATTCACACAGCCTTCCTGGTCAGTATATATGTATGAACATGAAAATATTAAACCTTGCTTACTGTATGACTATATAAAAGGAAAGCAAGACTTGAAGGATTTTTTGAGGTTTGAAATATTTTCCATTCACAGATTTTTTAATAGGGAGAATTGGGCGAGTATTTTTTTGGGTGTGGCTTGATTTAGGTAGGCATAATTTTTTGAAGGGTATTCAAAATAACTTGAAGATTCATGGCAGTCCATTCGTAAACTTACAACCAAACTTGTAATTCAGTTGTTGTTGTTTATATTTCTTCAATATTCCACTACACTGTTCCTTTAACCCTTTAACTCTTTAAGCCCCGGTATCCACTTACAAATTCTCCAAACTGATCTCCATACATTTCCTTTAAGAATTAGTTGAGAGAATTTGATAATAGATCAAGGAAGGTTTTCTTGGGTGATCATTTTATTAATTCTCATAACTTATCTCTGGACAGTGTACGGATATTGTTAGGAGAAAATTGATCTTGGTCACTACTGAGACTTAAAGGGTTAAGCCACAATATATAAGTACAAATTCTCCAAACTGGTCTCCATACATTTCCTTAAAGAAAGTGTTGAGAGAATTTGATAAAAGATCATTAGGCATTTTCTGTTTGGTGATCATTTTTTCTCATAACCTAACCTCTTGACAATCTATCAGGGTGCAAAGAAAGTCAGTTTAAATGGCTTGCAATTTGGGCAAGTTGTTGCTAGTATGTACTAGCCCAAGAGTCTTTTCAACTAGCCCCAAACTTTTTTGATAAGCAGCATTGATTACAGTTCTTCTGTAATCTAAATTTCTCAAAAAACTTTGGGCAAGTTAAGAACAGAATTCACTTGCCTGACTGCAAAATCCACTAGCCCCAGGCTATCGGAGACGACTTTCTTTGCACCCTGTCTATGGATATCATTAGGAGAAAATTGATGTTGGTCACCTTTGGGACTTAAAGGGTTAAACTGGTTCTACAATACTCTGCAAAGTGTCCTAGGGTATTTCCAACATGGTTTCAGTTCATTCAGTTGATTTCTCATTCATCATGTTTAGTGCACAGCTTTTTTGTCACAAGAATTCCCTTTTGCTCTTGAGGCTCCAAAATTCAGCATGGATTCTTTTAGGGTTAAATTTTTGTCCAATGGTTTTGGGGTTTTGTTAGAAGATCTGGGATTTTTTTTTGTTAATTGTTTCTAATCTCCCCCCCTCCTCCCATTTAATCATCCCCAGTTCTTGCTATCCCGAGAACCACTAACGGGCATATCACAAACCTTGATATCCATTCTCTTTGTTACTTCTTGTCACTTCTTTCGGTGGGATTGCATAGTAAATTATCTCTCCTGTTAAATGATAATATTGCAAATTGAATGAATAATTATCTTGATAATTTTTTTAAAGAATCTGCAATGTTATCTATCAGCGGTAACAATAACTGTGATAATTTGTTATTATCAAACCTTGGTAGTTGTATACTCCAGGAGCTCCAATTAATGGCATTGAGTCTTCCTGCAGTAATAATGGAAAGATGTTGAGGCATCATGAACAGATAAAGTGGAATTAAAGTGAACTTCCAGCAGGGGAATACTAAACCATGTTACAGTTGCAAAACGTCTATCATTTAAGAGTAACGGGGAGGGGAGAGAGGCTTAAAAGAGAGCGGGGGTTAATAACTTTCTTCCCTTGAATAGAGAGGGGCGTAATAGTGAATATTTTACTTTGCCCTCTACAAGGAGGTTACAGCATCCTCCCTGTCCTGCAGGCTTGAGGCTGCAGTCTGACAACATTCTGAATCAGGGTGCGCCAAAACCTATGTCCAGTTGTCCAGGACAGATAGAAATTTAGTTTGGACATGTAAACCCATGACTTGTCCGTGGGACAAGTACATTTTTAATTAGAAAAAATACCGAACTACTTGAAAATTGACTTCAAATTACCATAAAATTACTTCTGTTAAGACGTAACTCATTCCCAGGCTCAAAATTTGAGTTGATATAATGGTGGAATCACAAAAAGTCCAAAAATTACAGTCTTCATTGTTAGTTTTTCTTTCAAAGCAACCGAGAAAGGAGGAAGCGTGGCCGAGTAGTTAGAGCAACGGACTTGCAATTCGGAGGCCCCTAGCCTGCGAAAACATGCGTTTCTCCTCGCTCTTCGCCGATGGGAACGTTTCTGGGAGGAACGTCTGCGACTCAGCGACAGAAATTCCATACTGATGACGTAAAATCTGTCCGGAATCCGGTCAGAAGAGCTGATTGGTCGACGAAGTAGTTACATTGTTTTAGCTATTGTTTACGAATGACAGACAAAAGACAAAAGGCCACAAAGGTCAAATGTAAACGCGAAGAATCTCGAACAAAACAGTCAATGCTTGTGGAAATATAGTCTTCTCTAGAAGAAGCTAGCACGTGAGTTTTGCTGGAGCTCGTTGGCAGATGAACACAACAATTTACCAAAATCAACCAGAAGACACATAAAATTGGACAAATTTGTATTTGGAACCCCATGACTACAGGATTTATTATGTAAACATTGGATTGCATCATCAGTATGGAATTTCTGTCGCTGAGTTGCAGACGTTCCTCCTCGCGAAACGTCCCCGGCGGCGAAGAGCGAGGAGAAACGGATGTTTTCACAGGCTAGGAGGCCCCAAGATCAAGTCCCGCTCTTGTTCACGGTAGTCCCGAGTTCAAATCCTTGGTCATGCTTGTAAATAGCCAGCTGGTTTGCCTCTAGCCAGCTGGGATTCTCAACCCTGTTAAGTTCGATTTGTATTATTTGTTTCAAACATTTGCTCAGCCCCACTAGCACTAGTGCTATAAATACTGCCAAGGGTAAATAACAGAATTATTATTATTATTAAAAGAAAAAATCTGGGATGCTAGCAAAGAATTAACTAGTGAATCAAGGGAAGATTATCAAATGCCCGTGTTTCGAGCAAAACATTTGGACAAGAACTCTTGGGTTTTGGACAACCAAATTTAATGTAGCTTGTCAGAAGGAGAAGTGGATAACAAAATTTTTCTCTCACTCTGATTCTCAAAAAAAAAATGAGTACAATATGTAACAGTCATGTCTCACCTTTATGTATGAAATACTAACTCCCATTTGACAATACTTGTGTTCAAGGTAGTTGATTGTGGATAGTCCCCCTTCACTTATTTTATCTAAACAAAATATAACAAGAAAGTTAACCTGTGTGAAGTCTGTTTAATTCATTTACAAACCTCTCCTTGTGATCAACTTAAAGTCACACATGGGGGCTCAGGGAAGCATGAAGGACCTCAGAGTATTGCCTGTCCCCACTGGACCCTGGATACCAGTTTATCGCACAAAGTTATCCCCTACAGTGTACAGTAAAGTCTTGCTTTGCAGGCAACACATTTTTACAGATATCTCAAAAATACAGTAGCTAAATCCATGGCAAACTTACAGACGTTTGACCGAAATAAAAGATCCCATTATTTTAAAACTCTTGCCATTACAGACATTCTTTTGTATGATCCCGACAGCAGAATGTCATTGTTCTGACTTGCATCATGTCACGATGTAGGCTGGATGGCATCTTTCAACATTCAGACTTGAATTTAAAATAAATATTATTTCATGTCTTTTGTCTGACATTTGTAAGCATTGGCTGAAAGAGTATAATAATTGCATGTAAAACATCAACCAATCGAAGCTCCAGATCTGGATAGATTTACATCACCAGTGAGAAATTTGGGGCAAGGAGAGGGTACATGTACTTCCTAGTAATTGGTTGATGGGCACGTGTGGCTGGATGGGGTTGCATTTTCACAACTGAATTGATTATAATGTGGTCACATAATTTTCATACAAAATGTTTGCATCTACAGTTGTAGGAATTTGAAATAAAATGTGTGAATTCATTTTACACCAAACTCACCAACTAGGCTTTATAAAGTAGATGTATAAACAGAAAGTGGCAGTGTAAATTACATTTTCCTGAAAGTGACTAAGATGGAGTCTATAATTGGCCACTAATTACACTGTCTATAGTGGGGTAGGGCTCCCTGGAGGCCGGCAGAAAATACCCAGCAAAATTGACCCAAAGAGCCCCGCCAACCAGGTTTTGGGGCCACGACATTAATGCCTCTCTTGCTGAATGTCACAAGTGATGATACATGTAGGTCCAGGGTGCAAAGAAAATCATTTTTACAGCTTGCCATTTGGGCAAGCTGAAGCTAGCATTTACTAGCCCAGACGTCATTTCAACTAACCCCAAAAACTTTTTGACTAGCAGAATTGATTTCACAGTTCTTCTGTTATTTAAATTCCTCAAAAAAAACATCACTTGCCCATCGGGCAAGTTAAAGACAGAATTCACTAGCCCAAGAGCAAAATCCACTAGCCCTGGGCTATCGGAGACTACTTTCTTTGCACACTGAGGTCATAAGAGGTGACTGTACTCTTAAGCTAAACATGCCCAACATTGTCTGTGAGGCTTTTAAAATGGATTTTCACAGGCTAAACATGCCCAACACTGACTGTGATACTTTTCTTTTTAATGTTGCAATCACTACAGAGTGTAATGAAAAATGTATACTCACTTTGGTTTGTTTTTTCACAAAAATTTAATAAATCCTTTCCGAAACTGGTTTCTAACAAGAATGAAGATTTATAACATCGCCCTGGGTAAGTATAAAAAGATCCCTCTATATGAAGCAATCTATGACTGCACGCCTAAAGAAATGGGAAAAAATGTGAAAATGTTACTGTTATTGATACTGCGGTAGCTTAATTTGCAATGAAAATGATAATGATTATGATAACATAATATTACCAAGGTAAAATCAAAAGCTGTAATTTATGGGTACCCTGTGCAACAAAAATGTTGCCAATCACTAAAAAAATCATGGGCAAGACTGTGCTGTGAGAAAAATTGAAAAGAAGCCCCGGTTTTCCGAACCTGTAAAATCCAGGGTGCCCAACATAGGATTTTTGTAAACAAAAACTAAGATTTTCTAGTTGCTCAAGAGCAAAAGTGAGGTGCCTGGTAGGGGGATACGGCGGGTGCAACAGCTCTGAAATTACTTCAATGAAGTTCAAAATGAAGTTTTTAAAAGCAGGAGGTCACTTATCAGGTTTCAATTCTTAATCAGTTTCTTCGAACGTTAAAGTCCACAATAACAACCAGCTTCACAAGTCGCTAGCTGGCGACCAGCTATGAAATTCTGGTCGCCAGGACTAAATTTTTAGTCGCATTGGCAACCAGGAAGGCGCAATTTCGGACCCTGCTTTAAGGCTAATATTTATTTCTTGGGATATTACAAAAGAAAATTCTGACATGTGAATTTTTACAAGGAGTTAATGTCGTTAATTTCATCCACTAATGAGCAGTTACAGATACATGTAACAAATACCCTAAGAAATAAATATAACCTGAGAAAATAGCTGACATTTCACAATGCCATTACTAGCTTTCCCTGCAAAATGATTTCTCAGGAATGAGCAAAGAAATTTCATACTGATGACGCATCACTACCCAGCTGTGCCTGTGAAGGGCCTTCTGATTGGTAGGAAAATTTACTTCATCCAATCAGAAGCACCACCCAGAACTGGAAAGTTATCAGTATGGAATTACTGAGCTTGTTTCTCAGATGTCATTTGTGGGAACGCCAATGGTGGTGTCACAATGTTGGCTGTATTCTCAAGATAGCAAAAAACATATTACCGGTAATGGTTTGCTGGGTCATTATACATTTCTGGGAAACTGTCCACCTACCCCTCCCCTAAGCCAACATTAACAATTACTTCTCACTTAGGCAAAATGCTGGCTTAGGGGAGGGGTAGGTGGGCAGTTTCCCAGAAACGTATAGTAATCCGGTTTGCCTACCAAGACATCTTCATTATGTCCAGCACTGTAAACTGAGACACCAAACCATGCATTGCTCTTTCTATCACCCTCAGCATCCCCTAAAAACAGAAACAACCATTCAATAAAGAAGCACTTGGAATGTCTTGAAGAATAACTTATTAAATGGACAACAACAACAAAAAAATAAAAAAGCTTTATGGTGGTAGCACAATTACCAGTAGCACAGAAGTTTTCATCAATCATTGTGGCCCACAAATAAGGACAGAAACAAAAAAATATTATTGAAAGAGACATATATACCAACTAGCGGGAAGCAAACCCAGTCAGCTATTTACAAGCCTGACCAAAGAGTTGCACTCGGGATGAACTTGCAATTTCGGTGCTCTAACTACTCAGACATACTACCAGTCCTTCACTTCCATGTACTCCAGACAAATTATGTTTTATATTACTGGGATTTAGCTACTAGACTGTAACCATTAATGTACTTATCTCGCATTGAATCCTGAACTCAGGGTAACATTTAGTATTGAGTATGAGATCATTACTTCACACTACACAGGGTCCTCATCAAAACAATGCAGCAAACACAGGGCACCCATATAAGACTTAATCATATGTGTGTACCTTAGCTACAGACAGTTGCAACAATGTTGAGACACTGGCGAAAATACGACCTTTTTTGCTTTAAAACACTGCTAGTCACAGGTCTGTAAGATATAATACTGAACTCCCTCCCCCTTCCATTCAAAGTTGTTCCTCCAAGTTTTGTGCATGGTCTCGTATTGCTAACAACTTTGATAAGGGGTGGGGGGGGGGGGATCAAAAGCACGAGATCATGGACAGGCCATTTAGGCCAAAATATGGTACAATGTCTCAAGTACTTAAATGGCAACTGGTTGTAGCTTGCTTGCTTGTAAACTCTCACTCAGAGCTACATACAAGTTTAGACAGGGTGCAAAGAAAGTCAGTTTACAGCTTGCCATTCGGGCAAGCTGTAGTTAGCATGTACCAGACCAAAAGTCATTTCAACTAACCCGATGATGAGCATGGTTGATAACAGTTTTTGTGTGATTTGATTCCTTAAAAAATTTCACTTGCCAGGTGGGCAAGTTAAGAACAGAATTCACTAGCCCAATAGTAAAATCCACTAGCCACACGACTTTCTTTGCACGCTGTTAGATATCTTATATTTATTAATTTAAAACACAGCCATTTTTCAATGAACAAGAGAGGGTTAACTAAAATGTATGGACTAATTTTATTTGAGCTGTGAAGGATGAGAAGAGTGCGCAAATTAAAATTTGAAGAATTTAAGAAAGGTTATTTGTTGTTTATATATTTCTATCATCTTTTCGCTCATACAGTTAGAGATTCAACAAGATTTTTTCATTTTTTTTTATATCATTTCTCCAGGGTAAAAATGTATGAACAAATAAATGATTGTACATTTTAATGAAAACAACTCCACTCAACTCAGCATCTTACCTCAGCAAGATCTCTCATCAAAAAGTTGTGTTTATATATAGAGAGCTGTAAAATATTTTGAGTGAAATTCCAATTTATTTAATAAGCTCCTACATGTACAGATTCAGAAATAGAGTTTTCTCCTCTAGTTCTGAGCTCTAAATAATCACAGAAATTAAAAGAAATATGAGAGTTAACAGAAACCATCTTACTGAAGAGCTCCGCTAGACCTTGACTTGCAAGCATTTTAAAATGCACCAATTTTTGTTTGGTTACAAATGCTAATTTTTGCCATTTCAGTAATGTGAATTTTTTTAATATCCTGTCAAATAATTGCTTGAGTATATAAGAAGATTACCTCCCACTAAACATGATAACTATATTGTCAGAAATGACACAAAGTTGTCAACCACCTACTGAGCAAATAATTGTAATTACATTGCTAATAAAGAGGAAATACACATGGCTTGCTTGAGCTCAACAGGAGTGGAAATGCATGCTGGGTTTGTAGATGTCACTGATATCATAGACTAGAATGAACATGTAGTACTAGATGTAAACTAGAACCACTACGTGGAACTTACCGGGGCCCAGTGGGATACGGGATTGCATAGATATAGTTTACCTCTCGCACCCCTCCCCCCTCCTCTGTGGAGGTTAATACTTAGTCTGAATTAACTCATGCAGAAGAAAAGCAACAAAATGCATGAGAAAGGAGGATGTTGTTGTAAGTTTGTTCAGTGTTATTACAGCTAACGGTCTGTGTTATAGTAGTGTTTTTAGTAACACTGTGATGTCAATAAGTGTGATCTGTATAAGGTTTTCATTTGTTTTTAAGTTTGAGTGAAAAAGCAAAAATCACTGACAGTTTTGGGTTGAATGGTAATGACAAAGTTTGCAAAGAAGTTTGTTACAGAATTATCACAATTTCACATTTTCTCAAATACGTTATCATCAGGTTTATCATTGAGATTTATTAATCACATTTATCTATTTTTTGAAAACACTGTGAATTTGAAATGATAACAGACATAAGACATTTTTGAAATAGATCTTTGTGGTCATGGATTGTTGTCTTGCACTGTAAAAATGTCATCCAGTGTTATATACAGACATAATAAAATGCTTATTTATTGATGACTGAGTATCATTTGTTAATTCATTGCACATTGAAATGGAGACACTTGATTGTAAGGCAGTGGTTGATACATAGTGGCATTCATCAATATGGCCTATAGTAATTATTGTAGAGGAAGTATTTCTTTCCTGAACTGGGTAAACAGTAGTATATCTGCAACTGCTTGAATGATAAGTGCATCAGCCCATGTACCTTGAATACACATATTATTCAGATATCTTATCCATGAATTTTCGGTATTGCTCTCAATAAATCTCTCAGGATTGTCTCTCATAAATTGAACCCCAGCAGTACGTATATGCATGTGATGGTTGCTTTTGCCATATAATTGATGTGATACAGATCTAAAGAAACAATCACCTGCACCGCCAACATCTATTGATTGTAAACAAAGTGCACCTAATCTTGACTGCATCAAATTCTCAGAGGAAATAGGAGAGTTCAACTGCATGGTTGAGGTCACACTAGAGAAAGTTTACTATAGTGAACTCAAGTTTACCATAGTAAACGGCGCCGTAAGTGTGACCGGCATTTTTCAGTTTACAATGGTAAACTCTACCCTGGTTAATTTCCATGACTACCGCGGAAAGAACAAAGATGACCCATCACCGATAACCATCTGGTTACCAAAAAAAAATAGGTGGGTATATCTCTAGTCTATCTAAACTTTGTTTGTTTTGTTGACAGTTTGTCATGATTTTTGAGGAAAGTAGTTTCAAAAAGGGTCACATAACAGAATAGCTTTAGAACATCGGTGATTGCTTTTTCCACAGTGCTTGAAGGTTTCTGTTTCTGTACATTTCTTCAAACCATTCCTGGAGTCGAGGTTAAACCCACGCTTGCCTTCGCAATGCCGCTCTTTCTCTAAGAATACGTCTTCAATGAGTAATCAATAAACCTGTCACTAAAACATCTTCACTAACCCGTATTCGAAACCAAGGTAGGTAATAAGGGAGCGCATTCTTCTTGCTCGTCTGAGCAGCAGAATTAAAAAGCAAAATGCTCACAACAGAAAACAATACTCTCTCACATTGAAGCATCTTTGTACACTTGTGAGGGTCACGCTCAGGAAGTTACAGTTCAGTAATTTCAATTTAGTCAGCTCTCATAGCAGGTCATCATTTGTTTTACTTTTCACTCTCACGTTACCGATCACGCGAGAAAAAACGCCTGGAAAGTTTCAAATGCCTTTTTAAGTGGACCTGTCAGGTTTACTACGGTAAAGAAGACGTTGCGAGACTTACCATAGTAAAGCCCTTTTTACCATAGTAAAGTCTCTAGTGTGACCTCAACCTGTGATTTTGCATAGAAGGTCTAATTATTACTTCATGATGATCAGTGTTGTATTGAGTAGGTCCTGGATTCTTCTCAACATCTTTACTTTAAATTCACATAATTGGTCATATGACTCACACAATTGCAAGAAAACAATGATAAAGATCGACGTGCTTTACATTATTTTTAGTTTCATTATCCTGTGATAATGCCTGCTAAAGAAAGACAACAAATAAGCTTTCTTGGGTATAGCCATTTTATTTAAGTTAATTATCTTTGGATCGCGTTTGTTATTACATTTATATCGTGCATGATAAAGTTTTCTCACCTTATTAACATAGCGATGGAGCTTTGAAGTCTTCGGTATGTCAATCATTGAAATCTTTTTGAAGAGAAATTTTGATAAGTGTTCGCTTTGATTCTCGATAAATTTCACGATGGAAGGTTCACTCAATTTCTCGATAAGTTTCACGATGGAAGGTTCAGTCTCAGAAGTGATCGTCAGAATTTGTCTCTCCAAATATTCACTGTTAAATTTTTCGCTCATAAACTAGTTGGGTTGGGGAACGTGTCGTTCCCCCCAAAAAAGCTATAATCTTTCTCTTGACTGTCCTCCATGCCTCTTCTTTTCAAAATGGCGGATAAGATTTCAATGAGCCAGCGATATATCTCAGTCAGCGATATATCCCTAACAATGTAACGTTGAAAAAACGGACGGTCTGCATTTTAAGACCGGTGCCAGCCTTCGGCTGGGCCCCGGTAATAATAATATTGTAGAAACACATGCATGAAAAAAACAAATACCACACACATCTACCAAACAGAAATGCCTCGAACAAAAATACATTGATTAACGTATTCTTTAGTTCTTTGTAAAACAAAACTATGCAATTTTGTATTACTGATAAGCGAAGATAGCATTAAATAATAATAAATGTAATCAGTAGATATGTGTAAAAATAAATGCAAACAGAAAAATTACAGTAAAACAAAAGAATACAATGTATCTCAAGTTCTTTGAATACTCAACAAAAAAAGATAATGTAGCAAATTTTTTTGTGCTATTTGTTGAGGATAAAAAACAAATATTTTATCGTCACTTCACACACAAAAATAAATGAATAATACTCATAAGGTTAAAGTTAACAGAATTAAATTAAAATTAAAAATTCAGATGAAATAATTTTACTTATAAAAAAGAAATGTTCTCTATTTCCTGCTGATGCTTTTTCACAAAAAAAACTATATTTTATCTCTGAAACATACTTTTTATATCTGATTGGTTACAGGAATAATTTGTGTAATTAGTGGTATCCATATAGCTAGATTAATTTCAAAACAAATTTTGAAATATAAAATGTTTTAGGGGGCAAAAAGGTTAACGATATCTATAAAAGAAAACCGCAAAAACAAAGTTCACAAATTTAAAAATTTTCCATTAAAAGAGAACAAAATAAATATGATAATGCTTTGTATAACAAAATCCAATTTTTAATCTATTTTAGTTAGAACATGTCTTATTTAAAAGAAAAAAATCAAAATAAGAATCTTTCATATTACTGTAATTACCCGTTTCGACATTACCTGATCCTAAAATACTAAAAATATCAGCAGTGATTGAATTTTATCGAAAAAAGCTACGACGGCGGGATTTTAATGATCATGTAAGTTCGAAGAAAAATAAATTAACAACAACCCCTCACACTCAAGGAACAATCGCGGTACGCTTTCAAAATGCATGCAAAGTTTGACTCTCAAAAGCAAACATCTGTCTTTGACGAAGCCGCAAGATGAATTTATTTAACAATACACTATAATAGAGATAAAGTCATGACAAAAGAAAGGTTGATTCGGAGGAGTGTCGACGGTTTGGCGCAGAAAAGATAAACTGCAAAGTCAGCTGGCGTGCGCTTCGTTTTGTTTACACTAAACGCTGTTCAATCCGTAAATAGTCATACAATTTTACTTCCAAGCGGTCGCTTACTCACAGCTGGGTCAAAAGAATAAAAGTCATTAAACTAACCCCCGGTGGGTATGATAAAAAACAAAGGCAATCCTCAATTGAAAGGCCAACAAAACCTTGGAACATTTTGTCACTGAGAGAGATTGATCATCTAGGAAAAATCACTTTGTTAAGGTGCCCTGTGCGTGTAAATGAAACCGCTAAAAAGCCTAATAGTTTACACTCAAAAGTCAACAAAAAGTATCAAATATCTGGCACTTCATAATCAAGAAAAGGACTGTTAGTTCTGCTCGCATTTGCAAGCAGGTATTGACATAAGCGGTTCTGAAATGGGGACACATCAACAAACGTAATTCCTGTAAACAGCGGAAATGAATTGCTCAATGGAAGCTTCCTAAGTTTTGTGATTTTTCTTTTTGTCTTTGAAATTTCTTGTGGACTTAGAGAGTGTTGGTAACACAAACTCGAATGCAAGAAGGAATAATTATATGAATTTCATGTTTCCAATGCATAAAACAACTTAAAAAATTATTAAAAATTAAGTATCTTGGAACCCCAGTGTCCTGCTAATTTCAAAATTTCTTATTAGACTTGGGAGCTCTCCATTGATAAAATATTTTATTCTGCCTTTGCATAAATGAACGATAAATAATTTTCAGATACATCGCAAGACGATTCAATATACTTTTTCAATAAATGACTACTGAGCACTTCCAGCAAAAGTTTCCGTGATTAAAATGGCAGATTTGGTGGAATTTAGGACAGTATCATGGCCCGACAGGCATTTTGCGAGGTCGTAGCAACAGAATTCGTGACCCCCCAAAATTGATGCATGGAAAGAATTCGCCAGAACGTAACAGGTAATTATTTATACCAAAGCTGTTAAAAATAAAATGATGAAAGAACAATTAGCCCTTGAGGAATAATCAAGAGCTACTCACCGTCCACATCAAAGGGCAGAACAGAGCAGTTCACATCTCTGCTAAAGTCACATCTGTACACAACTCCAGGATTTACGATTCCTTTCTCTTTCAAAACCGTACTATTTCCCTTTGGCGCGCCGACCAACAGCCTGTAAAAACAACAAAACAAATGTCCACAACTAGCATACAACGTCAACTAAACGACGGCAAGATCGCTTACCAGAAATAATTCTTGTAGTCGATATCATCGTAAAAGGAGTGAAGGGCGACCGAAAATCCAAAGTAACTGTCCTGTTCCCCCGTTCTAATGATTGGTAATTCAGTATCGAGGTTGTAGCCGAAGGAATGTAGAATTATGCAGCATAACGACGCAACCAGAAAGTACATCTTGGACGTGAAATTAAAAAACAGATCTCCCTCAACACCGCACCATTCATGGATCAGCAAAGGAACAACTAATCATGCACTTCGTTCATTTTCAAGTGTAGTTTGCCCGCGTTACAGCTCACGCCACGCATGCCTGATAACTACATAATCTCTGACATAATCGGAATTCCCGACGTGACGCTGTCGCGCCCAAACGACATCCCTCGCTCAACCGGAAATCGCTCCCGAAAAATCCACTTCAGTTTCTGGATAGTAAGCGAATCTGAAAACTACAAAACCACTTGCTTTCGCTTCTGATGTAAGGTGTTTTCCAAAACATCAAAGCATTGGCTTTGTTTACCGATAGATTCTTACCCGAAAGACAAACTTTTCAAGTGCTTTGTTTACACAGGACAGTCAATCAAGAAGTATCAGACTGACCGCATGATTGCATTAGTCAAGAACAACAAAGTTTTTTCATTCTGGTGACTTTGGCAAGTTTATGGTCAAAACTTTCTTTTCATCATTTTTCTTCAATTTTTGTAGTGTCTATGACAAGAATCAACATATTATAGATGGGATATTTAAGCCAATTTTGTCTAAAACGACCCTTGGTCGTGTGTAAACAGTGCCAACTTTAATGGCCTGAGTTTTTCTTACCATGGAAACATCTCCTGACATCTGCCACTTGGCGAAGTTTTTTCAGTATCTTGGAAGGGAAAACTACAAAAGTGACATATACAACATGTCGCAAACAGGCGTCACAATATAACTTTTGTCCTTAATTAATGAAACCATGACACTTTTACATTTTTAAGAGTTTTCAAGGTAATGGTTACGGAGGCAACTTTATGATGGGCCGGAATTATATGTCTCATGAGTTTCCCTCTGCTAAAGACACAGAGACATATTGTCGAGAAGATAAATCTTAGAGAAAAGTAGACTTAGAGGATGTAATGTTTTAATCAGTCAAGGATACCGAATCCCCGGACCGAATCGCATTTATCTGATGTAATTCATGTGGTTATCTCATATCTATATAGGAGTCCTTCTTTGAATTAAGCTTTTTAAATTCCAGTTTTTAAACTGAAAACAGAGGACAGCATCAAGAGAAACCTGTAGACAATTTTCCACTGGATTCTTGCATACGGAAAGCTCTTCTATTTCCAGTCATTTTCCCTTCAGCAAGTACTGACATAAATTGTGGAATGAAACGCCACAATTCTTAACTAATGCAGCTCATTTAGCCTCAGCTTGGCAGAAATTACTCTTCATCGCAATTTTTTTGTAGGAATTTATCCTAATTTGGCACCGTTTTTATCTGCTGAACTAAATTGTACGCACACTGCTATGTTTTGGCACGCGTATGACTTTGAATTCACTGTAAAATTCAGTACCATACTAAATGAAATATATAAAAACAATCTCCATGGGTCCAGAAGAAAACGAAGGCGTGCAAAAATAATGAGGTCAACGTACAAAAAGACAATGACGCAAACAAAAAAATTGTGCCAAATAGTTAAAACGTCCTTCCAAACATACATGACATGATAAAACCAAAAAACGATAAAGGAGAATTTATCTCGCGAACATGGTTCTCTTTCTTGTATTCTTTTTGTAATTATATGTAACACGGTAATCTACAAAGGTTAATTATGGTTAGTTTAAAAAAGGAATAACGAAGAATGCCGCCAGAGTAATCAAAGTAAAAATTACTAAGCACCGCCAAATATTAAAAACACAGCTCATTTTCTTCATCCGCTCTTTCATAATTTCAAACAATGCAAAAATAGATACGATGAAAAGCATCGAATATGCCAATCAGGAAAATTTAAAGGACTGTTTTTTAGCCGAGTTTAGCCGCAAAAATTTTAAATGACTTGTTTGTTCAAAACGAAATGAATGTAATTTGAAAAAGTGATGGGCATAACCCTTATCGAAGGCAAAAACGTTAGAAGAGGAAACATTTTTTTGCTTAATGAATAATTGATATTTAGAGAGACACAATATGGCAAAAAGATGTTTAAACATCAAAAAACTGAATATTTTCTTTTAAGACCGGCCGATTTAAAAAGACCTGGATTTTTTCCAGTTAAAATAGTTCACGTTCTTACATCAGATCTATTCACTTTCGCTCCGCGGGAGTAAAAAGATAATTTTCAGTACTGATCTTAATTATCGTGAAATGGTTCTTAAAACGGAAAAATAATCTACCGTGTGCTCTTCATTAAATGGCGACACAGGCGTCTGAGAGACCATTTTCTTAATTTTGTCGAGTTCATTAGTCAAAAATAGTTTGCTGACAATTTAAGCAAAATTTTTTTTAATTAATTGTCTCAAGCTTAAGTTTATAGGAGTCTCCATGCAATTTTAATGGCACTCTAAATCATCTGCTTTTTATCTTGCTAGTTTTGTATGTTTGGAATTATCGGCCAACTGATATCGAAGCTGACAACGCGCTAAATTTACATATGGCACTCGCGTGGTAGCATGTCGGAAACATCCTTGTATTTCAGTCTAGGGTAAAAATGAAATGTTGGTTACAGTGGGTGGAAAAGTTAATTATATTGATAATATTTCAACACAAGACACCTCCCACGGGTCACACCCATTATAGCAAATTCAAGAAAAGAAACGAAAAAATCTGGGTTCTAGTTCTACATATAAAAAGAGTGAATTACTGAAAGCATTTTCATTTTTCAAAGGTTCAATATTTCTTTATGTTAAAGGCTGATTTAAATTTCGATTTGTCTTAATAAATGGCACCATTTTACAACTGATTTTGCTTCAAAATTAACACGCCCATAGCGTTTACAAATGAGTTTTGACTTTACTCCCACGTGTTTAAACTATTTTATATCGCGTGCTTAACTTTGAAAGCGACAAAAAAATCAATGGTGGTTAAGTGTTTTTGTAAGTTTTCTTGACATTTCTCACATTTAATATTAGCTCGAGAATCAAGATTAAAAGAAGAAGCTAGAAAATACACATTTCTCAAAGCTACTTTTAAAGGGCGTGAGAAATTTGTGTAAAAGGATTTCGTCTCATCTCTGGATTGTAGCGCACTTGGCAGGCCTATGATCCTGAAAGGGAAAGCGGAAAGGAGAAATTAAATTGCACGAGTAAATTTGGTATTAGGCACCCTAAAATCACCACCGAATCTTATTAACAGTACGTTTTCCTTAATTTTCTGAAAGTCCACCTGGATGTTACGCTGGCAATACCAAACGATGCATTGTATTTGACCAGAGACTCATAAGCACACATACACCATAAATGAAAAGCATGCGTTTGGTGAACTGTTTTAAAAATACGAATAACAAAACACCATTAAGATCGGTAACTTCTACTTTCGCACAAACTGACCATTAAGCAAAGGACTTACATGAATATTTGCTTAGTCTAAAAGAGCTAATAAGCGACTGTATTAGTGGCAGTCTTCCTGTAAAAATTGATAGTTAAACCCAAATCAGCTATCATGCGTTTGGATGAGAAACCTTTTCTATCTTGCCCATTGCCTTATTTTTTTTCTCAATCGATCGTGCATTTTGAGGATGCGCCGCTTGAGACTGGACCTGTAAATAAAGTTTGTTGTTTGTTTTCGCTGTTGGTGTTGTGTCACGTGATAGGCATCATTTACGGAGTACCCGCCATCTTTCCACGCGTAGACTGATGGGATAAAAGCAATGTCACGTGGTTTCTCATGGGGCAAACAAGTGATAAAATCCGTCAATTAATACAAGAATCACGGTCGAGTTTGTTTATTAAAGACAACAGAAAATGAAGAACTTTTCATCTTAAAGACGATACTAGTGACAAATTACGGTTGGAAGTGATCATTGTTACTTTTTTGGATGGAATAGCGACCGTAGGCATCCTTACAGAAAGCAATGTTTACGTCAAACTTGACAAGACTCGATCTGTGTACATTTGCGTGAATAATTATTAAAAATCATTGTTGTCTCAGTTAAATAAACAAACTCGACCTGGCGAATTTTGTCATCTGACTGCCAACTGATTACCATCTAAGAAACCACGTGACATTGATTCTCAAGGCACGCGCCAACCTGGTCCAGGAGGGGCTAGGTCGGGTTTGCAAAGATGGCGGCTATCGTGAATGAGGTTTACTGCACTATCACTATATGGGACCGTTTTTTGGAGGAGGACGTTTGACCGAATTTCCTGTTCGACCGCGAAAGAAAAGATAACAGTCCCATAACACAATTCGGCACAACACTGACCCAGACTCCCTCAACGCTCAACTCAAGTATTTTGATCGTTTTTTTCAATCCACTTTATTTATAGCATACATGCTGATCTCTGCTCTTCATTTAAATCAATCAATGTTGAATAAACGAACAGGAGTGTTTTATCTAAGTTTAAAACACGAGTCGCAGCTACAGTCTCAGACAAAAATAGTTGGGACACTTGACCAAACGCTGTTTTTTTCCTTCTCGTGCTCCCCTTGTCCCTCTCAAATTTGTTTATCCCGGTTCAGTCACCAAACCTTGTACACAAACATTGAGGGGACAAGGAGACACAAAAGGATCCCAACAATTTTGACTGACACTGTAGTACTGAATAACTTCGAAAAACGTCTATCCTCTGTTTTACATTTGCTTGTTCTTTCTAGGTCTTACAACAACTGATCCCTTCTTCGAATCCACGCTTCTTCGGATCTTCGGTGGTGAAACTCATTTAGACTGTAAGCATTCTCTGAGTTTTCTTTGAAGGTATTGGAATGTAAGCGTAAGCCATAGGCCCACGATGCATGGACGCATTAGGGCGACAGCCTCTCTTTTCTCGCGCCCTCGAATGCACGCGTGGCTAGTACGTTCTGTAAGTGGTCTGCTTGTGAACACTGTTTCAACAGTTTTTAACTTAGTTGTTCCCAACCTTCCTTTGTATTGTGTAAACAAAAACCTTCGTTAGAGAGTCGTCGAAAAAGGTAAATTTAAACACTCATGAACACTATTAAACTTTAGTGAGGTAGGGACGCCATGAAAGTACTGCGCAGGGTCTAGGTGAAAGATGTATGCTACCCTTTGAATACCTTCATTGTGCCCAGCAGAAACGAAAATGAAAACTTTATATTGAAAAAGACGCGTAGATTATGGAGTGAAGCTAAACTGACAGTGAATACTTTTGTTGGACCATGGTAAACGTACCAATGCGCTTCCACTTTTTCTAACTTCTTAAATGGTGTAGCATTTCATCAAATCATATTTTTACAAATTCTATTTTTTGTAGGTCAAGAGCGGTCATGTTTTTTTTTTTTACCTTGTACACCCGACAGGAAGTAGATTAAAGGCATTACGTAGATTCCGGACATACATGCTATAACAAGGGTTTTCCTTCAATTCTTCTAGTGCTCGTTTGGAGAAAATATCCTTTGTTGATCTACAGGTGAAGATAAGTGTATGGATCTGTAGGATCAAAGCGCAAGTGATTAACACGACATTTTTCACAGTGAAAATCTGTTTAACACTAATGGGCAAATGGGACTTTTAATCTCATTAATCTTGGCCAAAATCTACTTAACGAAAAATGTCAAAATCACGACAACGTAATCTATGGATAAGTAGTTTATCGTTATGAATGTTTACTTTTTGGCCCATTCTTAGCTAATTACTTCTGTTACTTGGATGCGGTTATATAATGACAAGTCTTGAACGAACGCAGGGCAAAGGAAACCGGCACGAACATGACCTTTTAAAGAGGAGCAACTCGAACATAAGTTGAAACATGCAAATCTTAATACTATTTACTGAAGAAATCCCGCGCCATGTTTGTTTACAACGAGTTCTAATCAACCCTTTGACGGACGACTTGGTAAGCAGCAAGTGTAGCAAAGATATAGATCTTTCCACAGAAACCTCATTTTGGACATTCTGACGAATCCAGACAGCGTTACTTACTCTAGACACACAAAGTAACGTTTTGTTTCGCTATAGGTAGTCGCTTCTCCCCACCGGTAAATTTAGCTACATTTTTGGGGAAAACTGATCAACTGCCAATTTCGCTTTCACCTTCTTGTACTACTCTTTGGAGATTAAATTTTTCCTTTTCTAGGAGGAAAGACAGCCAAAATTCTATGCAAAACAAAGACGATAAAGTGAGCAACAAACCGAGCTCCTTCCGAAACAGATTTGGAAAGAGAAGGCTTATACGCACGCGCCAGAGACAATGGAGGTTGTGTCAGATGGGACCGGTGGTGGCCGAAGACGTCGAAGCGATTATTCGAACCTTTTTTTTTTGTGGTTTAGAATAGCTTCAGTAAAAAGGAAGAGTTATGTGTCAAACAATATGAAGTTGTTGGCAGCTTTGTTACGTGTTATGTCCTGTGTAACGAAAAAGGAATTTTTCAGGCAATGTTTAATTACGTCATTTAAGAAACACGCAGACAAGTATTCAAAACTTCTATTACGTTTAGCTACGAAATTTTTTCTGGTCATTTCCTAAAATAACTTATATTTTGCTCGTATGTTTCTTTTATTTCAGCTTGAGTACAGCATAACTCATAAATTGAGAATCACTCTTTGCGGCAAAAGAGGTGAAAAACTCTACCCCGACATTCTTCAGTAATACTTCAACTATGAATTCTGTGTGATGCAAACAACCTCATCAAAATACAGTCGACTCCGGCTCTCTTAACGGACACATGTATAAGATAGACACCTAGAGTTGGTCCCTGCCTATCTTTACTCCCAACAGACATCTGACTGTAGTGAAAATACGCTTTCTTGTGCAGCGCTTCGAACCGTTCGCGTTTGGTTGGTAAAACTAATTTTCAACCAGCTCGGGATCCGCTCATTTAAAAGCTGTTGACATAGATGGGTAGAATCCGCTGGACAGGTTAGCGAACGTTTTCCATGGTGTGCGGAGTTGCAACCAAAAACAGCAAAAACGGTTGACAAGGTTTTCTTTTCGGAACTTCTATCATATCAACCAAAACAAACGTTATCCTGACAAAACACCATATATCTGTAATATTTTTTACAGACGTCTTTGATATGTAACATAAAAGATAAAGACTCGATCGAAGATAACCCAGGACATGACACAGTCGTCTTGAATCAGATTAAAATCTTGTTTTTAATTTTCAGGTTTCTCCTATTGATATTATATTACAATGTGTTTCTTTTTTCAGTAGAGCGTAGAAAATGATTTTGTGATCATTGCGTTGGTGTAGTATGAAGGGTCATTTCTCTCATTCCGCTTTGTGAAAGCGATAAAAAAAATCAAGATGAGCAAGTTACTTCGAGATTGAATTCTCGCTCGAGGAGATGACGAACTGAATCTTCTAACGTTTGGCCATCCGTGGAAGAAAACTAATTATGTGCATTTAAATAAGAAAAAAGTAAACCTCTTCAGCGGGAATTGCCATATTTGTTTTCAGCATGTGACAAAATGAAATTGAGGATATTTTTTATGATTATGGTTTAAATCTCTTAGTAACAATTCAATAGCGGCCTCTCCGAACAACTAATACTTTGAAATGGAAAATTTCCGGGGATGAAAGGGATTACATGTTATTTTTTTAGCGGAGAAATTTGTCGCAGTTTTAAGCTTGGGCTTTGGCAGTAGTATCAAAATTATAAACTTCATTTTTGTCACTAACAAAGAAAATTTTCAAGCCATAGTTCTTGTCAATATAGAGGTTTCTAGTGTACCCCACACGTACAAATATAATGCCAACTTGGACAAGGAAACTACGTTTACAAACAGCGATAAAAGTAGTCATTTTAAGAGAAACAAATAGCAGTAATAAAATTGAAAGTTGAAATTTTAATCTTCAATATTCTACCATGTTTAAATCGCGTAAGCTCTCTATGCTACTTTGCAATCTTGCATTATTTCCTGTCGGTGACCTTTTAAAAAGATGCAATTTAAATTACCGAAAACTCAACAAAAAACATTTTAAACGAGCGATATCTGTAGTGGTTACATATATATTCATATCCTTGGAGTTAATTAAAGTGAAAGTGCCGATGGCGCCTAACTCTCTCCTCTAGGCGACCTCATGAATTAAGTAGCTCTGGAGTTGGAAATGGTGAAACGTTTTAGTGCCTCAAGACTGACTCGCGTCTTATACGATCGCTCGATCGATGTTTTTAATCAGTTTTTCGCTTTCATTTTTTTTCTTAGCACAAGATCGAAAGGTTGGAAGAACAAAAACAAAGAAACACCGGTCACTGCTTTCAACAGCTGCTTCGAGTCTTCTAAACATTCTGTGTACAGTCGTCGTACTATTACATAATAATGAACTAAATGGAAAATTTTTAGTCTGTATGGCAACTCTTGTCGCAGTAAATGAACCAATCTAAACCGGCCTGCGGTTTAGCTGTGACTTGACGCATGCGCACAGTCATATCACCGGAGTAATGAAGAAATTCGAGAAGTCCTCGTTTCCCATATCTCGTTCCCAGAGCCATCTCGAATTTATTTGTAACGACGAGTAACTAAAAGAAACGAAGGGCTCCGGAACGAGTGTTCGTCTCTCAAACCACATCCGTTTTGAACACCTCTTTTTCTAGTGACAATTTGAAAGAAACTAGAATAACCTTTTTTTTTCTTTCCTAGCTTCTATTAATGTCGTTAATCTTCCGACAAACGAACATTTTCAGCAATAACAATTTGCAGTCTGTCCCAATCGAATTTCCATTGTGAACGTTTTAAAAGCAGTATATCTTTTTTACGTAGTATTGAAAACGTAGAAAGTAGATCCTTTTTTTATGAGGTGGATGGATTTTTTAGAGAAGTGAGAAGTGCCAAAATTTATGAATAATTTTTTCAAAAAAATTGCTCCGTTCATAAGTTCGAAAATACGTTTTTTTCCGTAATTTTAACCAAAGGTGCAGGTAGTAAAAATAAATATAGGTAGCATATAAATAAATTAATAAATATACACAAAAAAATTAAATATAACAATAATAATAATAATAACAATAACAATAACAATAAAAATAATAATAATAATAATAATAATGAACTTTATTAAAGTCTCATGTCTTGTGGCTCAGGCGCAGCGCTTTACTAACTGGGGAGACCAATATACATCTACTTAATACTCACAAACTTTCTGTATTACAAATGAAATAAAAAACCAGTCCCTAAAAATTAGCCTAGGTCACTAATAAAGATTTTACTTTAAAATACACTTTGCTACGAAAAATACTACTAAATATTAATCTTGTTAACGCCTACTTTTAAATACTGAAATACATTTTAATATTACAGAACTAATTAGAAATGTTCCACTTGGATTTCGTCCATTGTAAAACCTATCACCTATGTTGTTCTTTGCAAGAAAACCTTTGTCTTCCTGACATTTAAAACTGATTCCATAGTTACATACTTTTTACAAAACTTGCGTAATGCTATCAATTTGTCACGCAACGCTATCAACATACATCACGAATGGGCAGTTCTGTGGACACTAAAAAAAATTGTAGTCTCCAGGACGGCTGTAAGACCAACCGAAGCAAAACAAGAACATTTGAGTGACAAACTGCGACGAAAACGTCTGTACACAATAGACCAATTACGATGGATGTCATGCAACTTGCGTGACAAATCAGTCACTGCCCCACTATATCCTCTCCGTGTTGCTTTGGCTTTTCAGTCTCTATATCTTGGCTGTCTGTATCGCTTTCTTCTTCGACAAATTTTCCCTTGATGCCTTCAAATACTATCTGGACATCTGGGAAAATAAATAACAATTCACCAACTTATTGTTTTCCTAACACCCAAATGTCTATATGTCCGTGACTCGCACGTCACGCAATTTGACACATTTGCCGTGGATTAAGTTTGAAGGGTAACATGTGGACAACTTTAAATCGAACATGGCACACAAAGCCAATAAGATAGATAGATAGATCGATCGATCGATCGATCGATAGCTTAATTAATAAAAACCATTGCAGCCATAGGCTGAATTACGTATGATTTTCAACAAAAATGAAAGCTTAAACTCTAAAAATCACGCATTTAAAATGTAAAAAAATACAAAGTGGAACTATTTACATCATCGCCTTATTGACATGATGACGGATAAAACTATTGCGAGTACGGATGGTGTGGTAAAAGCGCTGACTCCTTGAATTGACTTCGCATTTGTTCTTAGTATTGTTCTTAGTAGGGAGTAAGCTACCATGTACAACTGTGTGTGCAGCTTTTGTGAAGGATTACACAGGATGGAATTAAAAAGCTTGTCACTTAAGAACTCGCGGCGTCCGTGCAAGGGGACTAGCCCAGTCATGAGCTACGTAAAAGAGTCGTGTTTTACATCTCATAAGAGCGCATTCTGTGAGGTTAGCTCACATTCAAAATGCTGGCCCCGAGGGAGCACTCCCTTATTTGGCCTTTATAATAAGTTGCAGGTATTCGCCGCTGAACAGGATATGGTTTTAAGGGCGTAGAGTCTTCAGCAGGAGTACAATTTTCAATATTTAGCGTCTTGAACAGGGTCTTTTCTTGGACCGGAAGCCTTTAAAAGAGTGCGAAAGTTGGCGATGAGCGGTTTACATGTATGGAACCAACAATGCTTTTCCAAAAAAAAATGAAATTTTATGATGTTAGATTAAAGGGTCCTGTTTGCGATGATTGAGGGTGGGCCTGGGGATAGGATGGGGATGATTGAGTGGGATAGGCGGGCACTACTGACCACGAATCTCCAGATTGTTTTAAATACCCAAACCAAAACAAATCCCTACTTAAGTCAAGCTACCCAAAAAAACACTTGCCAAATTTTCTTACCCAAAAAACTCCCGCAAACGACAATTTCCAACCCCCAAAAATTCTTCGAACATCCCCTTCACTTGAAATTCGGAGTACCCTACCCCCCTTCCCGGGCTCAAAGTAGCTATGAAACACACCTGTCCCAGACATGGCCTTAGAACCTTCTGTGGGAAATTCGTACGGCTTCAAATCACCTCCTTGGAGCGTGAGAAGCACTAATGGCAGTACACTTTCATAGCCCAGAGCAATACACTGCCCATTTCCCACCGGAAAAACAGCTGTCACCTGAAAGAAAATCGACGTTTGACAACAAACACAATCAATTTCCAAACTGGAGAACGGACAGGAAGAACGTGGAACAAAGAAAAAAATTTGCCCTCTTGTCCTACCCCATGTGACTAAAATTTTAACTAATTAAGTGAACTATGTGAATAGATATGAAACTAAGTTAACAAAAGTTGATAAAAATTGAAAAAAGGTAACATATATAGCTTAAAAAAATCTAACAAATTAAGTAAACTCTGTGACTAAGATATAAAGCTCATGTCCAGTAAAACGTTAAGAAAAAATAAAAGTTATATATTTCTAAAATTAACTAAAAGAAAAAGGAACAGGCAATCAAAAACAACAAAAACATAAAACAATAAACATTTTACTGAAAACGTGAAAGTCTAGAGGAAGAATAACCAATTTTTTGATACGCATGCGCAGAGGATAATTCCGATTTTAAATTGTTTCTGACCAGAAAATAGCTTCGTTTGGATCTAGTTACATTAAAATGCGTCTATTTGACGATGTTTTGTGTTATGATCGAGGTAAAAACTTCATTTCAATGGAAAAAACATTTTAGCCCATACCACAAGTTTAAGAATAAAGGTATAGAGTCTAATATAAAGGTCTCCTTCACTGGAACATAACCGGAAGCGTAGGGTGCTATTACGAATACCTCCATCGCATCGCTTTCGTAGCTGATCTGGTGATATTCGTAACAGCTTTGGTTCGGTACCCTTCTAGGACACCAACGCCAACCCAAAGTTTCTATATCAAGTCACTCCCGACGTCTCGCGCTCGGTCGAGTGACGCTTTCACAAACCTCCGTTGGAGTGTTTCGGTTTAAACGTATCCTCGTTTCACTTACCTAAATCTGTAGGATACTGACTTAGTCAGTTAACTCGCTTCCAGTGGCACTGCGAGCAGCAGTGTGCCATTGTTTTGACGTTTTTGTTTATGGGATGAATTTAAATTCGCCGCTTTACACAACAGTGCCTCTATTGAGGGATGTCTTAAGACAGAAACAACTGCAATGTATTTTTGCGTTTTCTGTTTATTACTGAAATACAGCTAACTGCCGTTGAGCCACCAGGTTTCATGTGCACTGACTTCGTCGCGTCTGGATGATTTTTCCAATATAGTTACTTATATACCGTAATGATAAGAATATTTTTTGGGGGGGAAGCTGGACATTTTGGAGGGGAAGCTTCTGCCCCATAAATACCCTTGATAGAACCCTGGACATGAAATTTTAGTCTCATCCGACATTCGACTGGTGGCGTATTAACGAGAAAATTGCGAAAACGACTATAAAAAACGTTTGTTGGACGTTAAAACGCAATTGGTGCGTTTTACCTCATCAAACTAATGGAAAAAAATCGAGTTGAAATTATCAAACCTGGATAAAGACTATCCCACAAACACCTTTTGCCACAATATCACTGTGATTGTTCACGCGTGGAGAGTGAAAATTGTAGTGAGTGAATGCAAATGAAAACAGTCAAAGACGTCTCGGACCATTAAGCACTAATGACGCCGTGTTTTAATTATTCAAAAACCAGCTGCCGACAATAACCTACAATATCAAGGATTTAAAATAATTGCTTAAAATTTCACGGCACGCATAAAACACAACAGCCAATTTGTCAGTGTCTATTTTCGACAATTTTTTTTTCTCGAATGCTCGTAACAACCTCAAGCGCGCCGCGATGGTCCGTTTTTTTTCTAACTATTCGGTAAGATAGCTGGGGTTTATACTCATGAGATTTAATGCCAGGCTGCATAAACGAGACAATAGGTCTATTTTTGGAGAAACAAGCTAACAAATACACCTGTCCGGGAAATTCAATGAAAAACTTTAAAATGCACAGGTAACTGAAGAGTATGAAACGGCTACGGCTTGATTGTGTAGCTTGTCATTGGATTGACTCTAGATCATTTTCAATCGCTTTCGATAACTAAGGAGGAATTTAAGTTCAAACTGGCAGCAAAGGACAAAATTGCCGACGAAAACAACATCATTCAAGCACAAAAAGGAGTTGCTTTTATTTCAATCAAGACTGTTTTGACTGGACCTTCTTTACTGATAATAAATTTGGTTTAGAGAAGTTATTTTGTCAATTAGTCGGAATGGCTATGATAGATTTTTTCTATCATTTTCAGACACATCCAGATTTAATTTTACAGCAAAATCAATTTCCGTTCAAAGTACCACAGTAAAAAAAATGGCTCCTTGTGAGAGTTCCTTTTCGACACTCGCCGTGCGTTTATTGCTATCTCGAACCAGCTCGAAACCAATTTTACGCAGTTATTCATGCTTTTGACTTCATCAGATCAGGAAAATATCAGCAAACGTAAACGGCAATTTTTCCCCTTACTGCAATCTATTCTGAAAACATCTGGTCCCTGTTGTTGAAACGTTTGATAGCTCTATCCACCGGATAACCTGAAATCAGGGCCAAGTTTAGCGTAGCCTGCAGTGCAGGCGTTTTCTTTGAGCGCGCAATTTGCTCGCAAAAGCGCCATGTTGAAACTTCCCGAAGAGAGGAGGAGATGGGGCGGGTCAAGGGGAGCGGGAAGGGTTTTTTTTTCTCCCCTCCCCCTCCCCCTCCCCCTTTCCTTCTTTGGCCCTCGCACCTACCGTAAGGGATACTATTTCTACTCTCCCCAATCTTCCACTGTCATAAAATCAAAGATGGCGGCTACAACAATATTACGAACACGAACAAGGTTTCGCCCACTCAAAATACGCCTGCACTGCAGGCTAAGTTTAGCGGTTCTCATACATTCTCTCTAACGGCTACCGCTAAAATTGGGCTCTATTTTCGTTTCGCCTTGCCCGCCGGAATGTTATTTTGAAAGCGAAACGAAAATAGAGCCTGGTCTCAGGTTGTCCACCGGACAAATCACCATCCAGCTGATAAGCATAGTATTTATTCCATTAAGCGCCCAACCTCGGATAAGCGTCCAACCTACAGGCTGGAAAAGTTAATAAGCGGCCAGGCTCGAAAAAGCGCCCACCTCGAATAAGCGCCCTCTTTCAAGGTCCAAAAATTAAACAAGCGCCCAGGGCTTAGAGAAATCAGTTGCGTTATCCGCTTACGCAGCGACGTTTTTGAGCGACGCACGTCAGCCGGAAGTGAGCCTTTTCCTCTTTTAACACTGAAGCCTTGACGATACCATATTTGTATTGCCAAGTGTCTTAATTCTTATAGAAACGATTTGCCCAAACATTTGTTCAAAAGTCCACTTCCGGTTCACGTGCGTCGTTCAATAACGTCGCTGCTTAGACTCCGGGGGTACTTTAGGAATTTCTGGGTAGGGGTGTGCCGCTAGGACCCTGGAACCCTTAACCTATACCAGAGCTAGTTTAGCTGAATTTTGCTACCCTATACTAGAGTGAACTCCCCAAATCCCCCCTATCCTAGAGTAGCTGTGTACCTAGTCTAGATGAAATCTTCAACCAACTGATCAGTTCCCTGAAAAATGATACCCTATTCTAGACCCAAACGCTCTGATTTATATACCCTATCCTAGAGTAAACTGCTTGAAAACCATACCCTTCACAGCGGCACATACCTATATAGCCCATATATGGCAGTGCCCCCCCCCGGGTTAGACTCCCTATTCTCCGGCGGATAACGCTAGATATCCACCTATTTACCATCTGGGGTCTGGTAGGAAAACCCCTTCTTAATATGCTAGAACATCCCTGAGCCGTGCAAACTGTTCTTCAAGCCCAGAACTGCGGGATTACAGAAACTTGTTGTTCGACAGTCAAAAAATTAACATAAATCACCTCATGGATGTTTTTTGTCGCATTTTGCTGTTTTAGTGTAAATGTAGATGTTAAGTTTCCCCACGTAAAGGTTAAATTAAAAGGAAATGGTTTATATCTCCTAAGAATTTTGTTTGACATAGGTTTTTTCATTGTTTAAGTGATTTGTTTTGTTATTCTTTAACTTGAGTTGTTGTAATAACTGTTTTTTTATTACATTCATTGTCATTTGTTTTGTTACTATTATCATTATTTTTATTATTATTATTATTATTATTATTATTATTATTATCATTATTATTATTTTCTTTCTCACTTGTATTTTAAGATTTATGTGGTTAATAAAGCATATTAAAAATAAATAAATAGATAAATAAATTTCACTTGGTAACCAGTGACTCTATGCGAGTAACCAAAGTGATTGCTAACACCTCTCTTCTGGTAGGCTCCCGCGGGGTATTCCATTAAAACTAACAATAATTTAAAAAAAGGCAAGCGCGCGGTGGACGATGGGAGGGGAGAACTTCCTCTCTTTGCCCTTCCCATCGACCACCGCGCGCTTTCAGTTTTCCCTCTCCCCAACCTCCCTCGGACACAACAAGAGGCCCCTGCGCAGGAGAGAGGTCCCTACCTTATCTGCGTTAAAAGTAGCTTTCTGCACGCCCGCATTCATGTCCCATAGGATCAGTGTCTTCTCCTCAAAGGTTACAACAAAATCCCCTTTGGAAGCGACGACATCAATTCGTAGATTGCTTAAATGACTGCTGAGAAGAGTGTGAATCACGGTTCCTAAACGAAAGGACAAAGAAGTAGGGGAAATCAATAACACAAAGGGTTTTTCAGAGAAGTTGTTATTTAAGGAAGACGGAAAAATTATCCCCGGCCAGGAGCCCATGATCCGAAGCGAGCAAATTCCATGTACTCGTGTCACGGCGTTTTCACTGACCAGGTTATTTTTAGAACGGTTTTGGCGCGAATTGAGAAGATCTTTTGAGTGCTGCAAACCATTCAGCAAAAGCTATGACCTGAAAATGGTATTCTTGCCCTTTTAATGACGTTTATTTTCACTTTTTTATATCTTATACTTTGAATGCGCTCACAGACGGAGTTGAACTTCCATTTTACAGGAAAAAGTGCTCTAAATTTATCCAAAAATTAGCTATCCGTTTAAACGCCGTGACAGAGATCTACTATGGCAGATGCTTGCTCCGGGTTATAAGTTCCAGCCCATAATCATTATCATACTCCAAAACAAAGAAAATAAAGTTTATACCAATGATAAAATTGAACAACAACATATATCAATACTTGAATAAGCTCACACAACTGATTGACGAAAAGTTTTTTGTGGAACAAATAATCCGGCTATGTTTACACTCTACCAGAAAGCTTTTAGTGCCGACATGAAAACCTATCCGGTATATTATGGACAACAACGGTACAGAACTGGAACTTGTCGTTCACACACATCGAACATCGTGCCGGAGAGGTTGGACGACAGGGTTTGGTGAACTAAAACCCCAGTCCTCACTCCTGAATTTTTAACTTCCGTCTCAGCGGATTCCAGTCCTCGCTCCTACCTGTTCACTCCCGCAACGGTTCGATACCTGCTCACACTGCACTAAACTGTGGCTTAGAACCCATCCGACATGTGACGCTCCACTTTCGAGTTCGGCGTGGCTTCGCTCCGTTACAGAAATCGCCCCGAAATCTCCGTTCTTCTGCGTAAACAGAACCCTTTCCGCTATGGTTTCCATGTGGGCGCAAAAGCACTATGCGAGCATAGCCTTCTTTTGAAGAGGAGAAAAGAAGACTCTGCCTGAATCACGTCAAACCTTCGAGATCGCCGCAGGCCAAACTCCCGGACTAGTCAATCCTGTTTTCTCTTGTCAAACAGGTTTTTTCGAGTGCGAGCATCCGTTCTCAGATAAACCGATGGTCATAACCGAGCCCACTGTAGCAAGCACACGGCTATTACGCCTGGGTTCGAAACTGTTTCCTAGGAACATGCCGCGCATGTTCAACAAAGATCTCTAGTTACGCGAGACTTCCTGGAGTACGCCAACATAAACGCCAACAAAGAAAGGCTCTAGAGCCAGGATGGCGCAAAAGCTGTTCGGTATACTGTGAAAATAGCCTAAGTCTGCCTGTGCTGAACTGAGTAGTAGTGGATTGCTGAATACCTTGTTCGATGTTCCAGCATATGATTTTCAAGTCCTTATGAGCTGTTACCACTCTAGAGTTATCCATTACCGCTAGAGAAATGGTGTCTGTATCATGCGGGTACCGCAAATCATGCGCGTGTTTCCCTGAAATGTTAACAGATTTAGTGATATCCAGTCAGAAAACAAAAAGATATCTTCTTTGAATGCCACAGATCGTAGCCAGATATCAACAGATCTGGCTTCAAATACGATATGACTCACTTGTCACTATGCCCTAATACTTACGATCAGTAATAAATGATGCCCTTTGTAGATCTATGCTTACTGGTTTCTTAAAACCATCCCAGACTAAACCGCCCTAAAACCTTACACTGAAAATTAAAAAGATCTGTTTCAGCCCTAAAGGGCCAATCCAGAATTGCAGCCCAAAATCTGATTCAGCCCCTCTTGGAGCCATTTGAGCACAATTTAGGTAAAAAACAGCTCAATCAAAAGGCTATTCCATCCCTCGCTGGGACCAATTTCAGCCCTTGGGCCCAAATCAGCCCTACGTAGTTGGACTGTATTGGCCCTGACTAAAGCAGCCAAACTAGAATCAAAAATAGGACTGTATTTTACTCAACGAAACGGCCCCATTTTTAGGGCTAAAACAGATCTTTCTGATTTACAGTGTAACTTTTCACAGCGGCATTTACACTAAATAAAGCTTATATACCACAAGTTCCACGGTAGCCTGCGTGAAGACGTCTCCTATTTCCTCAGTTCGTTGCACGGAGGGCCCTACTTATCCAAGTCGATTGAGTAATAAAAACTGTTGGTAGTTCTAGAATGGTTGCGCATCTGGCCAAGAAGGGGGGGACGGGGCAGTTATCTTTTAGTGCTCAACGCATAACATCCCTATTTCCGCCTGCGCGCAAGATCAATACTATGGAAATCTAGAATAGACAAATCCGAGGAAAACCGCATGAAGTCACCTAAAATGAAATTCTAGTACCCTCGTATAAGAGCGCTTTCCAGTTGTCAGAACTGACCGGCCAAACCATTCCCGTTGTAATGACAATTCACTTTTAATCAAAACTATCCAGCTAGATCAGTGAAATCCTAAAAAGTATGCACGAAGGAGATAGTTTTTCAGCAAAAACCCTTCGGAAAAGGCTGATTTCATTTGCTAACTGACTGGCCCGGCAATGTAGGAGTTCTGGCAAATGGAAAGCGCCCTTAAGCCTAACCCGCCGGGCTTTTTCTAATTGTTGTATACTTACTAGCTTGTATATCCCAGACAGCTGTGCGAACGACATAATCGCTTTTCTTGCGGGCACTGAACATGAAGTAGCGACCATCAGGAGTGAATTCCGTATGCTTCTCAGACCCCTCCCTGTCGATAACAAAAATCTCTTCTCTCGTCTCCAGGTTCCAGACAGACAGCTGGTGGCTGAGACTGTCTACGTCCCAAACAGCTACTGTTCCTTCAGGGTTGACGAAAAAATGGGGGATTTCAAGCTCACTTCTGCTCGTCTTCAAAACTGCAACTTGATCACCTGTTTCGACGTTGTACAAAATCAAACTCTTGCGATCGTGGGCAAAAGTAAGGATTTCTTCTCTCTTATTCACAACGCAGATATCATCAACCCCTAAGAAATCGTAGGCAGGAATTTTTCCTTTGAGAACCGTTACAACTTTCCAAGTCAGCAAGTCCACGATCGCCACGCGCTCGTCAACGCGAAGAGCGACTCTTCGATCATTGATAAGCTGTATATAGCTGGTTGTTATGCCTGTGATTTTTCGCACGGGCAACAATGTCGTGGGATCCCAAATGGTTACACAAAAGTTGTCAATGCCTAATCGACCCACTGTTACCAGGTGCCGGGAATCACCGGGAATTGAATATATATTCGTCAAGACTTCCGGTTTGTTAAAGTGCCGCTGGACATCCTCCCGGGTTAGGTCCCAGACTCTCACAACGTTGTCACCACCGGAAGTGAGAATCATATCACAGTCGACAGCGAAAGATTTGGAGACGTAATTTGGATGTGGTAGAACGTCTGTTCGCTCGCCAGTTTCAAGATCAAGTTTCGCGACTTTATCGCGTTTAGGAAACACTAACGTGCTACAAGTCAAGTCGACTGAAGCGTTTTGAATCCAGTCGTCAATTTTACACTTGTATGTTCGTAATATTTCGCCTTTGTCAACCGAATACAAGCCAATCTTCATTTTCTTAGCAACCAGGACTTCGTTCTCAGATTTCATAATTATCTGCGTAAGATGGAGAAACTCCTCTTCGTCTTTCTCTTCAAAAACCCTGAAAGAATGGAGTACTTTGAAGTCTTTAGTGTCGAGAACTTTTAAGGAATTTTCATCCTCGCTTGAATTGCAGAGAACAACGTCGCCCCAAGAAGATAGCAGACTGTTTTGTCCCGCATTACCAACAGGTTTGATGCTAGAGAAACAATGCAACGGTTTTCCAGAAGAAGTTGAGAATACATTCAAACTCTTCTCTTTGAAAAAGACCAGTTTCGACCCTTTTTCGCCAGCCAGTGTTATTGGAGGACACCTCTTGAAATACTTTGCCTCTACCCTGTAAAACCATGCAAAACAAAGAAAAAAGGAGGAAAACAGACAAAGGATGTTAAGAACTAAGAAATATTTTAAATGAATTATAAAGCAATTATTGAGCACGGCTTTCGTATGATATGAAAAATTATGCATATCTCTGTGAGCCTCATACTGTATACGTCCGCTTATAAGGCCCCCTCCACCCAGTTATAGGCCTGTCTACCTGTGAACAAAACAAAATACATCCGGATAAAAGCACCCCCACCCCACCCCCTCTAGTGTGTTGTGGAATTAATTCGATTTTTACAACGTTTTGAAGATTAAAAAAGCGACTAAATTCAAAAAGTAGCTTGATCAGCACTGCTATGCAGCTTGTTTTGAAACGTTTTTTAGTCGAGTTATAAGCCCCTCCGTATATAAGCTCTCCTATAAAACCCCTTACAAAAAATTATAAGCCCAGGTCGTATATGCGGAAGTTTACGGTAAAACCCTCCTCGAAATGCCATGATTCGGCACTAATATCATACTCAGCCTCATTTAATGACTGTTAAATATTCACCTGTGCAATATTTCACCAGTTTCAAAAGATATCACCCTTATTCCACCCTTTGAAGAAGCCACAATGAACTCGTCATCACAACAGCACGTGAGAAAACCAATCTCCTCCCCAGCCTCTTGCACGGTCAAGAGTAATGAGCCATCTTTGATGTCCCATACTTTGACCACACCGTCTTGCGAGCCTGCGATACACAACAACACTAACAATAAATACATGACCTAAACATTGTGTATTCATGACCACTACAAATGGTCGTATTTGGAGATGACGCCAGTGAAATGCACCATAAGGCATGATGCACGTGCAAACTTGAAATAGCCCGAGAAAATTTTGAGAGAGAGAGGTCAACTTTATTTATCCAAGCTAGCCTAGATCACCAAAAGCTGGTTTCCATTAGGGGCGTGCAAATTCCATACTGATCACGCGTCACTACCCGGATTTTGGTAGTGCTTCTGATTCTCAGAAACAAAATCCAGATCTGAGTAGTAACAGGTCATCAGTATGGAATTTCAGTCGTTTTTCTGACGTCATTTCGCGTAGAAACTAGACTTGGCGTCGCGAAGTGTCGGTTGTTTTCTCAAGTTATTTTTCTAGCGATACTCACGCTGACTTTAATGTGCCAACCAGAAGTTGATTGGTTCATGAAACCGAAGATTCTTTTGTTTCACTCGTTAAACAGTTGAATAATAAAAACAACGTTTGTAAACCTTGGTGTCTCGTATTGCTTTTTGACGCCCTCTAGTTGCCGTTACGGTCGTGGTTTTGTGAGCTCCCTAACGACAACGGCAACGAGAACGCTAAAAAGGCAAGGATCTTTATAAGCAAAAAACAACTCTGTAAGTTTATCACACTTTATGGTACTTTTCTTTGCGACGTTGTAAACGTAAACAGAAGACGACGATTTTCTCAGTTCCTTAGTCTGAACATAGATACGATCATTAAGAATCCAACTCCGATCTAGACCCCGGTTGTTCAAACGTTGGATAGCGCTATCCACCGGATAACAAATCACTATCCACTGGATGGCGCAATTGGTTTCCCTAATACTTATCCGCTGGATAGTGATTTGTCCGGTGATAGCGCTATCCATCGTTTGATCAACCGGGGCCAGAAATTTAGACCACATTTGAAAAATTGAACAAATGGAATAATTGCGATAACGTTTATTCACTTGTTAAGTGACATTTCCGACATTGTCATGGTTGCGTAGTACGCTTTCTGTTGCTTACAGGTGACCGCACACTACACAGGCAAACCAGGTAGCTAAAAAACACAGGTAGCCTATAGTTTTTCAACACTCCTTACACCCTCGGTTTCTTCACAATCTCTGCCTTTAAGCTACGTGCAAACGGACGCAACAACTCCCAACATTGTTGGGAGTTGTTGGCTAATGTTGCCTCCTAATGTTGGCTAATGTTTCCTCCGTTTGCATCGGGCTAAAAGTTTGACCGGTTCCAAACTTTCCGCAACAACGTCCCAACAACAAGCAGAAACATGCAACAGGATGTGCAAACGGACACAACATGCAACATCAAACGATGTTGGGAGTTGTTGGCCAACAACGTTGCGTCCGTTTAAACGTAGCTTAAGGCTTGCCTAACCTGTAACAGCGTATTTCCCATCACTTGAGGCTGCCAGTCCATACACTGCACTTTGTGAGTGGCCCACTAATGTCTGCACTAGCTGACCACCAGGGGGTGTCAGAAAACCTCTGGACGGGATCAGTGTGGGCTCAGGGGGACTGCGTGAGTCGTGCATAAGTTTGGAGAGTACCTAAAATACAAAAAAGCAGCAACAGAGGTTTATCAAACAGAAAAAATAAGAAAGATTCGCGATTGAGATCCGGGTCTGTCCAGCCAGCAGGACACTGTTCATTCTATTGTGTATATACTAAGGGTACTACACCGAAGCTTCAAAAACACGGCTATAAGAACCTTCGTGGAGAAAAACTTGTATTTAAAGAATGTTGGTATCTTAATACTCACGGGTGACAGTTTTGAAGGCAGAACTTCACAAGCATTCTGGACTTTACACTACAAAATAAACAGAAAAGATTTAAAATAATCAATAGGAAAGTTGCAGCAAATACAATGGACCTCATTTTGTGACGACTCAAGGACCCTTCCACTTCCAATAGCCAGGCCAAGAGTAATCTCTATTTTGCATCAGGGATAGTTGTACACACGAGACATCCAAGCGCGAGTGAAAATTGCCACGTGCACGGAAGGTGGCGGGCCGCGCCCTCAAGTATTTCACGAACTTTACTATCCCTAACGTCGCAGTCGTTTTTAGGGTCGTCACGCAACGCTCCTCCCCAGTGTGATTGTTGCGTGACGACCCTAAGGAGACTACTATGTCTACTGTCCATGCACAAAATAAGGGACTACACGCAGTCAAATTTTATTTCGTATAACATGGAAAAAGTGACAGCAGCAAGAGAGCTTTAGATTCTAAGGCGAGGACGACTACGAGAACTGGATTTTCTCAAAGCTAAATACTTCGCGCGCGTGAACCAGCGTCATTTGGCGGGAAAATTTGATAGCCGTCGTCATTCTACTACGAGTTTTAGCGAGAACGTGGTACTGGCGGGACAAAGTTATGAAGTTTTGGAAGTTTAATCATTTTGCGACCGAGAAAGCGGGCTAAACCTTCTCCAAAAAAGATAACCACACTAACTTTTCAGGTGAAAAATATTACAATGAAGCTTTCCGGGTTGAATATTCTTAGAGAGTACGTGAAAAAAGTTAAAGTTAAATCCCGTACTCGTCCTCGTCCTCAAACCTAAAGCTCTCTATTTTTATAGCCGCATCAAAAGCCGTAAGGCTTGGCGGAGCAGTTGTCCCTTTTGAACTGTTATTAAGAGTGTTTCTATTAAAAAGAAAGAATATCGCAACCCAGGGTCAAACCAGACCTCGAACCCGGACCTTTCGTACCCTAATCTCTATCCCTTACCACTACACTACCACAACGACCCGCCAAAATTCCGAAATATTTAAGTACATAAACTCACAGACTGTCTCTCTTAATTGATACATCAATAACAGGTGACCCTATCCGTTTCCATAACTTTAAACGTAAATTCAACTTTGACTTCACAAACAAAAAAAGACAAAAACAAACAATCAATCAAACAATCTAAGACTCTTCAAAAACGTTATTATTTGCCTTATTGTGACTTGATCCACGCAATATATTGCATCTATCACGACTAAGGTGACAAATGGTGGCATCGACCGTTAAAAATGGCAACGACTGTTTACGAAAGGGAAATAGGCCTCAGCTGGACTACAAATTGCTTTTAGCAAACCTCGTAAAGTCTCGCCACTAACTGCGAGGCTAGCTGCTTGGGATCACTTAATATAGCATCTTGAGCAAGTTTAAGAGTTTCTGCCACTGCAGCGATGTCAGGATCATTCACAACGTCCATGGCCATGCAGAAGTTATCCAACACAGATCTGTAAGGAACGAATAAAAAATTTCAATATTAAAATTCCCCGCACTATACAAGTAACTTAAAGGGGATATGTCACAAAGAAAATCGCTGTTTAAGGTCAATTCTGAGCTGAAGTCATTACTAAGAGTCCTTACCCTTACACAAAAACTGGCGCACCCAACAACTGTTTCCTCCCAAATGCATTGAAAACCCTTTTTAGGCTATCCAGAGTATTTTAGACCTCAAGAAATGCTTCCTAAGCGGCGCTATAAAATTTGTACCTGTTCAGTCATCCTAGGGGAACTTGAGTCTCGAAATTACAAGGGCTTCAGTACTATTTTCCTGAGAATTTTATTGATGCAATTTAGCGCACTACGAAAGGGAAATTTTTTTGGATTCCTCTCTCCATCACTTTTTTGAATCCGAGATTTTTACGTTTCCTTTTTCCTAGGAAAAATACCCTGACCTGGAGTGCGAAAAGTGAAATATTAAACTTCAGAAAATCGTAGGGAATTTATGAGATAAGCTTCGAAAATTGTACATAAATGGAACGGTCATCTAGAACTTTTTAGCCGTCTTCAAGTAATAGAAAATTCTAGGCAATATTTGTTTCTCCGATATACATGTAGATATTTTACAGAAACAAGTCGTGGGGCGTCCGTGACAAAATTTTCCTTTAGAGTTATGAAGATATCAAACACATTTAATTAGGGAGCAGTAAGCATAATAATTTATTTTTAGGTGACTTTTAGAGCTACAGTATTGAAACTTTAAATTGGCCCAGCGTTTTTGTTTTAATCCATGTCCATCCTTTCCATCCGTTGCAACAGACGTCGGAAAAGAGCTTCAACGCCTGAAAAAAGTTTTAAATAACAGAACTGGGCCATTATTTGTGGAAGCGAGGTTGGCGTCGACTTCCTTTTGATAGAAACCTCTGTGCAATTCATATGCATAAGAAAAAGATGTATGTTTGAAAGAAAAGATGTATGTTTGAAAGAAGTGAGATTTCTAACAAAACAAAGTTCAACTCCAGCCTCGCTTTCATTCAAGGCCAGGGTACTCAGTACTCAATGGCCGATCAGAAGAACTTGCCTCACCTTAGCGACCGCACCTCTATCTTTGTCTTGAGCCAATAGAAGTTGCAGAGCACTTCGTTTTTCAACTCGTCCCATCGCTGACTTCGAATAAGCTGGACAGGAAGTTCGTGAAGTTTTCTCAAATTGTATCTGCCTTTAGATAGCAACAAAGGCTGTCCTGAGATGCTGGCTAAGCGAACCTGTTTGCCATTCATAAGAGTTGTTTCTTTACTTCCCTCCTCTGAAAAGAAAACGGACTGTGTCTTAAATATAGGCTTTTGCCTTTGGCTCGAATATGGCAATTCGGATTGTCATTTTGAATCAGATCTGAGATAATAAGTAGTGACTTCAGCACAGAATGGACCTAAACAGCACATATCCTCATGACATGGCCCCACTAAGAACTCACAAGAGTTATCAATAATTTTTAGCCACTTTTAAACTGAAAAATAAAATTATTCAAAACAATGGCACACTGCTGCTCGCAGTGCCACTGGAAGCGAGTTAACTGACTAAGTCAGTATCCTACAGATTTAGGTAAGTGAAACGAGGATACGTTTAAACCGAAACACTCCAACGGAGGTTTATGAAAGCGTCACTCGACCGAGCGCGAGACGTCGGGAGTGACTTGATATAGAAACTTTGGGTTGGTGTTGGTGTCCTAGAAGGGTACCGAACCAAAGCTGTTACGAATATCACCAGATCAGCTACGAAAGCGATGCGATGGAGGTATTCGTAATAGCACCCTACGCTTCCGGTAATAGCCTTGTAAACGAGACCCTTATATTTGGGTCTTTACCGTGTTTCTTAGCCATGTGGGAGTACAAAGAAAGTCTTTATTTATAAAAATACAGTCTGTTGTATCCACTTAGTAGCGAATGATTACATTTAAGAGAATTTCGTCTAACAACGTTACTTTAGAGCGAGAAAGGCTTTTAAATGAGAAATAACTAATGCGCATGCGTAGGGCAAAATGCAAAATCCTGCCCATGGATTCGTACCAGTTTTCACTTTTCACTCAAATTATTACTTTTTACTGCCTTTTTCATCTTATCACTTTCTTTAAAAAGGCACACCTTTAACTCATTGCCCAAATAATACTATTCAACTCTTCTAAGGACTTGAAATGAGGCAGAAGAGCCTTTTTTTTAGCTTTTATGTCTCAAAATGGAGGAAATTAAAGCCAAAAATTTAAACGTTCAAGGGCTAAACGAAGTCTTCTAGTAAGGCTATTCAAATGAAAGCTACTAGAGCGGCTCCGGCCAAACTACGATTGTGTTGCAGGCACACGAAAGAAAAGTAATTATGTTGTAAATACGATAGTGTGGTTACGTCATGTGACGATGTTGTATATAGCCGATCCAATAAAGGTTACTTTGAGCTTGGAAATTGCGCTTTGGGAAGCTATTGTTTGGTGGTCACTCAAGAAAATCATTGCAGTGAGTTTAGTATGCGCAAATGCCAATGCACACTTGCCAATTCCCAATGCCTAGAGCAACCTTTATTAAATCAGCTAAATAATTAAGAAAGTGACTGTGTTGTTATTTAGTGTGACTTTGCTGCCCGATGATCGTCAATGTTGCACCCAGTAGAGAGTATAAAGTAAAAATTTAATCTCTTACCCAGATCTCTTGTCGCCGCATCCGAAGGCGAGATCTAGCCAAATCCGATTTGTACACTTGATCACCTAACAGGAATGTGACAGGCGATGAAGGTGCGCATGCTTGAAATAAATTCTCAAAATGGTGAACGTATTAAACAACAAATTTGATAGAGCCGTGAATTTTTTTCTAACGAAGTGTGCTTATACACACAGCTTAAGTAAGAACCAACTAATTTGTCGTTGTGTTTTTTTGGTAACATAAAATTCAACGGGGCAGTTAGTTTCAATATAATTTCATAGCAAACGCTCACGCAGTACCCGTCAAGTTCTACGCGACAAATGTTTTTACCGTATCATTTTCAAATTCTCTACCTTAATACTGAAAGAAAGTTACATTTAGCCATATCGAGACGAAAAACTACTTATGCAGCGAAAAAATATATATCTTTTAACAAAACCGAAATAATGAAGAATTGCACAAGCCATAGCGCGCGCAGGTCACTTCCTCACAATCTAGCCAATCAGAAAAATTGATTTTTCTTACTTGACCAGATCTCGCCTTCGGCTTTGTAGACAAGAGATCTGGATACGAGATGAGTAAAAAGTATCGGCGTTTTCGCTCACCAACAAAGTTTCTTCCCAGAAAATAGTCAGCAATTGCACTATGACGACTCTTCTTCTCAATCGGGTCGGACAGATATCGGTCCACAGCCGCCTCAACGAACTGCCTATGATACCAGCAGATCAATTGGGTACCATCCGCTCCCCCGGTCAACCAGGTAAGAGGCAAGATCGGCCCTTATTCTGACCCAGAGCAGGGGGGGAAGTCTCCTTATCGGTGGGGTCCAGTACTGGAACACATCATGGAGGACCTCTTCATCACAGGATAAGATGTCCTCGAGTTCGCTTGTCGTTAGACCTTGTGAGGCTGTAAAGACAATAATTTGAATGTTGTTAAACTGCTGCTGTATTCCATATATACATCTATCTCAGATTGTAACTGGCTAATGAACCAGGCATTAAATCAAAGGTTGCGATTACCGATGCGCAGCCAGATCATCGACAACGAGATTAAAATCCTCGAAAGCCACCGTCGCGTCAAAAGTGCCAACTTAGGGGAGCAGGGCGTGAGAAAAATGTAAGAGGAGAGAGGTGAGGCACGTTTTAATAAGACCTCCGAATTGTTAACGTTTCAAATGAACAAACAAGTTTTCAGGCCCAAATAACTGACAGAGGGAACACCTGAACACAACGTGCAAGATCTCCATGTTAGACTAATAGCTGGGGAAAGAGTCAGTGCAAAAGTTGGACACAGAAGTGAAAAATTTAACATCGCTATCATAGAAAGCCGTATGGACTAGGACGACCAAAAAATGACGTGAACTTCGGCGAGCTGCTTAACATTACTGCGTGACCGGATTGGGGGGCTTATATTTGGAGGGGCTTATACATGGAGGGGCTTATTTTCGGAATTTTACGGTATTCTCCGATTTAGCACTTATCGCATACTTCTGTGTAGTTTCTATCCCGACTTAGTTTCATCTCAGAGCATCACAGAGAACCAATCGCACAGCAACGTTCTGTTAATTACCTGCAGTTAAGTAACCGAGCGCGTGTCGAACAAGCACCTGACCATGCTTCACTTCAATTCTCTCGAAGAGTTTATCAACAGCTTTCCGTATGGTTGTCTCTAAACACGTCTCACTAAGTGAAGAATACGATCGCCATAGACATGCTTCATCGTAAGATATCTTCAGGAACAAGGGAAGGGGACATTGTTTGAAAGCATCTTTGAGCACCTTCAGCTGATGCCCCTGAAGAGCCCTATTTTCTTGTTGAAGCCATCTGGTCAATATAGCGGTCACATCTTCAGTGGACAGCTCGGGAATCGATACAAAACATTTCGGGTTCTTAAAAAGTGCCTGCAACAGGATTGAACAACGATACATTAAAAACTGGCAATTTGCAGATAACTTTATTTCATCTGCAGTTCACATAGATGATTTACTTCATACATTGGCCATATAGAGAGGTCAGGATAGGCTTCTGCGACGTTTAATCCGAGTTCGCGGGCATAATAGTGCTTCTACTCTTAGTACTCTCTTAATTTACCTAACATTTCAATGCAAGATACCTTCAGTGCTGGAAAACACTTGTATTCTTGATCTGGCAGAGTGGATACAATGAACTTCACATGAGGCGGTAGTTGCTTTGGAAACCAAGTCAACTTCCGAGCACCATGCAGGGGAGAAAGCTGATCCAGTGAATCAAAGATAATGACCAACGGTTGCTCCTTGGTGGCGCTTGATAGAAACACAGGGAACTGCTCAAAGACTCCTTTAGTACTCTAAAAAGGCAGATAACTACAGTTAACACTTTCCACTAGATACCATAAATGACCTAATAAGCGCCTACTTCCAAAAAAACGTATTTAATAAACGCCCCCTCAACGCTGTTAAAATCTCGCTAATAAACGCCCCCTGTCTAATAGACACCCCCGGTGAGAATTACTCCAAACTATTAGGAGAATTCATACTACACGGGAATTCAAATTTTGATCTTAGGATGTTAAGGGGTAAACGCCTCATAACTATTTAAGACTCGCTCATGGACCCCTAAAATTTTAATAGACGCCCTGGGTGTTTATTACGTCACTTACAGTACATAACTTCATATGCTATTTACTATTTCAAAAAATACTCACGCGAGGAACCTTGGATGTCAATTTATAAACATACTTGATCTGCCACATGACCGTTTTCAGCATACGCCGAATTGAGGAACTTTTGGGCGTGGTCCCTAGAAACCTGAAACAATCATAGTAGACACCAGTTATTTTCACCTGACCTTCTTACGTTTCACGGTGTAGGAATTCTACGCGTACTTTATATGGCCACTATCTATGATCTAGAAGAGCATAGGCGCACAGATTACGTCATTAAAAATTATTTTCTCTGTTTTTTTTTTTGGATATAGTATATCTATCCGGATTGAACAAGTGAAGATCTTCAAGTTTGGCGGAAACTGTTGACAAGTAAGTGAAGTAGGAGAGAAGAAACCGCGACGGAAAGTAATTTTACTGACGCGGAAAATGCCTCAAAAACTCTAGAAAAGTAAGGTGCTTCCTTTCCCGCTGTTCTTGAATAAATAAAAGAGGATGCATTTTGATGTGTCTGTACAGTTAAAGACGGGAGGCACTACTTCTTTGACAATATGCATTCTAATTTATAAGGTATTTCTTTGTATCAGCAAAGTTGACTGAGTTGAGTTCCGTCATGATGCGTTTTTAAACATACACACTTACCTGAGGCAAATACAGGCCTTCTGGTCCATAAATTCGCTTATCGCTTTAGCGGCCAAGGCAATAATAGCTGTTTTACCACTGCCGGACTTTCCATGTATCACCAAAGGATATTGGCTTGGTCCCTTAACATACTCTTCAATATCCTTTAAATAAAAAATCTTAATATTTTAATGCACTACAGGTGTAACACGTTGGAAAACGCTGTCGAGAGGGAAGACTTTTGAAAACAGACGTGCATTGTTTTCGGTACACTTAAGTAAAAACTAAAGTTTTTGAAAAACTTTAACGTCATACAACTAATACATGACAGGCTAACTACTTAAAAATAGTGGAAAAAACAGAGTGCTCCTGGCGCTACTGAAGCAAGCGACCAAAGAGTTTCTTGGACGTATATAAGTTTCTGAAACTGCCCACCTACCCCTCCCCTAAGCTTTATACAATTAACACTTACTTCTCACTTCGGACAAAACGATGGCTTAGTGGAGGGGTAGGTGGGCAGTTTCCCAGAAACCTACAGACGTCCAAGAATGGCATATGGGCAAGAAAGTACGGCCGGATACGCGTCTTAGAAAAATGTATGGAGACCAGGCCTCACTTTGTACCTTAAGGGTCGATTCTCGTCTACAAACAGCTGCAATTTTTCTCTTGCAAAACAACATGTGTTGCGCCACTTCCACATAAACCACATTCTCTGTTTCAGCCGCTTTGTGTTCAGCGATACTCTCCGTAATCATATCCTTCACTTTGCTTTCGAAATCTTGGCATAGCTGTTCTAAATACTTCTTGTGCATGTCAAACGAAGGATCAATACCTAGAAGAGATGGAATCGATATAAACAGAGTCACGTTCAGCAGGTACCGTGACTAGACTACTGGTTAAGAAGTTGATCACTTAGCTTCACAGATGATGCTAGATCTGAGTTCCGGGTGGTCGCTGCTCCAGCTATCTATCGATAGCTGACAATATACCGTAAAATTCCGAAAATATGCGCCAGGGCTTACATTTTCCGAAGGCCCTTTTTGAGGGGCTTTTTTTTGGAGGGGCTTATATTCGAAGGGACTCATGTACGTAGGAAAATTTGCGTTTCAAAATCGATTGGGATAGCTTGTAGTGGGAAGGAAATTTACCATTTTTGCATTGTTTTACTTTGTATTCGAGGGCAAATTCCAAGTACAAGCCCCCCGGGGGACTTATATTCGGAGGGGCGATTTAACGGAGGGTTTTTTGCCTTACGATTTTGGGGGGCTTTTATTTGGAGGGGCTTATTTTTGGAGTTTTACCGTATCCTCCATTCAAATGTAAGTAACATAATCTCCTCTTATCTGCCAGTTTAGTAAGTCTCTATAGTCTCTCTAGTTATGTAGCTGTTCTTTGCTTCGTCACGTAACGCTCTTCCCCACAGAGACAGAAGCGTAAAAGGCTACTCTAGTAAACTTACGCAACAGGACGGGAGAGGAAAGGAGACGGAAAAACCTTGTGTGACTAGCGTGACAATAACCATGTTTGAAAAACACTTCCGCCAAACTTCACCTTCCTTCTAACAGATTTTTTTGTAAAAGACCAAAACACAGTATTTTAAAGTGAAGATCACGACAAAACTACGATCAAGAAGTACCTCTGGGAGTCCACGTGGCGTCATAGGTAAAGATGTTGTCAAGGTGTAAAATTTCCTTCATTTTCTTGTTCTTCAAGTTGTGTAACAGAGACTGAGGGTGATCTTTACCACAGTGGTCCTTTCCGTCAGCGCAATAGTCGAGATAATTTGCAGCAACAGGATTTTTGCTATGTTCATCGGGATCAAGCCCACTAACTACTCTGTGAAACCACAGGCACGATCGTTTTGGGTTGTCAGCTTTTAAGAGGCCATGCTCAATTTCTACTTCGCAAACTAGAATAAAACAAAATGAACAAATTGGTCAACAGTCCATTTAACCACGTACCCGGGACTAAGGGAGAGGCAGAATAGACACGTGACCAGCCGATGCCAGGATGTTTTCCCGCCCGTTGTTCCTCTTATTTTCCAAAGGAAGAGCCCTGGGGATGAATAAATACAGAATGATTTGGAGGTAGCACATCCACAAAGTGGTTCTTCGTCTACCTAATGGATGATGTTGGGAGATAGTCCAGTCATTTTGTGGCTGGACCTGCCACTAATTGCAACAGAACCTTTCTCTTCGCCAATCATTTAGGAATGGTCTCTAGATTAACATACTAAAAGTCCCAAAGGATCCAAGCACGGGAACATGTCAAAATTTAAATGGCTAATAACTAACGCTTTGCTGCGACATGGAAACGAGGCTAAGAACCGGAAGTTGCTTTTATTCTACTTGTTTATCGCCAGAACTGCACCCGATTCTTCCAAATTTGATTAATAGTACTCCAGGTAGTTCTGTGAACTTTCATCTTGTAGATATCTTCACTAAATCATGTATAAGTCAAATAATTTCATTAACATTTCTTACTCAAAGACATACAGAATTTCATTTTTTGTCCCTCAGAGAGGTCGGTACTAAAGAAAGGCTATGACACTTCGTTATCGCTTAACAATACGCAGTTACTAAAGCCGACTCGTTTTCAAACATACAGATAAGGAAGATATGTTTTCAAAAATACAATATACTCCCGCAGTACTGTCTTATAAAGTTTCACAAGGTACTCAGATTATTTTATGACTTTCATGCTTTCTTTTCCACGTTACACGTTTACTCATCTTGGCTGTCATCTTCGTCAAACTGGATTAGACAATTTGTACACGCCGTACCTCTGCATTGGCCACATGCAGGCGAACACTCTAGACCATGTTTACGGCAGGTGCATCTTGCGCTGGCGCAATCTGACGAGCAGTTACACTTTATCATCTGCAGAAGCGCCTCCAGTGCGGCTGGTAGGTCAGTCATCCGAGGGAGTACCTGGCCTTCCGTCACCTTCCATCCATAGTCCTCCAATGACATGCCTTCGTTTTCGCCTTTCCATTACTTCATTACTTTTGCAGGTACACTCTTAGGCTATGATGCCTGGCATGGCTGCTGCTGTCGTCGGAGGAAGATTCTGACGCTGTATTTGAGAACTATTGGTCGCCAGTTTCTCACAGTAGCGTTGGTAGCGCATGCCGTCTAGTTTCTCCCCAGGTTTTCCTCCGTAGAGGGATACCAGCGCATTTTCTCCTGCTACCACGATATCATCGACTGTGGAAGGGGAGTTGAAAACCTTTGCTTGCTCTCTGAAGTGCAACGAGTTGGCATATTTCTTTAAGGCTGCCGCCTTGCCTATGCCATGTACGCGGGAGGTGGTGTCGCATCCCAAAATGGCGTGAAGAAATAATAAGTCGTGACAGACATCATCACCTAACTG